TCGAATCGAATCGAATCTCGAATACTTGGAAGGTATGAAATTGTATGTAAATTTCTTAGTATTTTAGGTCCTTCAGACACATAAATTACTCAAAACATAGAATACATCACTGACAATAAAAAAAAAAACGTTTTCATCAATACCTCAATACAGAAAAGAGTCATAAGTCAGCATTGTGTTAAAAAAATATGGCTTCAATGAAAAAAAAAATTGAGAAATTTACCTCGACCATTGGCGGAAAGAGTAAAACAAGATGGCGGCGATTCGAAAATTTGCTCCAAACCGATTCGAATAATTTACTATTCGATTCGATTCGAATATTCGATTCGAAATGCCCAGCCCTACTTACGACGTTGTTCCGTTCTCGAGACGCGGTGTAACCCGAATTTCAGTGTAAGTCGAGACATTATACTGCACAGTATATAAATTACTCTATACATATCGTACTGTATTGTAAAGTATGGTACTGTGATAAAATGTATAAATAATGCAAAAAAGTACTTCAGAAAACAATTTCATATCAAATGAATAAAAGCAAATACTGTACGGTACAGTATTATCTTTTATATTTTTATGGAGTGTGTTCGTAACCTCGAAACAGCGCAAGTTCGTCGTAACTAGGGCTGGGCATTTCGAATCGAATAGTGAATTATTCGAATCGGTTCAGAGCTAAATTTCGAATCGCCGCCATCTTGTTTTCATCTTTCCGCTAATGGTCGAGATGAATTCCCCAATTTTTTTTTCCTTAGAGTCATATTTATTCAACGAAATTCTAACATATGACTATTTTCTGTAGTGAGTTATTGATAAAACGTGTTTGTTATTCTGTGTGAACGCTCAGTAATCTATCTGGATGATTTATTCTCTGTCTTTAGTAATTCATTTGTTGAGAGGATCAATTACTATAATAAAGTCGCTTAAAATTATATATTTTCAAGTATTCGAGATTTGAATCGATTCGAAAAAATTATTCGATTCGATTCTGAAATCACAAGGTATTCGAAAATGCCCAGCCCTAGTCGTAACCCGAGGACTCCCTGTAGTTTATTTTTCAACCATACGTAAAATGCACTTGATGAATACAGAATATAAAAAAAGCAAAACTGACATTTCTGGGTTAAGAGAAGCACGAGAAACCAATACCGGTTATCGAGCAGCGACATCAGTTATTGAGCCCAACAGTAATTGATAATAGAATAAACGAGAATATCGGTCGGAGACCGAAGACTTATCGATCTTAGATCGGTAATTAGTTAATAACTTGCTAATTATACGACATAATTAACCTAAAATCTATAGGCTTCTGGTCCGAGGTAAGATGCATGTACATGCAAAATTTGGAGCAGATTTAACCACGCGTTCGTGAGATATCGCGTTCATCTAACAGACACACAGACAGACAGACAGACATACAGACAAATACCTATCAATATATAAAAAGTCGAACAATGATTATTAAAAGTATAAGGCGAAGTACGTCGAGGCGACCTGGATTTCTGAGAGTCGCCCGATACACAAAGAAACAAAAATCTTGGGCCGCCTACAATATTTAATTTCGACTTGTTTCCTCTAAGTTCGACTCAATTTACAAACTTCGTAAAAGTTCAGAAAATGTTTTCTAATTTTAACCTTTGACCTCTGTAAGAGATGCGAACCTTATTCTGACAATACGCACTCAATTTGCATAAATTATCTCTTACGAGTTATCGTTATGTTAACGTAAATAACCGTGACCCCCGGTAACCCTAGTTATTCAGAAATATGTTCTCTCAATAGGCGTAGCCGAGGGGTGTGTGTTTGAGGGGCCATGCCCCCCCCCCCCCTTTTCCCGCCCAAAAATAAAATTTGAATCCATTTTTCTCTATTCTTGAACGATTTACTAAAAACTCACTTTCTTGGCTTGCTATCAATAATCCTATCACCAAATGAACAAATCGAGAATAAGTCTGTGGAGAGATTCTTAAAGATATTGTTGGACATCAGTAGCTGCTTTATCATCTAGCCTTGTTCGGAGCAAAATGCACGAGTAAGCGACGTATTACGTCATTATAAAAAAAAATTGAGCTGGCTATGATCATGGATTCCCACTTGTTTCATGTGAACTCGACTCAATTTACAAATTTCATTAAAGTTCAAAAATGTTTTCTAATTTCAACCTTTGACCTCTGTAAGAGATGCGGACCTTTTTCCGACAACACGCGGCTCAATTTGCATAAATTATCTTTCAAGACCGATCGTTTTTTAAAGTACGCATCCGTGACCCCCCATTGACCTTAATTATTCAGGAATGTGTTGTCGTGTTAAAAGTTTTTGTTATCTAATACAATTTAAACGACAAAAAAGCGTTGAAAAATTCAACTTGCGTTTTACAGTCAATTCGACAGTTGTTAAATTGAGATACTTTTACGTTATCATTTAAGTAAAATAAGAGCTTCAATTAATCTTAATTTAAATTATTTTATTGAGATATTCAACTTGCGTTTTTCAGTTAACTTAAAGGTAAAGTTATATTTGGTGTAAAGAAGTGATGGCCAATTACTTTCTTGAGTGGGCCAGATACAGATAATAGACTCCGTTACTGGGACGGGGGCTTGAATATTTTAATTCTATTCTTCTTTATTCATTATTTTATTGTCTTTGTTTCCTCTAACATTTCCTAAGTACCGTATGTAGATTATTCCAAAAATCAAAAAAGATGATTTGAAAATACTAGAACGCCGTTTGTCATGACGTCCAAACCAGATATGGTTAAGACATTGAAGAAATGCTATATATGTTGTGCTTGTTAAAAGCAATACAAAATACTAAAATACAATTTCAATTCTTGAACAAATCAGACCATTGAAGAAAAACAGGAATGCATAGATTAGATTATTTGATGAAAACTTGCATAAACATAGAATCGGTTGCAAAAATAATAAATATCATATGAAACCGGGGTACTACCGAAGTATATGATTCAAGATGGCGGACAGGTTAGGGTTAGGCCATATTTTCAGGTACAAATACTACGGCAGTCACATGGATAGTCCCAAAGTGACTATAAACCAAGTGAGGACATGCATTGGTAACGCTATAAGCGCTCGTGTGACGTCACACCAGCCATTTTGTGTCCAGAATTCTATCGCTGTATGATCCCAACTAAATGATTTAAACCTGCGATCGTTAAACAGCTGATTAAAAAAAAAACGATGCTCAATAACTCCGACCAAACTTTCGCAGCGGCAAAACGAATGAACATTCTTCTGAAAAATTAATTAACCGCAGATGATATTAAAATATGCGTATCGCAAATTTTCAACAAGGTGTACATTGCCAAAATAATATCAAAATATATACTACATGCATGAAATGAAGGATAATGGCGTATATCAAGTTTACAAGAACATCTAATAATCTGGAGTGTATAAAATAATATATTATTTTGAATTGAGCTCTTGCCGCATGTCTACTAGCATACCGTTTTTCAATCATTTTATTTTTCTCCTCTTTTGCGTGAATATTTAACCTTAAATTGAGAAAACGTTTCAAAATTTCAAAAGCGATATTGTGGCAAGATGGGAAATTATATTTCAAGCAACTTTATCTGTCAGAAAAGTAACAGGAGAACATATATTATGAAAGGCATTAATATTTGCATGAAATATAGTTTATACTTCGAGCAAAAATACGATTGCTTTTTTGGATGGGTGGCGTAAATATTGGGTAAAACTATCAATTTTCAAATATTTATCAGGTGTGTAAGACCTAAAAAGAGTTAGTAACGATTGTGTACATTCATCGGGATTGACACTTTTCATAGAAACAAACAAACAATTTGAACCCCGTGTCTTTAGGGTTCTCCCGGAAACATCAAGGCTAATTTTTCACCTTTGGATATCGATAAAATTACACAATTAAGTTTTATCAACGAGAACGTAGAAGACATGATGGCGTCTCTAGATCACCTAGTAAATATTTAATATTTTCCGACGCAAAATATTCAAAATATCCTGCCAATAATAAGTTGATAAGAGCTGCAACACCAGTCGCGGCAACTGGTTTTTAAATTTTGTACCTTATAATGTACATGCTTTGATGAAATTCATTAGGCCGCACAATGTGCTAGCCATGAGATCAAACAAATTGACAAACGAGACCTTCTGACAAAGCTAAAACAAACCGACGCTGCCGCGTTCCCCGATTCGCTGGACATAAAATGACGTCCGATATGCACCATTGCACTCGTTGTCTCCACTTGGTTTTTAGTCACTTGGATAGTCCCCAAACTCGTAATAGTACTAAAATAGGGAAAATTGGAATAAAATGACGGCCTAATCCCAACCTGGTACACATACTACGTTCCGCCATCTGCCATCTTGGGTCACATACTTCGAGAGTACCAAACCCGGGGCAGATCGGTTTGGTCAAACCTTGGCCCGATTCCGAAGTTCAGTGATATTCAACTCATATGAAAAGTAATAATATTAAAATCATTGAAAATCGTTCATGTTTCGACGTTTTGAATAATTTAGCAGCGGTACAGCTATCGTTAGATGTAATATTGACGTATTTGACGAATATACAACGTTATATTATGTATGACATAATATGTATTTCTCTCTATCACTGAACTAGTGAAAAAAGTGACCAATTAGTGAAAAACGGGCTACCTCCAATAACAAATAAAAATAGTTGGATTGTTATTAAATATAGAAAAATGGGACCTCCTGAAATATGCGCACAAAGATGGCGCACATCCTGAACTCAGGTTGTGTACAAGGTCAGTTTCAGGTTGTGCGACATCTTGGTGCGCATACTTCAGGAGTACCGAAAATTGTATGACCGCCATACTGTATGACTGGGACATTTAAGACCGGGCGGGGTAACTTGTAAAAATCGGGACTGTCCCAGCTAAACTGGGCGTATCCTGATCATGTCGAAACTGTAGTTATTGGAAAACATACTTTTGCGACATATTTATTTCTCTCTATTACTGAAATAGTGAATTGAGTCGCCAATCAGTGATAAACGGGCTAAAAACAAATAAAATAAACAAATAAAAATAGTTAGATTGAAATAAATATGAAAATATTTATGACTGCCATACTGTATGACTGGGACATTTAAGTCTACTGGCCGTGGCAGCTTCTCAATATTGTGACTGTCCCAGCTAAACCTGGGCATATGACAATCCTGATTATGACGAAACTGTAGTTATGGGAGAACATATTTTTGCGAGGATACGTTGGACAATTTTTTTTCAACACAAGACTGTTCTGGAACAAAGATCTCTCTCAAGTTGACTGCCCCTTTATCCTTCACCGGCTAGGCCTTTATAATCTCACCGCAATACAAGTCTCGTTCAACATTGTTCTATCTTTTATTGTCTCAACTTGTTCGAGCTCCGTTCGTGATTTGTTCAACTTATACATTGCGTGGGAATCCCTGAAAGAGATTCACGGTTTAAAAGATTGACTTGAGAAATGGAACATACGCTTGCTCGCCAAATTTGGCGCTCCTGAAGTATGTGCACCAAGATGATGCACAACCTGAACCCTAACCTGGAAAACATACTATGTTCAGGTTGTGCGCCATCTTGGTGCACATACTTTTGGAGCTCCCCAAATTATAATAACTGCTTTACCAACATTAAATGGATGTCTAGGTAGCATGAAAGAAATCTGAAAATATTGAAACACATTGACGTGAATACCCGAAAGAAACTCAAATTTTTTTGTAGTTTGATAAATGTTTTTTATCATCAATTCAATATTTTAATATCATATATTTATGATAAATATAAACATATTGAGCGCAAAACTATTTTAATACTTTAGGAACTTTAATCAATCTTTTTAGAAAGCGTCCTTGACTCTGACAAACATTATACGCACTCCTCTGTGTTCCCAATCGCGAATATTTCGTTGTTGATTGATAATATACTGACGTCATATCCAACAATAAATGGCCACGCCCTCTCCATGTCAATCATCTTCCATAAGTTTGCAAAAATATCAAAGCATTGTATTACTCCGTTGTCTGTACAGAAAAATAGAATTAAAACTTGTTTGAGTGATTTACCTGGTCTTTTTTTTTTTTTTTTTTTTTTAAAAAGTGAAATAAAAAACACTTCGCAAAATAGCATTTCGTGCTGAACAATGGAAAATCTGTCACTAAAATGTTGTGAAAAAAAAAAAAAAAAATGGTTCTTGGTTTATTCATGCGTGAGGGTCTTATGACGTCTTCAAAAATTGTAGAGGATTGGCAATGTTTATGTTAATAATCGTGAACCTGCCTACATTCTAGCAAGCAGTACAGATCACGTATACCACTAATTGACCAGCGGTTATCAATTTAATAATACTAACGGTCCGTAAACCACAATGGAAAAACCAAAAAATCAGATACGAATCGGACGTTCAACCTAGCTTGGGTAAACGCTGAATGTCTTGCGACGCCATGGCATGGGTCGCAGAAACTAAAGGCCGTAAGACCGCTGCAAAATTACAATCAATTGTAATCCTTGCCAGATATCATCAGGAACAAGAGAAATATACGGACACGTTGCGTCACCTAGTGGCAAATGACCGAAAAACGAATCCCATGCAGCTCACCGGAATATTTGAAATAAATAAAAGTAATAATCTTCTAGCGGAAAATTTAATCTTCAAGCACTGAAAATTTCAAACAGATTGGTCCAGTAATCAAAGAGAAAAGCGACTTTTTGAAAACGTGTCGAAGAACAACAACAACATAATTTTGAAACATCGTTATGTCCACTGACGTGTCCAATAAGAAAATGACTCGTCGATTATGATTATATTGCGTCATAGTATTAAGCGAGTGACTAAGAATTAACGTAAATTTGAGAATATATCAACGTCATCCTTGACTGTATAAGATGTCCCTTGATATTGCCTCGAAAGTAAATCCACATAATATACAAAAATTATCAAACACCTGCAACATATATAGTTCCCTTCTGAACAGCCAAGCTTGCATTCGCAACTCCCTTCAGCAGTTGACTACAGATCTCCCACTTATCTAGTCTTGGATTGAATCTTTCAACAGAAAGTATATTCTTTAGTTGACTGTCACTCCCTCCGATACAATATAAATGATCTGAATGGAATAGGTTTTGTTACTTATCGGTCTTGATCAGTAAGTATGTTGATAGGTATTTGTCTGTTCGTTTGTTTGTCTGTTAGATGCACGCGATATCTCACGAAAGCGTGGTTGAATCTGCTCCAAATTTTGCACGTGCTTTTATCATATCTCGGACCAGAAACCTATTGATTTTGGATAAAATATGTCGTATAATTAGCGATTTATTGATTAATTAGTGAGCGGACACGCGGTGTCACTATTGAGTCAAAGCGAAGGATGCACGCCGCTAGATCGATAAGTCGGCGGTCTCTAATCGTTATTTCGTTTAAAAGTCGAAGCTGTCTGAGTCAGTTCCGAGAAAATCATATTTGTCAACATAAATAAGAACGTATTCAAATTTCCGACCACCTGGACTGTTTTGTTACTGATTTTTGCGCGACATACATTAGTCTTAAGGTCTCAACCATTGATCCGACACCATTAAATAAAGACCCCAAATATTCAAATGAAATGACACTGACTCAACTAAACGCAACTATTGACTCCATTCGAATGACCTGTGGCTCCGCGTGACTCGGGGTTTCCGGTGACTTCATCCCAACACTAATAAAAATGAATATATTCTGCATCAAATCATGTTATAGTACAAGAGTCGGCAACCTACGGTCTGAGAGTAGTATAATCCGGCCTCACGGGGGCGTGGTTGAATCTGCTCCAAATTTTACATGTGCATTCATCATATCTCGTATCAACAGGAGCCCGTTGATTTCGGATGAATTATGTCGTATAATTAGCGAGTTAATAATTAATTTGTGATGGAACACGCGGTGTCACTATAGAGTCATAAATCGAAACCGCAGTTTCGATCGATAAGTCTTCGGTCTCCGACCGATATTCTCGTTTAATTATTAATTACAACGGAAGGCCGGAGGACCACAACCCGATCTACCGAGTCATTGAGTGTGGCCCTTCCAAACTCAGATTTTTCATTTATTTACATATCTTTCAAGTATTCAAGTCTCGATTCGAAAAAAATATCCGATTCGATTTAGAAATCCTAATGTATTCAAAAAAGCCAGCCCTAGTCCATACCATTGACTGCAATCAATGAGGGCGATATTCTCCCAACATTGAGTTGTTTTATCTTTATCCATTGATTGACAGCTGGATCATATCGCTCTACAGTCTTCAAATCCCGCAATCCACCACAAACGTATAATAAACCCTGGAAGAATGAGATGAAGGGTAAAAGATTAAATTGGAGTAACTGTAGGGTATTGGACTCAAAATGGTTGCTCAACCAGTGAATATACAAACGAGAATATCGGTTGGAAACCGAAGACTTATCGATCGATAGTTAGGGGATCCCCCAAAACAGAAACTGCAGTTTCGATTCATCCGCTCTTGTAACTTGCGCACTGCGCATCGCACACACACACTCGGCGGGTTTTAAAATTCTCTCGCTTTACAAAAATCTAGATCACTATATCAATAATTGATTGATAACTCGCTAATTATAGGACATAATTCGCCCAAAATCAATAGGCTTCTGGTCCGAGATAAGATGAATGCACATACAAAATCTGGAGCAGATTCAATCTTGCTTTCGTGAGATATCGCGTGCATCTAACAGACACACACACAGACAGACAGACAGACATACACACAAATACCTATCAATATACTTACCGATCTTAAGATCGATAAGTAACAAGCCTGAAATACTAATCGCTGTATGACGGGTATAATAAACAAGTACATACGTAATATTAAATCATCTTTTTTGATATTGCATACAAGTTGAGTTGTGCTTTTTGAATCGGTTTAGACGAGAATTTCGAATTGTCGACATCTTGTTTTTTAACAGTCAAAAGTCGATGTGAATTCCTCAATTTTTTAAAGGAAGCCATATTTTTAAACGCAGTTCTGCTGACATACGATCTTTTTTTCCAAGTGGGTTATGGATGAAACATGTTTCTCATTGTGTGTGAACGCTCAGCCGACTGTCTGAGTGATGGATTTTAGGTTTTCAGTAATTACTCATCGATCTTTAGTATGTTGATAAGTATTTGTTTGTTTGTCTGTCTGTCTGTTAGATGCACGCGATATCTCACGAAGGCGTGGTTGAATCTGCTCCAAATTTTGCATGTGCATTCATCATATCTCGGACCAGAAGCCTTTTGGATGAATTATGTTGTATAATTAGTGAGGTATTAATTAATTAGTGATGGGACACGCGGTGTCACTATAGAGTAATCAATCAAAACCGCAGTTTCGATCGATAAGTCTTCGATCTCCGACCGATATTTTCGTTTATGTGTTTGAGAGGCTCATACAATAAAGCGTCACATACAGTCACATATCTTCCGAGTATTCGAGATTCGATTAAAAAAAATATTCGATTCGAATTTAAAATCATCAGGTATTTAAAAAAATCCAGCCCTAATCCTCTTTCCTACCATTCAACTCAGCAGCCGAAGGATTCCAATAATAATTATCGCTCAAATCTGCAACTCTCGTCCACTTCGAAGCCAAATCTGAGTATTTAAGTCGCACAACCTGTCTTGTATGGAACAAAAGCGTGAATGTGATCTTTCGACCAAACTGTCGTGGAATGTTGTTTCTTCTTTCATAGATTTATGCATCTCCTGAAATATTCAGTCTTGGATTTCACAGTTAACTATGAGTGATGCTGTTTAACTATATGACACGTATAAAAACTCCATTGCCGTTAATTTTTTTTATCTCGAAAGCTTGTCTAAAGTTCGCAAATCGCACATTTGCTTTTGTAGTAATTGAATACTTTATGGGTTCTTTATGAGTATTTGTATAATGTTAAATAACTGAAAAATAATATTGGAATAACACCAAATGCACTGATAATATTTTCTGCTCAAAAATAAACAAAACTATTTTCTGAGGAGGAATTTCTTTCTGGCTCTTATGGTGTCTTGTCCGATTACCGATCATGGTTGGGTACGGTCAACCAGTAAATTTTGAGAAAAGGTGGGTGAAGCTATAAACGACCTGCAGTTGGACCAACCCCTGTGCAAAACGAAAAACCCAGCAACTCTCTTGCACTTAATTAACCCAGGGAACTTGAAACGACGGAAAGCGTGTAACTAACGCAATGAGTAATTCACCCCAATTGATGGCAATTTTTTTCTATTATGACGTAATACGACGTTCACTCGTGTCTGTAAAATTGCATTAATATGTTGAAATATCATCCCAAATCATCTTTCTCCACCTGGCTACGGCTCTGGAATCACCAATCGTCGATCGTTTGACAAAAATCAAAAGAGCTTTTGCTGCTAAACAGTGGTTCCCCTGAATTGGGGAATCCGAATCAAAATTAAAATTTTAATCCGAAGTCGAATTCGAAATATTTGTCAGTAAAGATATCCGGACAGGATTTCCCGCCTCTTACCTGCATCTGCACCCACTCCTTCGTCTCTGGTTTGTAAGAATAGAGAGACATCGTTGAAAAATCGAATACGATGATCGCGTTTGGCTGCGAGGGTGTAATATCTTGAAGAATGTAAAAACATTGAAAGTGTGGGTTCACGCTCATAAAGTATTTTATTTACTTAGATTCAGAATGAAGACTTGGATTACAAAATTTGAAATAATAATATTATACATAAAGCATAAGTTCAACGTAAAATAATAAAAAATTGGAGAAAAAACACCAAATCGATAAAATAGATATTTTCGGAAAGCGATGCCTTCAAATTACATTTGAAATAAATTCTACTTACTTTCTCACCCCCAGACCGAATTGTAGGTAATTTTAAATAAGGGGTATCTTGAGATAACATTAAAATAATACTGTGCTGTTCTAATACTACACATTTTAACTAATGACAATATGTAAAAAGGGAAAAATCATAATAATATACTTTTGTTCTTATCTTGAAATCTTGTGACGATTGATCGAATCTTTGACACTGTAGCTTTTCTACCTGCATGAAAATAAATTCAAGGAATTTTGCAAGTTTTCGAGTAATGTCAAAACGAATCGTCGTGCTTCTATCGATGTTAACAATAATTTAAAAAAATAAATTGACGTGTATGTAGCCCTCGACGTGTTAGTGGTATTCTGTCGCATCTATTTCAATGTGGTCAATTTATAGCGATTCATGGCATGGATTTGACCACAACGCTGTAGAACTTATACGACAACTATAGATATGGATTTTACATATTTATCCCGAGGAAGGAAAGGCAATAAGCCGTACGGCAGCATAAACTTTACTTGGTGCTCCCGAAGTATGCGAACCAAGATGGCGGACATCGGAACGTAACATGGGTAACAGGTTAGGGTTAGGCGATAATTTTTTTCCAATTTTCCTTATTTTAGTCCTATTATCAGTTCGAAGACTAGCCAAGAGCCCCCTGTAGTATTTATACCTAAAATTATGGCCTAACCCTAACCTAGTGCACATATTACATTCCGATGTCCGCCATCTTGGTTCGCATACTTCGGGAGCCCCCTTTACTTTGATGAAGAGCGAACCGACCTCTCTTTTCCTTCCATCTCATTAGAATGCGATGATTTTGTTCCTCAACTGAAATTGTTTCTTTTGCTATAAACCCCTCGATGTCAGATTCTTTTAACCGAAGTCCGTACCTTGAACGGGAGAATTCGATAAATTCTGATTTGTCTCGGAAAACGGAGACAATCTCGTTTTGGAAGACTTCCTCCAGTTTTTCTGAAAAGAGGGCGGTAGAAAGTTTTTTGAGGGGGCGTGAACCCTATTAAAATATAATATTTGTTGGTTTTGATCTTTCTGCTTTATTCCGCTATTTACATTTCTTATTTTGTCAGCCAAAAACAACTGCACTAATAGAAATGACAATTTATTTTGCTTATTTATTTCATTATTGACGTTCCATTCACATATTTTCAACGTGTTTTTTGAATGGAACATACTTTCGCCGGAGCTCATGAAGTATGTGCACCAAGCTGTCGCACAACCTGAACATAGTATGTGTGTGTACCGGTTAGGATTCATGTTGTGCGACATCTTGGTACAATACTTCTGGAGCACCCTTCAGGTATAATTACTACGGGAGTCACTTGGTTAGTCCCCGAACTCGTAATAGAACTAAGAAGAAAAATTGGAATAAAATAACGGCCAAACCCTAACCTAGTACACATACTACGTTCCGGTGTCCGCCATCTTGGTTCACATACTTCAAGAGCGCCAATTAGAATTCCATTCGTCAGCATCCAAGTAAATGCTTAGAGTTGCCTCCCACGTACCAGTTTCCCTAACAAGATTTTCCTGAAGTTTTCAGGTCTGGTTTATTGTCTAACAGCAGGGTTGGGCAGATCGAATCATTAATTTAACTCATCACTTATCAAAGTGATTCATACTCAGCTAACCGTCAGTGAGACTTCACAGGATTTGACTCAATCAAAGTTGAGAGACTTCTATCTAACACTGTTTGAAACTACATTTTAATATCTTACCTTGTGAATGTTCCGCCATTCGCGATATTTTCCGTCATCACCGCTTCAACAGATTTTAACATTAAAGCCATTGCCTCCACGAGATACACTCATTTACACTACGCGGAGCATGATACGGGGATAAATCCAGCTAATTTTCAGTGGCCAGAGTTGGTGTAGATCTTGCGTATGCGACTCGATGCATATTAACTTATGATTGCAATAAATCAAATATGAGCTGCCTGTCGGTGTCAGTTTGCTGTTCAAACAGTTATCACAGGTAATTTCTAGTGTGGCGTGTCTAAGGTGTGTCGCATTGGTCCTCTTCCTTGAAAAACAATACTATGACGGCATATTTAGCATTGTGGCGTCACATTTCTATACTACGGACACAGTCTTCTAGCATAGAATATGGATATGAAGAACTAATGACGAATATGGCCATCGTATTGTGCGCAAAATTTGGGTAGAAATATTGATCTGAAAAATACAAGTCTTTTACTTTATCCATCCTATACAATGAACAGTTATAAATAGACTGGGGATATTAGTTGCGTAGAGCGGAGCAATTTTTTCCCAACAAAGCGACAATAGGTCAGCAAAATTTTGTGACCAAAAACATGCGATGCGACATTCGTCAAATTCTCCATTTCCTATTTCGAGAAAATGTTTTTATTCTTCTAAGGTAGGCCTACTTTCATTCGTGGCCGTGTTTTCAGTGGGTTGAAACGAGAAATCGTAAAGGTCTGCATGATATATTTTCAAACACGTTCTGTCTTCATCCTATGTGTGTCATCTTTAAAAATTATTTTTTAGACAACGAAAAATGGGTTCCATTACATTTGAACCCATGTACATTTGAACCCATGACAATTGCACCTATAGATTTTTTTTTGTTTTACGAACCCATACTAACCCTACCCATGGGTTTTAGCACCCGCATATAGATTGAATCCGCGGATATACACATGGGTTCAAATGTACGGTCACCGAAAAATGTAATATAACAGGGGTGGGCAAGGTTTTCGGACCAGGGGCCAAAATTGTGCCCACCTAGACTGGCGGGCCATGTAAGTGTTAAATACAAAATTACCTTTCATGAACGATATTTACAGTGTTTCAAAGGCAAAAGTGGAAAACAATAAGCCTCGTTTCGGGGATAAATTTAATCGCAATCTCAATAAGTTCCTTGAGCTATGTTTTAGCTCAACCTTCAAAATTTAACTATGACTTAGTTGGTTGTGGCAGCATCAGGCGGGCCGGATTGAATTAATCAACGGGCCGAATTTGGCCCGCGGGCCATTGTTTGCCCATGGCAGTCATATAATCTACGTGTTTCTGCCAAACATGCACGAGCATGATAAACACAATTTCCTTACGTCAGCCAAGCAAATTAAATTTCGATGTGGCCGAGGAAATGACGTCCGTTATATGCAAACGAAAACCTGGCTAACTAATACTACATCTAACATGGCAGACACGGATTGATTACCGGCTTCCCTCTCTCCCGGGATAAATATGTAACTTCTATCGTAATTTACCTAATAGCTAGATGTTGCAGAGGAAATGGCGGGAAAATGCAGACCGCTTATACGTTTGAATTCGTTGAAGGAGATCTGCTTTTGCTTCTGTTAATCTTCATACTTCGGAATACTAATTTGAAAAAGTGATTATGAGGAGTAATTCAATCTGGCCCGCCTGATGCTACCACAACCAACTGAAACCAAATTATGATGTTTTAGCTAAAAAATAGCTCAAGGAATTTGTCGAGATTGCGTTTAAATTGAGTTTTCGCACTTATCATTTCGAGGCTTATTGTTTGCCACTGTTACCTTTGTAACACTGTAAACATTGTTCATAAAATGCAACCTTTCACGTCATACTTAGATAGCCCGCAAGTCTAGGTGGGCAAATTTTTTTGGCCCCTTGTACAAAATCGCGCCCATCCCTCATGGATGCGAAACATAAAACAGAGACAGTGCGAATTAGACAACCCTTGGTTCGATTCCGAGTAACATTCACTCGGTTCCATTACATTTGAACCCACGACAATTGCACCTGCATACTATTGAACCTAAGATTTTTTTTACGGATATTTGAACCCATACTAACCCTAACCAATGGGTATAACCCGCATATAGATTGAACCCGCGGGTATACACATGGGTTCAAATGTACTGTCATTCATTCGTGGCCTTAGACACTCTCCCTGTCAAGATCTGATAATTTTTCGTTCGTACTGGCGTTCGACTCGCGTTATATGAAATCTTGCCCCACAATACCTAACAGCAACGATTACCAGACAACAATCTAGCTTAACTCGTTAACAGTGGCGCATCTAGTGTATAAAAATAATGGCTCGTGCCATGGGCGCCGTTTGGATTAGGGCAGGCTCTATAATTGCAAGAAATTAAAATCGTAAAATTAGTTAATAAATAAATTTCAAATTGAAATTCGTGTTAAATAATAACGTGCAGGTATCTCAATTCAACAACAGTCGTTAACAATTGCCAGCCGGAGATCAACAGAAGCGCATTTTTAAATTTTGCCACTGCTCGTCAACTAAATGGAAGCGAGACTCGGCGTAGCGATTGTCATATTTCGGACTTGACTTGAGACTATTCAACACTGCCTAATTAGCCGATTTTCAACCAGTGGGCCATGTCTACTATTGGAACACGGAAACATTTTCAGGTGCGTCACAAAACTATTTTTAAAGTAATAAGTGAATTTCGATTGTAGCAATGAATGATGATGCTATTTTTTGAGTGGTAATTTACATCGTTAATATTAAAGTAGTTTTTTACCCTTGAATGATAAAGTTGATGGGTCAAAAAATTTTTGTGCAGCGGAGGTGAGCCACAAAAGAAGAAAGGTGGAGAACCACAGGCCTAACAGCAGCGCTTAACTGCCAAATACAATAGAAAAATCTTTGGATTTCTTGCTTCTAATCTTTAAGACTTGAGTCCCTAAACTGAAAAGACTTGCACTCGTACTCAGCTAACTAACTAGGCTTTGTGATCGATTGAAACACGGATGACCCGTACACTGCCTTATGACATCATAAGCGATAATGACGCATGTTAACTGCAATCGAAAGTCCCTGTATCCTGCTCCAGAAATGTGTGTACCAATATGGAGGTAACTAATTTTGTTTGCAGATTTTACATCAAGTTGTGTAAAGGGACTGAAACCCATGGGCAGGGGGATATTCACTTGGCTAACAATTACAGTCCACGAACTCGTAATAGAACTAAAAGAAGAAAAATCGGAATAAAATTATGGCCTAACCTTAACTTGGTACACATACTACGGGAGTAACAATTCCTGCTCTTACCCCCTCAATTATCTGCCAAAAGACAAACGAGAATATCGGTCAGAGACCGAAGACTTATCGATCGAAAGTTAGGGGATCCCCCAAAACAACGCTCTTACTCCATAGTGACACCTTGTGTCCCATCACTAATTACCTCGCTACTTATACTACATAATTCATTCAAAATCAATAGGCTTCTGGTACGACATATGATGAATGCACATGCAAAATCTGGAGCAGATTCAATCTCGCTTTCGTGAGATATCGCATGCATCTAACAGACAGACAAATACCTATCAACATACTTACCGATTAAAATCGATAAGTAACAACGAGAAATAAATTTCACTTAGAATTCCGCTCTCTCAAATAATCATTGCGTCAGCTCACATGGTTGTTAAAACATACACGATATAGTCACTATTATATAGAAAGTAGCATAATTACATATTTCAATGTTCCAGCACAATTTTACTTCTAATACAGCTCTAGACAAGAGCAAAGAATTGGTTCCAATGGTATTGGGTAGACATTGATATTTTATGCCACACTTTAAAGGAGACTACTACAAGCAGTAACTTACTAGCTTTGGCGAGGAAAAGAATCATTTGGCTCTTAAAAAAGCAGTAATTGATTATTTTCTATGGTATTGGGTGGACATTAAAATTTTTATATTTTGTTTAGATGTTTTCATACCTTACGTTTGAACTAGGCTGCTAAAATCAACAACTGACAGCCACCCTGAATGAATGGTGGACCACCCCCTCGCCTGGTCACGAGACCATGTCAAGTATGGAAACAGTTAACCAGTCATTAATTCCGTATGCATGGTATTCAGATCTTTATCTATACATAATTGATTGTTTATCCCAGAGGTTCCGACCTTTTTTTTCAAGCAACCCAAATTTTGTAAAATATTGCGACCCAAATACATACTCAAATTCTAAGCTACATGTAAGTACTTTTATGGCCGCAAAATTAACGACTAATATGAAACTCATAAGTACATGCTTGTCCAAAGCCTTATTTAAAGAGATACCGGTACCCATTTACAATCAACTCCAAAAGAACCAGAAAAAACACAATAAATTTCCATAAGCACCATGATAACATAAAATTACAATACAGCATAAAAATTATCAAAAAATCATCTGTTTATATAGATAGATATATAAGACTTATTCATATTTATCTCTGAGAAGGGAAAGCTGATAATACGGCTAAATCATATGGGCGATCAAGTCCTTTTATATAGTAACAACTAACAAGTCTAAGTATGGGAATAGATAACCAGATAATTCTGTTGTATATACCGGTACTTTAGAAAACTGGTATATTTTACACTTGCACGCTATATTCAATACAGCAGCATAATATCAACCATTAATACCAGTCCAGCATGGCATTTCGTACCAATCTAGCATGGTATTTCACATTCTATACCAATCTAGCATGGTTTTTTAGCATTTAATACCAATTTAGCGCGGTATTTCAGCATTTCACACCATTCTGGTATGATATTTCAGCATTCAATACCAATTTAGCATGGTATTCAACATTTCATACCAATCTAGCATGGTGTTTCATACCTGAAGGGAATTTTTTAACATTTACTCACAGCTCCAAGGGAGTGGAAAGCCGATAAAATGGTTCAATTACAGTACAGTTACAATGATATTGTGCAATTTTTGAAAACAGAAAATGGCCCTTTCATTTAATTTTGGTCCGGTAAAACATAGATAACATATATATACTTAAAATTACATGTACCTTTCTCAAAAATTATACCAAACAAAAGTTTTTACAATGAGTATGATGTAATAAAGTAAAATTAGTATGAGAACATGGTTATATTATTATATCACAATATCATAGATTGCCACAATTATGACCTTATAATGATTTTCTCAATATATTGTTTGTGACATCATATTGTAGTCATTTGATTGTCTTCATCGCTATTTTCCTCAATATCTAGACATCAGTATTTGTTCTGGAACTCGTGATGCCATTTGTTGAAATCGATGCGAAATGCGACAATGCTTCCCGATGTCATACCAGTGATAACGGTCCTGAATTAGGATAATATAATCTTAATCGAATATTTAATGTTTGTTTTATGCCCATTTGGAGATCTAAGTGACAGACTTTTCAATTTTTTCAAGATAAGATAGAATTTTCATAGGATTTGTAAATTTGGATTGAACACTATTAATATAAAAAAATAATTACATTGTTATAAAAATTTTCACTTTTGCATTACTTTGAGATTTGGTTTTATGTTATGCCTATATGAACTTTCCGCAAGAGGAATGCCCCTTTTTGACATTATCTCGAAACACTTTTTAGGTTGAGATAAGACTTTCCATTATCATTCTGTTGGAAAGGAAAGCCATTAATTCACAAGTTGGTGATTCTAGGGCAGGGTGGTCTAAGGTTGTCCGCTTCGGGGGCCACAGAATCATTTTTGGCATTGTTCGCGGGCCACAATAGTGCCGAGAATAGGTAAACAGTGCAATACAAAACAAACACTTTTATTGTGACAACCCATGGATCATTATTTGTCATTTATTAAGCTAAAACATGCAAATACCACCAAAAAACTCTCTAAAACCTGCAAAAAGTCTTTCTTTATGTACATTTAGTTTAAGATTTCAAACTCTTTATAATGAAGAAAGCGCTCCCGCAAATGTAGGTGCTTTCGAACATCGATAAGATTCTCAATCTCTCTATTTTAGAAACTGTTCATTGCTGCAAATCTCATCTAGGGCCGAATAAAATCTCTTACTTCTGATCATGAGATATGTCAATATCCCTTATCCCGGCATCACATTGTGGGTAGGTGTACAAATGCTTCAATTTCCAAGAGTCCCAGACCTGTAGAATGCCCTTGTCTCCTCCAGTGAGCAAATAGTCTCCATCAGTGCTCAGTGTGATTGCCTGAAACATAGGTAATAATATCCATTTTTAAGAGATATATTAATTTATCCAGGAGAGGAGGAAAGGTGATAAGACAGCTTAATCATATGTACAACCACGGCCTCTTGTCCAGTTACCAGCCCATGTCTGGTATGGAATTAGTTGGCCAGTTAGGATGCAGCATTTGGAGGAAATCATAACCAACCATCGGTTAACCACTCTATGACATTGGCAATACCATCGCAGATTAGCGGTGGCAACCGACCAGCAATTACATGTATTCCTAATGCTTAGCACGATGCGTCACACTGCCAAGCCAATCACATAGAAACTTCTCCAGAATACTCAACCATTATCCTATGTACTAAGACATGCATAATAGAGGAATCCGTAGAGCTACTGAAACTGTAAATGCTTTGGTCTGATTACGTTACCAGACACTTGTAATCATTGTGCCATTACCTGTTGTTACGTACTACTTATTATTTGTTTACATGTTTGTGTGAGGGTGCTACTTTGGTGATGGTGCATTACAGTTTGTAACAGGCCTGAACGAATGATCTGCACATGTGTATCATCTACCTTGAGGGCAAATAAACTTTACAGAAACTTTATAGTACTACATTAGGACTACAATACGTTGTCAAATTATCCAAAAGTTTATTTCCACCAACCTTGATTCCATCTTCCAGTTTCCTATGCGTCAAGCTCCTTCCATTCATTGTGAAATTGCAGACAAGTCCATTCTTGTAAGCAACATACACGATGCCTTCGCTACTGAATTTCAAAAGATATGGACTAAGGCTCAATTCCCTGTAAAACAAATGAATTAGTCTATTTAGATATTTTTCTTCTTTTCTCAGAGTCTAAAGGCATCTACTAAAACATAATAACGAAAGGAACTCTTCTTTTGTGAGGTCTCTGTGATTTTTTAGAAGGCCTTCCTCTTCATAATCGGCCACTGATATCTAATGATAGGTGAGTATCTCAACTCTGGTATTCTTCTTAAACCAGAGTCAGAGTTAAATTTTTTTAACCAAGAGTCGATTGCATATTTTCCTTGATTTCATTGCCCTGCTGATAGTAACCACAATAAAAATTTGATAATAACGGTGGCGCAGCTTGTCCTAGTAAGAATTATGTGTTCAAAATTTTCATGTAATTTTGTATTAATATTGTTTTTATTGACTATGATCATGCAAGTTACTACAACAAATTGCTGCTTATTTTCTCCATTGCTTTGCTGATATATAAATTTCATATTTACGTTGCACAATATAAATTTCAAATTTACGTCGCTTCGGCTTGATAATCGGTACTCCCGAAGTATTCGTACCAAGATGGCGCACAACCTTAACATAGTGTGTGTACCGGGTTAGAGTTGTTCAGGATGTGCGTCATCTTGGTACGAATAGTGCAAAAGCGCCTGATAATCAACTCGTGCTCATAGCAGCTTCCTTTCCCCAGTATAATTATGTATTCAACATTTTGTATTTATATCTTTTTTTATTTTGCTGGCTTGAAAACTATACTTCACTATGCCTATGCAAGGTACTACAACAAGGGTCGGCAACCTACGGCCATCTGGCCCGCGACGTTTCACAGAATTATAGTAACAAAACAGCTGTTTTGACAATTATAGTCTTTCCCGTAATGGAATTTATTGCGAGACACGTGTAGACAAAATTATATTATAACCTAACAATTATATAATTCACAATTACTCGTTTATTGAGCCTATAATTTAATTACAATTAGACAAATGGCAACAAAACGCAGAAGACAAGTGCAAAAGTTTCAATGACGCCAAAAATATTCAAATGGAATTTTTTAAGATGCAATGCAATGAGGAAATATATCTATATTCTATGCGAGAGATGTATCACTGCTTGATTTTTATTATAAAAAGTATCATCCGTTTGGTTCACAACTTTTTTAAAATATGTGCGACCCGCCAATGACTTGCAAACCTTAATTTTTGCCCGCGAGCGACAAAAGGTTGCCGACTCCTGTACTACAACACAAAACACACAAAAAAAAGCTCTTTCACTTACTTTTCCCCTATGGCCTCCTCACTCGGTTGTAGCGTCCTCAGTAAGTCTCCTGTGATTGTGTGCAGTAATACAGGTCCGTTCAATGAAGCGCTTGCTATAAGGCCTAGCTCTGCACAAACACTAGCAGCAATTAGTTCAGTATCGTGACCAGTGAGTACAGCTCGTGGAGATGGGTTCTCTGCTAAATTTCAAAAAGAAATTTTTAATATAAGACGTTTATTAGCGCATTTCGTTCCGAACAAGGCTACATGCAAGCAGCCATTGGGTCCTATCGGTCAAGACGATGAGGTATCACGATTCCGACTGTTTGTCAAAACGGTTAGATTCAGATAATTTATTTTTATCATGCAAGAATCAGTGTAAACACAACACAAAAGTGTATTATGAAATTGAAAAAAAAAATTGAAATATACTCAGAAGAAATAACATCAGAGATTCATTGCAATCGATAAGGGGTTGCGAAGGACTGTAACAGTCTTCAGGTCAGCGACACCTGTTGGCTGATTAATTCAGAAGGAAAAGACTAAAATATACTAATTATTAAAATTGATTCGATTATTCAATCAAATCTAATAACCAAAATTTTTAGACAACTCTCCTCTTCTCCGGGGCATGTTTTTAATGAAGTCTTGGTCATACATTCTGAATTACACCCTAATTTTGATTTCCACATAGTAGCGGAGTATAAAGTCAGACTTCAAGGGTGATAAAGGACGTCAATATTATCACTCAATTAGTTACTCAAAAAGAGTTAACTTTACTAAGCATGGCTAACAGAAAATGAAGAAAGACCAGTTTTTGTTATCAAAATTTGATCTTCACAGAGTTGAAGTTGAAATTTTTTTTAACTCGAAATAAAACTCAAAATTTTTTTGACCAGAATTCAAAATTGAATGTTAAATTTTTCCTAGATTCCTCTGGCCTGCTCTCCCCGGAATAAACAGCAAAACCTTATTTTAGCACTTTGTTACCTGGACTCGATGAATCTCCAATTATTCTATTTCTTCTGCCATTCCAGTACCAGAGAAGTAGAGTGGCGTCTCGTGAGCCCGAGACAATGTAGCAGTCGCCGCCAATGTAAGTATCGGAGCGTACGAGACATGTTACGACATCCCAGTGTCCGAATATTACTTGGTTCAGCTTGCCTGAAAAAGGAGATGTAACTTTATGTCAGAAACGAAAAGGCGCCAAATAAAAGTATTGGAGCGCATTAGACATATTACTACGCCCCAATGTCTGAATATTACTTGATATGTATGACTTTAAAACTATGTCAGAAAGAAAAAGCGTCATGACCTATTAGCGCCAACAAAAGTATCTGAGTGTGCAAGGCAACAACTCAATGTTCGAATAATCGTTGTTGCAGCCAAAAAGGTGAAAAAGACTTTGAATTGGAACATGCTTAAAGTGTTATCCCAATGTACTTGTGAAGCCGAGGGTTACAGTGGAATTCTTTTACTATCCCATAAAAAAAATTAAAATTTCCTGCACATTTCAAGTCGAGTCTATCAAGTGATTAGTCAAGTACGAGTTTTCGAAAAACCCTGACTCAAGTCCTAATTTGGTCTTTGAAAAAATGGCACCCGAGTCACTTCAGGACACCATGGGAATTGGAAAAGAATTGAGAACCATGACAACATCTTGAGACCTGGAGAAAAACATGACTAAAGTCTTTGGACTTAAAATGGCCAGAGTCGAGTCAGTAAGAGTGTTCAGAAAATGTGGTTTTAGTCAACTCAATGGCTCAAGTCTCTCTGGCACCATTATAAAAAGTGAACAGGTAATCACCTTGTACTTATTAAACATTTGTGTCTCAGTGGAGTCAAATGTGAGAAGAGTTGTCATGAGTTAGTTCAAAATCCTTAAAAAAAACGATAATTGGTGCATAAATACAAAGAATAAGAAAACCCACCAGTATCCGTTGCAATGATTCGTATACTTCGATCCCAGTATCCACACGAGACAAGGTATCGGTTGTCAGCGGTAACCACGAAACAAGAACTCAGAACGCTCACACTTTGGTCGAGCATGTCACTGATCTGACGACGACATAGAGCTCCTTGCGTGTCTAGGATTTAATAAAAAAATTAACAATAATGGCTGACACAGAAATCGAAGTTTCAAAAACGTTGTCTCAAAGGAGATTTCATCACATTATCAGAGACAACTGACATCATCACTGACCTCAGCCATTGTAAGAACCTATGCAATCTGGTTGAGCAGAACCCACCAGTCTGTGTACAAATGGGGAGGTACTCCCGTAGTATGTGTATCTGGTTAGGGTTAGGCTGTAATTTGATTCCGATTTCCCTTATTTTAGTTCTATTACGATTTTGAGAACTGTCTATGTTAGCCAAGTGAATATACCCCCTGCTCATAGGTTTCAGTCCCTTCACACAACTTAATGTAAAGTAAGCGAACAACATTAGTTACCTCCCTATTGGTAATGGTACAACATACTTCTGGAGCGCCGATAGGGAGGGATGATGCCAAAAATTGCGATTTTGTAATAGAAAATGATTTAACATTCCACTGCCTTTCAGGTAAAAAAAAATGCCGATTAAAGTAGCCTTACTTTATGAGCCTTGCAAGTACTGTATAGAAAACTATCAGAACTATACATAATTATAATTCAATTTCGTTAAACTTAATGATTTACATCCATTGTGGATTTGTGGTCGTATAGGTTGTAATGGCCTATGGCTAGCCCTGACTAAAACAATAGGAAAAAACACTTACTCATGAGCTGGTCTGGCTCGATTGGTAGGATTTGTTTCGACTGATCATTTGGGTTTTGCTTTGCTTGAGATCCTTGGACCTGAGAAAAGATTTGATATAGATAAATACTAGAGGTACATGACAAATTGGGGAATATTACGGCTTCCTCCACCATCAAGTCCACGCGGAGTCAAGTGCTTCTGGAGTATGTGTACCAAGATGGTGGACACTGGAACGTAGTATGTGTACCAGGTTAGGATTAATTTTATTTCAATTTTTCTTATTTTAGTTCTATTACGAGTTTGGGGACTAGCCAAGTGACTCCCGTAGTATTTGTACCTGAACACATGGCCTAACCCATACCTGGTACACATACTACGTTACGGTGTTCGGTATCTTGGTGCGTATACTTCAGGAGTACCCAAATAACTTGCTAACTAATCTCATACCCGACATGGACTGGTAACCGGACGAGAGACGGCGGTTCGCCATATGATTATCGGCTTTCCTCTTGTAAATAGCCCCAAACTAAGGCACACAAATAATTGACAACCTCGAGTTGCAACAAGAAATTCTATTATCTCCACTCTCGCCAAAAACACCTTTTCACATACAGTGCTACATTGCAAGAAAAACGTTTTAACTCAAGAGAATAAAAGAAACAAAGAAATTGAGCAAGACTGGTATTGCATCATCATTGGCAAGGCGCCAACCTTTTTCTTAGTGTCTCTCCTTTTACTAAACAGGAGAGAACTTATTTCTTTAACATGTTATAAACAAGCTTGGACTTGCAAAGTGATGTGCAATTAAGTATGGCCCTGGAAAGTTATTTATAAGTGATAACACATTAACACCTCTCTCCCGGAATGAATATGTAATCCTATCCTAAATAATGAGAAATCTGAGTACCTGGTTCCATTTGTTGATACAGAATTGCAGGTTCTGTGTGCAAGTTACAACAGCTGGGTTATGCAGGCTGGGATGAGTGTTGGCTGCTACGTGAGTCACTGGAGAATTGGAAAGGAATTTGAGGACCATAACGACATCTTGAGACGTGGAATCTTTGAACATCATGGGTGTCTGTATAAAGTGTAAGGTTTTATATTTATTGTATAGCGGGGTGCTTAAACTGGAGGCCAAAAAGCCATTATTTTGATGAATTCTTGTTGGGATTTTTAAGTTATAAAAAAATTGGCCAATATATTTCAAAATTACAGTAACTTGAAGATTGAGAATAAAAAGCTAATACTATAATGCAGGGGTTCCCAAACCGCGGCCCGCGAGCCAAATCCGGCCCGCGTAACGATTTAAAATGGCCCGCCGAGCTTATGTGAAATAGTGATCAACAGATTTTATTTCTACCTTTTTGCGATCCAGATACCGCTAATTTATGTCATTATCAGAGTTCAAGCACGTGTTTATCGTAACAATTCAATTATACCAGTATATCAATTATGGGTACCGGTGAACGGGATTACAAAGGGAAGTAATTTAGCTATCAGCCATAAAGGAAAGCTTAAAGATGTCAGAAATCAGACGAAAACTAGACTTAGAAAACTGACGTTTCTTGAATAAATGGCAGTGTTCGTATTCTCCATTGAAAAGAATCAAACTTTAGAGATTTGTCTACTTTGCCAACGAACTATTCCAGTTCTGAAGGAATACAACATTGAGCGCTATTATGAGTGAAACAAGCATGTTTCAAAAAAATGTCAACTGAAAGTGAATCCACTTTTGGGCGCTACATTCTTCCGGCCCGCGAACATCTTTCCGATTCTAATTTTGGCCCGCGGCCGATAAAGTTTGGGAACCCCTGCTTTAATGGATAGGTTGTTGTGTTCTTGAGATGCTCAGGATTATTGTTGTCAAATACAGACATATCAATTTTAAATTCTCAGTACTCAAACAAGTAAAAATTTGCTGAAGACCAATACTCCACCTCAGGGGTCGACAACCTTTTGTTATTAGCGGGCCAAAATTTAAGGTTGCAAGTCATTGGTGGGCCGCACATATTTTTAGAAAGTTGAAAATCGAACGGATGATACTTTTCATAAAAAAAATCAAGCAGTGATACATCTCTCGAATAGAATATAGATTTATTTCCCTCATTGAATTTCATAAAATTCCATTTGAAGATTTTCAGCGCCATTGAATCCTTTGCATCAACTTTTCTGTATTTTGTTGCCATTTGTCTAATTATAATCTAATTATAGGCTCATTAAACGAGTAATTGTGAACTATATACTTGTTAGGTTATAATACAATTTAGTCTGAAGAATATAATTGTCAAAACGGCTGTTTTGTTACTATAATTCAGTGAAGCGTCGCGAAATGGATTATATTACTCCGCAGGCCGTAGGTTGCTGACCCCTGCACTACCTTATTTCAAGTTTTCTTTAAATCGTATAACGCTCAAATTTTCCAATTCAAATTTCTCCTTTTTTTGTAATTCAGGGCACACTTTCATATGACATTCGGTATAATTTTTTAAACTTGTTCATTAATTGCAAGTGTAATAAACATTGGGAGCACTTGGAAACTGACTCAGATGACCACACAGTCGGTTATTTTGTTTATTACTCATTGATCTTAAGATCGGTAAGTATGCTGTTTAAGTAGGTATTTGTCTGTTTGTTTGTCTGTTAGATGCATGCGATATCTCACGAAAGCGAGGTTGAATCTGCTCCAAATTTTGCATGTGCATTCACCATAGCTCGGACCAGAAGCCTGTTGATTTTGGATGAATTACGTCGTATAATTAGCGAGTTATTAATTAATTAGTGATGGGACACACGGTGTCACTATGGAGTAAGAGCGCTGTTTTGGGAGATCCCCTAACTTCGATCAATAAGTCTTCGTCTCCGACCGATATTCTCGTTTTTCAGTTAACACAAAATCAACGCCCTTTCCTACTTACCATATGCATTCTTGAACTTCTTGGAGGATGCGTCTCAGCTAATAGTTGACATGGGGTTTGCCCAAAGTTACGGATTTGATCCTTAAGTCCCATTTTCTCTATTGGATCCTAAATATGGATATGATTATATATTAATAATGTCCTATTCGAGGAATTTGTGAACTGTATTTCTGGCAACTAGCATTTTCCCAGATGGTTAGGCATGACCTTTGATGTCATCAGTTGCAGGTGACTGATCATGACCAACCACCTGTGAAGGTGATGTGGCCATGTGCACTCAGTAGTCTGGAGCACAGCTCAGTTGGTGTTGCTTATATCTGTATGTATTACTTTGGTTATTGCATTGGACATTTATTGCTGTTTGATTAAAACATTTATTAAATATACTTTGGAGTCACTTTAACAGAATTTATGTCAGTTTCAGTGTTTAGGCTCAAGTAGAATCCCTAAGTCCCAAGTTTCAGTTCGAGTTAATCATTGCATGATGTTAATATAGGATTTTTATCTTTTGATACCAGGATAGTTAGGTTAGGCACTTCAATTTTGATGAAATAGGGCATTTTCAGTAACAGATTACACATAATGCAAAATTTTGTTTCCAATAAACACTAGGCCAGTGGTTATCAAACAGTGGGGCATACGACACAAGGGGGGTAAGAGCATTTTTGAGGGGGCGTGAAGCTGATTGTAAATAAAAGTACTTGTTATATTTGATCATGCCTACCTTAAGTTGGATATTTACACTCCTTTATTATGTACATCTATTCTCAGCTAGTTCTTTAAAAAAACATGCTTTCATCCTATTAATTATTATTAATAGATTATTGTTAGCTATTGTATTTTAGTAAACACTTACAGTAATTTCATTCAAGTTGATGGCATTTTCATAAGTCAGATAATAGAAGACATTTGTTGCTCTGACTGCCTCAGTTCCGCGTTGTTTGTACCCGAATATGAGATCTATCCATTGATGAAGTTGACATGATACTATCTCAGACTCCAATGCCTATAATAAGAATTGAATTTATATGCCGTATATCCTCTCAATTTAAAGTTTTAAACAGTGTTTGAAACGCTAAAAAATATTGCCAAAGGGATCAGCTTATATGCCATAATAGCCTGGGAAAGTGAATCAATGCAACTATTTGTTTATCCAGTTGCAGTCCATCGATGATTGTTATGAAGTGTCTAAAATCAGACGACAATAATTGCTGTGCTGTAGTGTGCGTATGCTAACGCACATAACTCTGATCTTGGTTTGCTATGCTTGCAAGCATTTTTCAAAAGGAATTTTCATTTAAATAAATAATAACCCAAATGATGTTTTTGCTTTAAAATATCCCCATTTGAAACAGTAATTTCCCAACTTTTCAGAACTGATTTTTCAAAATTGCATGAAATTATGTTGTTATCAAAACTAGATAGCAAAATTTATGCACTTTTTCAAATTTTTTTTTTCTCCTCCTGCGTAATTTGATCAAGAAATCTCCCGTACCTCTGAGTGAGTATACGCAACTTTGCTCATAGATTAACATGGTTTAGCTTAGATGTGACTGCTTGCTCTCCCTCCCTCTCAAAAAAAGGAAATCCAATCCTCACCATTCGATGCTTCTTTACAAAATCATCAGCAGAATCAGCCCAAGGTGGAAGCTTGATATTGTCAATTTCTACTTTTTCACTGTTCACCCCGAGAGAATAATTATTGCTGTTTAAAAATATTTCAGGGAGATAGAAAAATTCTGGAATCAGTTCCTAAAATTAAAAAAGAATAAAGGAGTATTACTAACCCAGTAACCCTATGTTTGTAAGGGGTTACTGTTTTTCTAGAAAGACACAAAATACAAAACATAAAACATAGCGTTTTTGAAGCCATTACTGTAAATATGGGAAGCAGGCTCAAAACTTTTGCACGGTATCTGTTCAGATTCAGATTCATTCATGGATCGTTTTTTAACCTTTGTACCCAATGCTCATATATTCGTGCTTACTCTCCTGTTACCTCATATTTAGTTTTTGATGTTGATGGAATTAACTAGATTTCATTATCATTCATATGTAAATGTGTGACATTTATTATAACAGCGTCTAGTGTGGAACTAACGAGGGTCTTGGAAGGTTAATGAGTATCGTCCCAGGGCTGTGGGACATCGACACCTCGAACTGGGTATGTGGTGTGATTAAGCTTCTTTCCTGATATACTCACAACGTTATGTATGACAGTTTTTTTTTCGTTGTCTGTCCTGTGGGGGCTCTCCCTAAGGAAAAAATTAAATCTTATCCTAAATAAATAAAAAGTCAAACTACCTTAACATCGTGCGAGTCTCTCTGACAGTTCTTCCATGATTGAAGAACAGATGAGAATGTACGGTCGGCATGATCGAATTTTCCTCCTTGAAGGTTGAGAAACAGAGAAGTGAAAGGTTCCTGGAATGAATAATGAGAATCATTTTGGCGCTAAATGCAGAGCTCGGCATGTTTTCACTGAAGTCAGTGTTGTATTTTGAAACTAACTGAGCTCGGGAGTTATAGATGAAATTACTAATTTAACGGAGCCCAGGAACACAAATCTATGCAAATACAAAAAATCAATAACCCAAAAAACTCACAAATTCACTCTCTCACACATAGACATATAGGGTGTCCAATTTTATAAAATTGCAAAGTGAATTTATCGATACCATATATTGTTTCGAACCTCACAGATGTAGTGAATGAAATAAAAATACTTAAGCAATTACTGGTTAAAAAACAACAAACCTGGTTAAGATATATTGACTTCATAACAAAATTAAAATTGTAAAGGGAACTTTATGTACACCTCGTACATCACACAAATACATCTACATCTTTGTATTCTGTCCATACAATTATTTTATTTCACTCAGATACTCAATGGCGGTCAGCCAGTGACGAGTCCGAGTTATTTCATTTGAAGACTCAAAAGGTTTGGTCTTGATCCCATTAAACAGGTACCAAATTTCTTTTCTACCTCAAAGGCATGGTTTTATTCGTTTGTGATCCTGTTGTCGCCCTCAGCAAACAATGGGTTCCACTGTAACCCTGCGCCGCCAGAAATTAACGTTTATTGCCCATTGTTAGTCAATGCGCATCACAATGGTATTGTTGTGATACTGTCCACTAAAGCCATCGCCATGGTTACCGAGTTAGTGGTGTTCGGAGTCGCCCTTTCTTATGTTGGAGCGAACGACTGCTGGTTACAGCAGATCGCCTCGAGATATTTTATGTATTTATTTGTTCATAGTTCGACTCTTTTTTTCTTTATAATATAGTGTTAGACTTATTTTATAGGTGCCGCTGCTTGATAAACAGTACTGGTTTTCCGCGTCTCCTTCACCCTGAAATATGGCCTATTTTTAATTTATTGCAATTTGTATGTTTGTGCCTGTTTTCAGTATGGTGATAAATAAACTACTGATTACTGTTTGGAGCCATTCACAAATGAAGACTAGAGTTTTCCTCAATATTGGAGTCAGAACAAAAACTAAGCAGTAGATAATCAGAAAATGCTTAACACAGTTCAGCTAGGAAACAAATGAATGAACCATTGTAAAACCCTGAATACTCACCATTCTCATTAGCCATCCTAAAGTGAAAGCAGCATTTGAATAATGAGTTCCGTAATGAAACTTTGGAATATTCGCATCCTCCCATGCCTCGTATCTTGATTCAAAATAAGTCTTGCGTTTTGGATTCAATGCTCCAATTGGCTGAAAGTAAAAGCTACTATCAGTTCTAGTATTTTTTGGGATTGGGTATTCTAGAATTAACTGAACATTTTTTTTTGGAGTGCAGATCTGGAGTCAAATAATTTTCCAGTCTTTCTTTAAGTTGAGATCCAGAGCCAAATTTTTTGTCAAACCACAGCCGGAAATGAAGCTAAATTTGTTTTTTAAATATTTGGGAGTCGGAGGTAATACTTTTATGACTCACAACCTTGGTCTACGAACAAATAATTCACAGTCGATTTTCAGAGTCTAAATCTGAAATAGTGAACCTACGCCCATTAGGTAATTCAATCTGGTCTGTCTGATACTGCCACAACCAAACTAAAACCAAATTTTGATGTTTTAGATAAAATAGCTCAAGGTATTTATTCAGATTACTATTAAATTTAGTTTTCGCACGAGGCATATCGTTTTCCATTTTTGTTTTTGTAATACTGTAAATATTGTATATAAAAATATAACTTCTATGACACACTTATCAGTCTTACCAGTCCCATCAGTCTAGATAGGCAAAAACAGACTAAACTGTGTTCACATACCTTTGTCATGTCTCTGAAATTACTTGGAAGGGAAAGATCCAACTCTGCAGATTCATAGTTAGTAAGAACCCATGGGAACACTGGGTACTGGTTTAAGTCATTGTAAGTTCGACCTGAAGAAAAAAAAAAAAGTATATTAAGTGAATTGTTGTTGAAGGGTTATGGGTATCCTTTGAACCCAACACTAGGAACTTATGAAAGCAAGGAAGTCATGTTCATTCAAGTTCTTTTATATTTATTCCGGAGACAGGAAAGCCAATGAGACAGCCTAATCATATGATAAACTATTCAAACTCACTCAGGGTAATAAGAGGTGTGGTGTTGAGTTTCTTTTACTTCTGAGTGAGTGTCTGTGACCTCGCTTTACACAAATTCCCACAAACAATAAAAAACTAAATATATGTTTTTACCTGATATTGTGTTGAGGAACATTAAATACTCAAAATTGGAAATTTCTCTCTGCTGCCATCTCTGGGTCATGTTCGATTGCTTGAAAAGTTGACGTGGACTGGCAAGCGATATCCGACTGCAAAAAGAACAAATTTTAGAAATGAAATAGGTACTTTAAAATCAATATATTCATATTAGTAAATAAGAACATAAATTCTTTTCTGTGAAATATAACAAGTATATTTGCTTTTTTTCAGATTACAAAACATTATATGACTTAATCAAACTACGAATAATGTAATACAACGTCCGAGCTTCCTCGTAGTAACCATGGTAACCATAGGTGTAGCCAGGAAAGGCCTGAGGGACCATGCCGATTGTTTTCTATCAGTGGCTGCTCGTTTATTGATGTCTTGTTCGATATTGAAAGCATAATAAACATGACATGAAAATACCAGTACTCACGTTGTTTGTGGTAATCCATATCCAGTACCAATTCCAACTTTTGGAAGGAAATTCACAACTTTCTTCATGGTGGCTTGCTCAGGAAAGTTGAACATTACAGATGCTGTCAAAACAAATCACATTTTATTTGTAAAGCAAGGAAAGGTAAAGTTCAATGAAGCGTAACTTGACAGAATATCCTTATCATCCCCAAAGAATGTATATCCCGACCGGAAAATTGGTAAATAAAGTAAATGGGCAGGAAAAAATCAACCAACCATAAGGCATTAAAAAAAACAGCACAATTTCACCCTGAGTAAAAATGCTTAAAATTTACTAATTCAGAATATACCATAGTTTTGATGAAAAAAAGTTGAATTTATTTCAAAATCAAAAATGCAAGATAGGACAATATCAACTTCTCGAGTACAAAATAAAGTGTGAAAATATCCCATGAAATGTTAAACTTACGGGCCTAGTGTAGTTCAGTAGCACAAGTACTTCTAGTGGGCTTTGCATAACCATTTTTGCATATGTTATTCCCAACCCCACATGACTACGTCATCCAAAAATTACGTCACAATCACGTGATATATCTTGCCAACGTATAGCTACGATCGTCTGAAATCTGCGTCACCAATCTCTCTCATATCGGGATCGTCACAAGAAAACGAGAGAAATAGCTTGGTCGACTTCGGTTAATTGTCTGCGCGTTTTGGACGACACGTGTATATTTTATTAGGTCACTGTGACGTCGTAGTGGCGTGTTTTTTGGATGACCTAGTCAGGTGGTGGTTAGGAATGGCATATGAAAAAATTGTTGGACCAGGTCTGATAGAAGTTATTGTGGTACGAAACTACACTACACCCAGACTTACTTCTGTTAGCCAGGAAAACTTCGACGGCGGTCGTCTGCAACAGATATCTTCGGGCAAACACTGCCCGTATCTCATGGAAGGACCATTTACCGTGTATTGCTTCGGTGTATTGAAGAACCTGTAGAAAAGATTGCAAGACGTTCAGTAAAAATTGGAGAATGGAGTGCTACGTTTTTATATTGACATGTTTACGAAATTGTTCAATTTAATTCAATGTTGTTTATATCTATTTCCATTAATATTGATATTGCTCTCCCTTACGAGGGAGGCCAGGGTGACTGGCAAATGTGCCACTCTTCTCAAAAATAAATTTTCCTAAAGTCAAGGTCAGAGAACTCCAAATTACGTTTCAATAGGGGTGCATATACAGTAAATATATATGATCAAGTCAAGTCCATGCTTCCGAAAACAAATACCTGGCTAACTAATCCAATACCCCAGGGGTGGGCAACCCCTGGCACGCGTGCCGAACTTGGCACGCGAGCACATTTATTCGGCACGCGAGCGAGTTTTCAGAAACGAAATCATTTTTCTTCAGATAAAAAGTTTCAAGACTCTGAATTATCTGTTGAAACTCTGCGTCCGTTTAATCATTATTGTTTGTTACCAATCCGTTATTTATTTAAATTCTTTTTGTCCCTTCATGACATACGGCTTCAAAGAAATATATTATGATGTCACAACTGAGTGAGCTCTCGACAATTTTGGTCGGCACGCGCAGAATTTTGTCATTAAATTTAGTCGATTTTGGCACGCGAGCCGGAAAAGGTTGCCCACCCCTGCCATACCCACCTGGACTGGTAACCAGACGAGAGGCCGTGGTTCGCCGTACGATTAAGCCGTCTTATCGACTTTCCTCTCCCCCAGGATAAATATGTAAATCCTAATCCTATCCTGATCCCAATTGCTATTCATGACCAATAGCCCTAACAAGAACTGACGTATAGGTTGCAAGACTTTAATCAAGGTTGGAATGACATGAACATGACATTTTTAAGCTTCCAATTGATATAATTGTTGTTTCAATAGGTTTCTCAGGAAATGGGAAAGAAAGGAGGATTCAAAAAAAAAAAAATCGAGGAGTTAAACTTTATAACAACCCGTAGTCGAATCCCCACAGTCCACGCTCCTAAACTTATGGAATCCCGTCCCAATGGTTACGGTGCTTGGCAGTGCTAGGAGTTTGTTATTTTTGTATATATTTGGTTTTGTTTTTTGTTCTGCTGTAAACTCTTTTTTCATGATGCAATGTTTGACTTTTTTCTCCTTTATATATTAATTACTGTTAGACTTAATCATAGGAGTCGTTGCTCGTTAGCCAGTTTTGGTTTTTCACGCCGCATTTCACTCTGAAATGCCATATTTTAGTCTCTTTTTTCTAATGTCCGCATAAAGTGTATTTTCTATATGGTGATAAAATAAATACTGATTATCGTCAGGCACATAATAGATTGAGAAAAAAATAGAATACGAGAGCTCTCTTATCACTCAGACTACGTCAAGGGAGATGCCATTCGCGAAATAAAACGTTTGAAATGTCACAAATAAAATGAAATTGTTTTGATTTCCAGACAGTTTTATATCTAATGGCTTCTTAATTGAATTAAACATTTTAAATTGTTTTAACTAATTAAAATTTTCCCGATATCGGATTTTAAGAATTATTTTATCTTTTGACATTTTGATTAGGAAATCAGAAATTTATTTTTAATCATTTGCTCCGTTAAAAGCTTCAGACAAGCAGAAGGGCGTACAACATTGATGAAGTTCAGATTTATACTTTATTTTAGATTCTGCTTTTTATGAAGCGTTTTCCTACATATTCACTCCGAATAAGACAAGTACACGCGGCCACTGATACGCAAAGACTTTCAAAATAGGTAAAGAGAGGTACTGTCACTAATCACAAAAAATTACCAAGCTCAACTCGTTGAATGAAAAATATTTTGTAAAATTTACAATTCACTTTCGAAGAATGGGAATCGTTTGGTTGACCTTAATATGAATTCGGAGTTTCGGAAATAACTTTCGGAATAACTAAATTTATTCATTAAGTGGTCGGTTTTATATAAAAATAACATGGATTGTGCGATGGAGCAATCTCTATGTACGGCTGATATCAGAGCGGTATTTTGCTGTCGCGACATTTAAAAAGAAAATGTGGGCTATCAAATTAAATAAAATGCCTTCAGCTCATTCAACTATCTTTGTTTAAACCAGGTCTATTTGGGAGTTAAAAGACATCTCGCTAAATTACCGGTAGACGATCACCAGTTAAAAAAAGATCACCAGTGAAAAAAAAACAAGAAATTCTAAGGATTCAGGTGATAAATAAGAAGCATAATCGTTAACAATATTGATATTTAACGCAATTTCGTTTGCATCCTCTGTTCTCCGTATTTCAGTCATAGCATGTTTTCACTTTCTTGTGCATGAATTGTTTTATCATAACAGAATTTGGGATCAACCAATCAAAATAATGATATATGTATTTTTGTACTTTTCGAATTGTAACCTTCGTAGTTGGTTGTACATTAATTACCGTCTTAAATTAAAATTAAACCTGTCTTTTGGCTTGTTTCTGCGATAAAAGTGGGATATCACAAAAATTGTAGTGTAGTTTTTTGAGATGGTGAACAGGGGGCACACGAGTGCTTAAAGCCTCAGGAAGGGGACCACGCCCACGAGCCATAAAAGGTTGGGGACCACTGGCGTAATAGATGAGTTAGGCGATACGAACCAAAAATATTCCAGATTGGTATAAACCTAAATCCTTACATAATGTACAGGGTCTCGATAGCCGCGAAAGACGTAAATGAGTATCCCATATCTTATTCTCATTATTCTTCACTCCGACATGCTTGAACCATATTACTAACTACCCGATCGAAGACCGAATCGTTTGAAAATCATTTTTCGCGAAATTATGACAACTATCAGATCCTTACTCAAAAATGATGATTTCACAATTAAATTTGGTACTCCCGTAGTATGTGCAACAAGAATGCGGACACCGGAACGTAGTATGTGTACCAGGTTAGGATTAGGCCATAATTTCAGGTACAAATACGACGGTAGTCAATTAGCTAGTCCCCGAAATCGTCATAGAACTAAAATAACGAAAATTGGAATAAAATTATGGCCTAACCCTAACCTGGTACACATACTATGTGTTCAGGTAGGTGTCCGCCACCTTGTTGAACATACTACGGGAGCGCCTTAAATTTTACAATTTTTGTTGCAGAATCGAGGCTTTGTTTAAAACATAAAACCAAAAATATATTTAATAGAATTAATTGATATAAATTTCGCGAGATGAACCAGCTCATTTGTTTTAATCCCCGCACAGATTACGCTGCAAATCCAGAATTTCAAAAAACAAACAACGAAACCACATTGAATATTCAGGCCTATGTATAATTTAACAGCAAACCCTCTCGGGACAAGGGATCGGTTTTTAAAATTTACCATGCATGGCCCACGGGTGTTTTAAATTTTAGAGTTTTGTGTATGATTGGGCCATGTTTAATCAGTTGGTGATTAAAAACTTTTCTTTGTAGCACAAATAGCCATTTTGATCGCGATATTTCTGAGATTTGGCGGCGCATTGTGCAATTAACGGTATATCTTGACATTTGTGATGATAAGAAGACGAAGCGACAAGACGAACCTGGTAGTTCGTCGTGAATTGGGGTGAATTAGGGCTTAGCATTTTGTGTGTCTCTGGCTCCGAATAAAGCTCTAATCATGAAGTCAATGCTGTGCAAGGCACTATTTCATTTTAGATCTTTCCGTTCGACGTGAGTTTGCCGTGAGTGGTAGCATTTTTTAATGCGACGATTTTGTTAGTATATTCACGGTACAGCGGCGTAACCAGATATCCTATTGCCAAGTTAGAACGTATCAGCTAGCGGATTCATGAGACGCTCTTTAGAAGCTTTTTGCTATGAACGGGTATCTGCACAACGGCCACTGTCATTTACTTTTCTTTGACGGTGATGAAACCTGGTATTATTGCGATGAGAGTTTATCGTACATGGTGGTATTTTTAGGCGGTGCTTTCCATACGCATTTCATTCCGAACAAGGCTTCGTGATTGTGGCCACTGTCATGCAAGTCATAAGTTTATATATTGGGTCCAAGCCTCTCGACCCGTCCCTCCTTTGTGAATGCAACCACTGATAATATATTTATGTATCAGTGGATGCATATTCAGAGCCTTATTTGAAATGAATGTATATAAGGCCTCAAAAAATCCTAGAGTATCATCGGTAGTAGGTACAATGCCTTGCACGAAGATACACTAATTATGAAAACGCTCGTTTGGTTATTTTGAATTTCAATATCATTTATTTTATTGCAAATATACTACCAAGAATATGGGGCACAAAGTACATGGTAGGTTTGGTTATTCAGAAAGCTGTTAGACAGTTAGTTAAGGTAATGAATTTGTTTTCAAATGTTTAAATTCGCATTCAAATTAATATTTGTACCGAGTAATTCTTGCTGATGATAAATTCAGCAAAACGGCAATTTCTTACTTAAATTGGTACTCCCGTAGTAAATGTACCAGGTTAGGGTTAGCCCATAATTTTATTCCGATTTTCCTTATTTTAGTTTTGTGTTAGCCAAGTGAATATACTCCCTGCCCATAGGTTTCAGTCCCTTTACACAACTTGATGTAAAGTAGGCGAACAAGATTAGTTACCTCCATATTGGTACACACATTTCTACAGCGGTCTTAAATTTTAGTTATATTTGTTTTATTTAATACCAAAGTTGCAAGTATAGTAACATTTTGTAAATAATTCCTCAAAGTTGTAAAATTCTGGAATCAAAAACTATCTTAAAAACAATTCTCCGATTTCGCAAACGCAAGATTTTTCAATCAAAATTTGAATATTATTTATTCGTTACAGCTAAACTTTAAAGTCTAATAAAACATTCTGGACATTTATAAAAGATTCTAATTTATTTTTATATAAATTTCAATAATATTTGGTTTAATTTCAATTAAATTTTCAAATTAATACCATTTTTTTTCATAAATGTAATTTCATAAATAATTCCTAAAAAATGTACATAATACTCAGAATTAAAAGCTATCTTAAAAACAATCTCCCGATCTCTTCAGACACGTAAAATACTTCGTTGAATATTTAATTCGGGTAGCAGATGACAGCGATTGACAGGGAATGCGGATACATTGTTACGACACAATACCAAAACAAGAAAAATGGTAAGGGTCGTCAGCGAACGTTGCAAAAATCCCGAGAGATTTTTGTCTCGAAAGATCAAAAATTCAGGACAAAAAAGTCGATAAAAGTTACTTAAACAAGCGTGTACGGTAGAAAATAAAGTATTTTTATGCTAGAATAACACATGGTCCCCTTCTTTACCGTATAATCCAAAATATGGTCTAATTAGAACCACTGTTGTCGTAAAAGACACAAGTCTCATGCTACATTAGCTTAAAACCCACTCGACAAAATTGAGTTGTCATTTTGTATCATTCTGTAGTCTGATGACACGAAAACAAGGAGATAATTCGACGACTAATTATCGGAAAGACAGCAAATTACAATCCCCATTAGAATAGAGAATCGCTTTTTCGCTGACAATTTAGAGAAAGATTGTTTTGGAATATAAAGAGAGTTTAGGATTCGAGACTGCGTTTGCATACTTTGTCGTCAAGGTTATAACATTAAAACTTGTAATTTTCTGTATTTTGCGAAGGCACGACGGTTATTTTAGGGTTCTCACATTCTCGCTGACCTTTTTCGAGATGGAAAAATACTGTAGAATATAAAGAGAAATTGTGGAACGGGGGGTAGTTTTACGTTAGCAGATTGGAATTACATATGCAAATTCCACTGATGCTTCATGCCCATTAGAATAGAGAATAACTCTTTCGCTGACAATTTTTGAGAACAAAAATGCTTTGAAATATAAAGCGAACTTTTGAGATAGACAGTTAACGTTAGCCGATTGAAATTGCATTTCGAGTTGAAGTCTCTCAAGAAGGATTTAACGTCCGAGAGTTGCGACGTCTCAACATTTAAAGTTGCAATTCAAAGTCTTTTGCGAGGGCTTAAACGTTGCTCGAAAACTCTCTTTTTGCTGACAATTTTGAATAAAAACGTTTTGGTAACGAAGTTTTGAAACGGCGAGGTCAGTTGTCGGGAACAGATTGTGATTACGTTTCTATTGCGAGTCGGTGCTCTTTATTAGATTGCAGATTGCAGTCTTTCGGGTAGGCTTGAAAATTGGAGCGTCACGAGGAGAATACTTCGGGGTATACGGGGAAGTATTGAAAGGGAGGTCAGTTTAGGTTATTGTCAACAGATTGAAATTACATTTGTATGTCTTGCCAATGCTTCAATGTTTACGCATCAAAATGAGATTGAATTTGTATATTTCGCAAAAAATTGATAGACTTAGACATTGGATCACTTTTTCGTTGATAATTTTATGAAGATTGGAATATAAAAGGGAGAGAGATATTTAAGTTAAAAGATTGTGAATTTCAGAGTAATACTGAAAGAGTTAGCAGTATTAAAGATCTCGGCAGAAACGCACGAGTTGAAATTTAAAAAAAAAAATGGCATCATTATGTAAAAGTTACGTCATGTTAATGATGACGCCATTTGATTTATTCGCGGTGTGAAGGAGGACTTGGTCCCACTTGGTTTATAACACGTAGCCTATAGGTTTAAGTATAAGACATTATAGTACAAAACCGACGTCATACAAAACATGACGTCATATAAACGAGACATCATATAAAACGTGTTGTCATAAATACTATTTTGCGCTCAAAGTCTTCGCGGATAAATTCTCATCGACGCTTAACATGAAAGGCGATCATGTTATTCAGACAGACGACTTGAAAACGGAGCAGAAAATCAATAACCGCAAATATCTGCACTAGCCTTATTATACCGCCGTTATTGGGCTAGTTTTGGGTGGTGGTTCTCAAAAGTTTCATTATCTGTGTCCCCTTTTTAAAAGGCTTTCTACACTCTTTGGGCCCCGACAGTTCTATAAAGATCACTAATTTTGCATTCAATGCGTTTTCATGGAATATTTTTCATGCCACGTTTCATCATTCAAGTCAACAAACGAAAGCAAAACATGGTCATTTGCAATGCTTCGTTTATCAGTAATTTTTTTTAGTTCTATCGGTGGTTTCGCTCTAAGCAATTTTCCATAAAATATTACATATGCACAAATCGCATATGCACATTGCTTGGCTGGGAGCTTGTTGCAACGGCTACAAAAATACAACCAATTTTAAACAAACGCTAAGATTCAGTTATGACTGTTCGAAGCGATAAAAATACGATCAATCTGAGGCAAACGCTGTAATACCTCGGTTAAATTTACCCGACGCATTGAACATGACGACTTAACTTGTAAGCAAGACGAACGAGTTTAAAGTGCGGCGAAAAAAATCGATACTTGCGGACACAAAGACGTTTTAATTGCGGGGATATACTTATCGATTACCGAGATCATGGCGACGGCTTGACACTTGAAAATATCAGCGAAAAAGCAGATTTCGTTTTTGCTAAGCTGGCAATTTCTTATCAATTTAGATTTTAGATGAATTGGATTGATTTTTGTTAATCGAATATTGGCGTACAAATCGAAAGTGGTGCCGGACTATTTGGGCCAGAGTCGGAGAATTTTCGTATTCGGAGCCGAATTATTGGCCCGAGTTAGAAGTAGTTAGATCCGCAAACGAAATCGCCAAATCGGAATCTGGAGTCAATTTTTTATTCGGATAGTATCCGGAAGACTTGTCTCCCTACTTCACAGCTAATTCACAACAGGCAAAATATACCTATCGATTACCGAAATCATAACGACAGATTGACACTTGAAAAAATATCGGCGATAAAAGCAAATTTCTTTTGATCGCTGGCAAATTTCTTTTTAATTTAGATAGTTTGGGTTGCATTTAGAATCGAATAATTCTGAACATATTGTACCTAAATCGACCTAACTATATTGACCCCGGAAGTTTAATATCCATTACCTCAGACAAAGCGTAATATATTGGTTAGTCGGCACGAGGGTACTCCAGAAGTATGAGCACTAAGATGGCGGACACCGAAACGTATGTGCACCAGATTATGGTTAGACCATAATTTCAGGTACAAATACCACGGGAGTCACTTGGCTAGTATTCGAACTCGTAATAGAACTAAAATAAGGCGTTTTTGAAATAAAATTATGGCCTAACCTGAACCTGGTACACCTACTATATTCCGGTGCCCGCCATTTTAGTGCACATACTTCGGAATGCCGACGAAGTTTAAATTTTCTGCATAATCTCAAAAAACATTGAAACATATATAGGCCGAAGATTAGGTTATCAAAATTTGTTTTTCTATGAGGTCGGAGCTGAAGTTGAAGTCATAACTTTGCTTTAACCCGGAGCCGTGAGTCGAAGTTGAATGCGAGTTTTCCCTGGATACACAATTTCCCCCGCTCACAACAGTTGTAAACTTCAAATAGTGTTAGTTGAAAAAAAAATTGGGTCAAAAGTTTAGAATCTAGATAGTATTCAGGAATTATATACTACTATATACTATCTTGCAACGGTTAGAAAAATGTAAGCCAAGTATATCCCTCACACAATGTAACAAGTGAATTTTTTATGAGCGTGCAAGATATCCCCATACGAACTATGCATTATCTTATCTGCCTTGTCAATTTATCGCTTTCAAATCAAAAAAGCGTCAAAATCTGAATATAATATACACGTCCCAGTAAAGATACTACTAAAAAAAATTGTAAAATGTACTGAAAAAGCGAAGTTTCGACTAGGAATTCCTTTAATTTTTCGCTATGAACAAGGCTCTGTACAAGCATCCACTCCCAAGTAAAGAGCTGCTATATTATGCAGGACTGGCTGGGATCTTACCGGTTCGGTATTAATCACCCAAATTTATTACACCCCGGTCAAAGTGGTGTGCTTGTTGATTTTATACGGTGCCTTTCGCTCTGAACAATTCCCTATTCAAACAGCCACCGATATCTCACGATATGTGTGTAGCTTTTTGAAAAGACCCGAAAAATTTCCGGTCCGGCAGAGACTTCAACCATACGCTTGTCTAGGATCAATTTAAAATTTATTTTTGTAGATTGGAATACTTATTAAACAAAATGTTGGCAACACAGTCTAAGCTAGCTTATCATTTAAACAAGTATTACACGGAACGTACAATGTCAAGGAAGTCTATGCTGGCGAGTCGAGTGTTTGAAGTTGGCAAAACAATCACGGATATACTGAAAGAAGTGGAAACGCAAGAACCACGATTTATAAGGTATGCAAATGAATAGTTGGTACCGAGCCCTCGATTGAAATAGGTACCGAATATTCATTCACTGCTAGTAGAGTTGCAATTTTTGATAATCAAACCAAGTGTTAACATGCTGAGATATTACTTAGCTAATTAGAAGGTTGCAATATACAGATGTTCAGAATATTATTATTATCTTATAAGTTACAGATATATCTAACACACCGCGACATTGAACGGCATGTGGCTAGCGCATCTTTGTCTGCGGGACGCTCTTTTTCTGATTGGCAAGTCATACAGTTAAGCCACGCTAAACGTGTGCAAGATGGATCACTGCAACAAAAAATCTTTAGACAAATGAAGGTCCCAGGTCGGAGTGGAAATTTTCAATTCTTTGGTGTCTTGGGTCGGACTGTTAATGGTTATATTTGAACGCTAAAGTTGACGAATAATGAAAATAATGCTTGCAAAGTGAAAGTTCTGGGCCACAATTATCACAGAGTTCTGAGCGGAGGTCAAAATTATTGCCAACCGGGAGAAATCAATAGGGAGTTGTTATTGATAAGATAATCAGGAAAATCACAAAGAAGTTAATAAGACAAAATTCGATATTGTAAATATCTACAAGAGGTTTTAACGTTGATTATTGTTTTGCGCAATCCATTTGACACTTATGCGAGAGGGCATTATTGACAACGCATCGAGTTTCATTATCTCACACAACAAACTCCACAGCCTCGGATTTGCGTTGAATGGTATAATCCGTATAATTATTAACAAGTTAATTAAGACAAAGATCGAATTTGTAATTAGTTATTAGAGATTTTGTCAATGATTGTTATTGCGTAATCAATTTGCAACAACATAACGGTCATAGCTGGAACGATCGAAGTAATTATTCATTGTTCATCGAGTTCACAATAGACTCAGATCTCGCGAGAAAATCACATTTTGAAAACGAAAACTTTGACGAGCGTACTTTTTATTATGATATTAAAAACCATTCAATGGACTTCTTGAGTTTCAGAAGAAAATTTGACAATTAATAAATCATTTAAATTCCGACATCAGGGAATTCAAAATTCCCACTTGGGCTGCGAAGAAATCAACTCTAGTCCCGACTCCAGTGAATACACGCCAAACTGTAAAACTCCGACTAATTACAAATGAGTTACAATTACACTACAAAATAACGGATATGTGCCGGGTGCTTTTGGGAAAGCTTAATACAAAGCATTGGATTTCCTTTATCGCCAGTGAAAGATTTAAAATAATTCTCACTCCGGCTCGGAAAAGATCAACTCTATCGTTTCGAGTTTTCGTTTAAAATAACAATTCGCCATAATTGAAATAGAATTGGCATGATTAGTAATATGCGGGCAAGAATTCCATTGGCCTTTAAGAGAAAATTAAGCAGATTTGAATATGATTGCATTTTCCTTTTCAATCCAGCACACTGAACGAAGTTGATGGTCGTCTCGATGGTCTGGACGTGATATCGCCAACAGAATTTCAAGTTGCGTTTTACCTTAACCAAATGGGAGTGTTCAACTTTGTGGACGATGGTTCTATTCCCGGGTGTGCCGTGCTGAAACTCAGCGATGGGAGAAAACGTAGCATGTCTCTATGGGTGGAATTTATTACCGCGTCAGGGTGAGTCTTGCAGAGTATGTCGAAAGATATCTGTCTGCATTGTAATAAATTTGATTTTTGATCGATTTCCATGCTGGCCTTTTGATCTCGTCCGAAACTATTACTTCCATCCCAATGTAGACAGACAGATACTGCTCTTTTTGAAAAGTCCGAAACCAATACCTACAATTTGCTGTTTATTTATAATGAGGGGAAACACATATTCCCGCTTCCTTGATTTTTTCACTATGTACTCTAAAGGCTCAATTCACCGGTAACTAAAAGTTCGTCCGAAACTATTACTTTCAATAATTTTGATACAGGTACCTTTCGGCTCGCAAAGTTCGGGCTCGTTTCCATACTCTGGTCGGACAAGCGATAGACAGGTGCAATTACAGATCTTGCGTCAAACTTATGACTGATAGTACTGACGTCATACTACTCATACGTGACGTATATACGGTAAGCATAATTTTGCTTTCAACGCGTTTTCGCAAACGCAACGCGCTCGATAATACAAAACCAAAAATCGAAAGATAAAAAAAAAGGATCACAATCAAATGATTATACAATTCGTAGTCATTTTATAGGGAATGGTGGTATCAAGTTAACCACACTTTTACATTATTCTAACCCCCAATTCAGATGTGAAACTAAGTTAAATTCTGAGCATCAGTCCCGACGAGGAAATCGGATAGGACGACGTCATACTTAACGAATCGTCCTAACACCTGTCCAGGCCTATGGCCGGGACGCAGGAAACAAGTTTCAAAAGGATGAGATGGCTCTGAAATTTGTAATTGTCAAGTTTCCAAGTTAGAAATGGGTTTCAAGCAATCTCGCGGGTTTCAAAACGTTATCTACGGCTACGTTATTTCTATGTGAGATACAGATTTTTTTTTACATTCAAATGGGGGGTGCGTGGGGGGATGGCACAACCACCCTACTGGGTACGCTCGTACCTATGACTAACCAATTCTCCCTTGTTCTATCGTTCCCGTCAAAACGGGTTAGTACATACAACCCGTATAATCGCTAACTTACACGATTTAGAACAGGGTTGGGCAAAGTGTTTGCGTAAATTTATCTACATCAAATTTTTTACAGGTTCGAGTCATCCCAGCTTTCAAGTGCACGGGGATCTGGCCTCGAAGCGCATCACATTGGCCTGATCCTAAGGTACAATGGCCTATGGTGAATAAAGTAGCCGAAGTTAAGTCGAACGGCTTCAATCTTCTATCAATGCAAATTCCGATGTCCGTGGAGCGGCACAGGTATAGGTTCTCTACCTCTAAATCAATTTTTTTAAATTTATTCTGGTTAAGCGTAACCCCAATGTGACATTCCAAAGGATCTAGGAAACCAATGCGCAATAGTTTATTATTGTCTTAATCATATAAACTATATTTATAAATATATATGAAAGCATATCTAATAATGGCCGTTTACGAAACGTTCTTTAAGTGTTTAATAATAGGCAAACCTCCTATATGGGTTTGATTATATTTGAACAATATAAATATTAATATTGGCTTTCGGACTTAAATGGAAACTTTGGATTTTTCGATAGATGGAATAAAAAGTTAGTTAGCTTTTTTTCGTGAAGTCGGGAGCCGGTATATGGGTTCTTGTTAGCGTATGTTGATGTTTGGCGTCTTTCTGTCGGATTTGAGTTGCAATTAGGTTTTTTGTTGGATTGAAGGTGTCGGCGTTAATATTTTTTTTGTCCGACAGGAGCGGTGATCGGAGTTTTTTGTTGGTATACGATCGGCGGTATTCCGGCAGATTAACGGTCAATCCAAAATGAAGTATCTCCATATATAGTAATGGCCGCTTGTGAAAAGCTCGGAGTGAAATACATGTAAAAGGGTGTCATGTGAAGCGGGAGGTGCTGAACCAAAAACATCCTTGAAATAATTTTGGTCGACATAGTCTATGAAATTCCAATCTAAAACATTCTTTTTCAGTAACGCTGAAAGCGATGCTTGGGTTATGTCGTTCACACATTCAGAAGAAGTTTTGATATCGGGCGGCTGCCGAAGGAGATGTCTATCTATACTGAAGACACTGAGAGACAGGTAATCCTTTCATATTTGTCTAGAAAATGATATCTCCACTATCCACACACTTGTATGAATTCCACTTTAAATGCTTACTTAACTACTTGCCCCCACGATATATGTCTAGCCAACGCGGAACAGGGAAACAGCGAAATAAGTTGCACAAGTGTGCTGAAAAGGGTACATACAAAGCGCAGTGCCTTTTAAAGCCGGCCTATGATTATGTACTTTTCAACCAACCGGCGGAAACTTCAGACTTTGCAAAGGAAGCATTTGCTGAGAATTATATTGTTGCTATTTAGATGCAGATCGGTGCTAACAGAAAAGGTCTAAGCTGCTTTTTATTGGCTTGCTAAGAGCAGAAAAAAACACCCGGAAGATATAAGCTCGCCCCAATTACTAACAAAATGGCGCCGCATTATGTATTTCAAATATCTATAAATACAACATACTGACGCTGTGATATAGATAGGATATAGAGAGACTATCATAAAGCAAGTATCCAATCTGATTGTTTATACTTGCAAAGGTGTGCAACCTTCAATACATGAGTTTAACTGGGGAAAATCGCGGGCTGTAACTTTATTTAACATACGCTTTATGTACGCTTACTTTGTTGGTTATTTTTTGCTTCGCACAATCTAGCGGGCATTGTAACGTCATAGGCATGGATGGTACATTAGACTCAGGTATATGGTTTACAAGGCAAAGGGATTACGGTTACTCGCACGGACCAGATTAAACTAAGTTGAAAACTCGTTTCACGCGCCGGACACGATTCAAAATTGGCATTTATCCGCCGGGCCGCACAATTTTTCCTTGTGTGCCGCATGTTGCACACCCCTGGTTTATAGTATTGTTCAGATTGGAAAAATGAACACAAACGTTAGCAAATAAAAATATAAACCCTAACAAAATGGCGCCCCTCATAAACGATATTAAACATCAACAAAACAAAACATCGAGCTGACGCTGTCGCGACAGAAAGATATTTGTTGATAGCTTCGTTCCGAGCGAAAAAAAGAGACGCCGAGTAGAAAATTAAAAAAAAAATGTAAAACTAACAAAAGTACTTTCATTTCGACTAAACAAATTAAATGCTTCCTAACAAGTCTATTACGCGGTTAAATTTAAAATTTTCCAACGAAATTGTTGGATCTGGAAATCTTTTCCAGTTTACTATTTGGGCCTCACTTAAAAAAACTTTGGCGATTACTGGCATACCCCAGTGGTTCTCAAAATATGGGGCGCCCAATGAGAGGGGCGTAAAGCTAATTAAAATTTTGTTAGAATTGATCTTGCCCGCCTTATTTCGATTATTCACATTTCAAAACTTTTTATTTGTTTCATTATTTACGTTCCACCCACCTATTGTCAAGGTGTTTTTTCAATAAAACATACTTTCGCCGTACTATCTGTTATTTGTAGCTTATTACTTATCGATCTTTAGATCGGTAAGTATGTTGATAGGTATTTGTCTGTTTGTCTGTCTGTTAGATGAACGCGATATCTCTTGAAGGCGAGGTTGATTCTGATCCAAATTTGCATGTGCATTCATCATATCTCGGACCAGAAGCCTATTGATTTTGGGCGAATTATGTCGTATAATTAGCGAGTTATTAATTAATTAGTGATGGGACACGCGGTGTCACTATAGAGTCATGAATCGAAACCGCAGTTTCGATCGATAAGTCTTCGTTGTTACGGTTAGTTATTTTTGAGGTGGGCGCGAGACTTGATAAATTCTAAAAGAGGGTCGAGGCTTAAAAAGCTTGAAAACAACTTGGATAGTTTTCTGTGAGAGCGTATCTGAATAGCGATAATATAATTCAGCAAATGTTCACTTGCCAAGTTTAAAAGTTCGCCGGATAGTTGTTCAGTAATCCCCATTAAACACATAATAATAGGACAGCTTAAATTAAAAACAAAAACTAACAAAATGGCGTTGCTTGAAATTATATTAAACATCAACAAAAATAAAACATCGAGCTGACGCTGTCGCATTACGGATCAACTGGAAGAGAATTTGTTGAGTATCTGGCAACCCTCGTGACAGAAAATCGATGAAATGATCTCAAACGAGTTGTTTTCGTTTTAAATAAAACAAAATAGATCAAGAATTCTAGATAATGATACCGAGGTCATACTTCTTCAGACAAACATATTCCAAGTTTCCAACCATACTTGAAATACGCTAGAAAAGTAAAAAATTTGAAGGTCAAATTGGACAAATTTTCAGATAAACAAGGGTGACTTGGATATAGAAATTCCGATAAGACGGCTATGTATTCAGTTATGTATTTATAGCTATTGATATGAAGTTCTCATTGCCAGGATGAAATAAATTGAGAACTAACAACAAGATGCCGCGAAATCGTATGAGTGTTTACTCTATGCGCATCATTATTTTCACCACATTTTTGAATGATATTTATTCTGAAGTCAGCCCGGAATGCTATTTTGCAACGTGAAGTAACTAGTTTCAGACAGAACAAAACCTATAAAGTATATTTATTGGAAAGCATAAAATTCCGCTGGCAATTGGATAGCACAATTTTCACGAAAAGCTATTCAATTTTTCAAATAAGGCATTTTCTCATCGTTTCACTCAGAACATAGCTCTGCACGGGAATCCACTGTTATGTAAGTGACTACTATTCATAGGCAGAGGAGAAATATTTCCGGTTGGGCACCACATTGAGGCTATAGAGAACCTACGGAGGCGAGGAGTCTAGCAATCTTCTCGCACATAATTATGCCGTACTAATTTCGAAACTGCGAAGTTGCGAACCCGTTGATCAGGCTGGATGACAAGTGTACTCCTCACGACTATCGGCATATCGCACAGCCAAGTTTTACAGTAGTCCAGGTCACGAACAGCGGTCAAAATTCGTAAAATAACCACGGTCCACTATAATCGGTTGAAAAATCTACGGTTATTACCGTTTCTGAGAAACTAGTTTTCTATGCTTTTTATAAGACATTTTTCTCACCGTTACACCCAGAACGTGTCTCTGCACGATAATCCACTAATTTAAGACGTAAGTAGCTATTATTCATGGAAAGACGAGGAATCTTTTCGGTGCAGCATTGCCTGCTGAATTTAGAATAACACGGTGAGTTGGTGAGCCCAGGATCTCTACCCTGTGACGCCGACCTTGTCACGTCCAGATTTACGATTAATTTATTTTTATCTCTCAACAGGCACCTGGACTTCGCGGGGAAAAGTCTGAACAACTACCATATGAAAACTCTTGTACTATATGAATGCGAAAAACACCCACGAGAGGAAGAATGGATAGAAGTCTGCATTGGAGATAGACTTTTGGGAATATTAATACAATTTATATCTTGCCTACAATGTCGACGATTTCCGCATTACTTCCTACCCGGAGTTGACCTTTTAGCGGGGTCAAACCCTGCCATTTTAGAGACTGCGGCACGAACAGTATGGCGTTTAGCGCGAGAAGTTATCACAAATGGAACGAATTTGGACAGTTTGTGACGTAATAGGTTGATGGCGTATTGATGATGTTGTAACTATGATGTGAGATTGCAAAATATTCCGTCATTTGATCCGCGGCGCAATTTTGACAGTGTGTGACGTCATGGCGCTTCATATAACAATCATACTGTGAAATAGGAAACTATCCCGCAATGTGAGGGTGGGATTTTGAACAATGTGTATGACGTCATAACCGGATGACGTAATGATGCTTTATATATCTACAATACTGTGAGAATGCAAAATATTCCGCCATATGAGGAGAGTCGCGATTTTAAACAATGTGTGACGTCATTAGAACATTACGTACTAGTGATTCATATGACGTTTTGCATGGTTATAAATCACTAATGGAACAAATTTGTACAGTCTGTGATGTCATATGATATGACGTTACTTATCTAAATCTCTGTAATGCAGATTTCTAAAATAGCGTATATTGCTAATATTGTTCATCTTTCAAAATCACTACTAATATTCTGTATAATAAGTAGCGTTTGAAAATGTTTCATTCAGTATTTTTAGTAAATATGGTCGATCAACTTGTACCAATGTCATTTTTTTATTCTTTTTATCTTTCAACTATTTATCTATATTTTGAAATCTTCGAAAGTTCAAGTATGTTCTCCTATAGTTACCACGTGAAATAATTACATTACTAGTAGTATATAGATACAGTTTAAATTGACACAACAAATAGACTATTATAAAGGTAATAAAGTTATTTAGGCACCATTGGAGTAGGAAAAAGGAAGAATCTCATGAGTAGATGAGGTATTGCAAGCATATATGGAAGGCTTTTTTATGATATATGGATCTTCGACGTCTCGTCCCCGATGTTCGAGTTAATACGCTTTTGTTTACTGAACAACTTAACGAGGAAAATACCGAACATCGTTTTTAGTAAAATACATAACTACGTACCGCTTACAGATACTGATAGCTAATTTAGCCTATGCTATCGCAGCTGTTCCGGGACTAATTTTTGATTATTGCAACTGAACCAAATTTAAACCAAAATACTACTCCTTACAATTGATTTTTGGAATACAACTAAAAACTTACAAATAACACATAAACCGGGAAAACGAGGCAATGTTTACAACCATGCTTGAATATGTCTGAGCGAACGAAGTGTCTGAGCGACTGCAAATATTTTAATTGTTACATCATCTTCGACTTTTTACTGATTGTTACGGTAATAAACAAAGGAATCGATGCCCGGGGAAACATCCATTTAATAAGCCTTGACCGCCGATCTTTCCCCCAAACTCGATATATCTGACTTTACCGTGCCGCGTACCGATACCCAAATTTCGTGTCCATATATCCGAGATTACTTTAGTAGTGAATTTAGTACTAATAAAAATGTTAACAGACTGAATCAGCGGCTCCCAAAAGGTGCGCCGAGGCGCAACGAGTTGCTTGGTGCGCCGCGAAAACTAACAAAATTGTGATAAAAATAACTGAAATAAGGTTGAATATTCTACAAATTGTATTTATTTTAAATGCCCAATGGTTTCTTCTTCCAAATGCCGTGTATATGAATCAATGAATTCATTTCATCTTTCTATTTGTGACTTATTGTCTGCCTCTATTCATCGCTACGTAACAATATATGTATTTGCTGGAATTGGTTCCATTACATTTGAACCCACGTACATTTGAACCCATGACAATTGCACCTGTATGCTACTGCACCTATGGAATTTTTTTTGTTTCACGGATAGTTAAACCCATACTAACCCTAACCCATGGGTTTTAGCACCCGCATATAGATTGAACCCGTGGATATACGCATGGGTTCAAATGTACATGGGTTCAAATGTACGGTCACCGCTGGAATTTCGTGATCTGCAGTTCATTTATCTGCTGAATCGAGTTTGGCAAACATACGTGATTTTTTTAGCACTTCAAATGATATTGTTTACGAACTTTAAAAGGCATAAAGTAGACATTAACGATCACAAAATTGAGTTTTGTTTGAAAGCATTTTTTTTCGAGTAAGTGCGCTTTTTCCCTGGTAAAATGACGCCGCGCGAACAAAAAGTTCAAAATAATTTCGCCTCACGCAGGCGAAAACAATCCACGAATATAACACAACTAACTCTGTAAAAATTCCTTGCATTATTATCGACTTTTTCTGTCTTCAAAGAATTTCGGAATTTGGGGGTTTCGACACCGAATTAATTAAAAATATACATGGAACATTAAATTATTTAAATAATCAATCAAACAGCGATTCTAACACAATTAACCAAGCAACTTTCTAAAAAAATACTAACATCACCCTGGCGGAAACAATTAGCGATTCTAACACAGTAAAAATCTCATGCGTTATTAGCGACTTTTTCAGTCTTCCAAGAAATTTCGAAATTGATGGTTCGACACCAAATTTACTTGAATACCCATAGAATATTAAATTATTTAAATAGATATTAACATCCCGCTAGCGAAAACAGTCAGCACTTCTAACACATGGTAAAAATCCTATGTTAGCGACTTTTCGACCAAGAAATTTTGAAATTGGGGGATTTTGACATTAATTTGAAGGAATATTAAATTATTTTGTTTCGACCATTTAGAATTGCGGTTAACCATATGTTTTATGTTTTTCCTTCCCCTTGGGAAAAATAAAAACCATGTCCAATCTAAAAACAACCATTAATGGTCATTTCGCAATTAATCTTATATATACATATTGATTTTTGAGCTTTTATAATGTCAAAAAAATATTATTTTATTCAAACTTTTCTGATAGCATTTTTACTTTGATTTTATGCCAAACACTAAGTATTTTCCTGAGGGCTGAAATATCCAATATTCTGCCAGAATATATATTGCATGAAAAAGCCAATGAAGCGTTAACTGTCAGAATATCTCATTTTGTCATAAGTAGGAGTTTTCTTCTCCTAACGACTGAAATACTTGTTATTCTACCAGAATATATCGTCTTTAAAAGGCAATGAAGCGTTGAACTGTCAATGAACTGTCTGAATATTAAGTATAAATTTTTTTCCCAAAGGGCGGAAATATCTATTATTTTTCCAGAATATATCAACAATAAAAAAGCAATGAAGCGTTAAGTGCCAGAATAATCTCATTATATCATAAATACAAGTTTTCTTTTTATAATGGCTTTTTTATAATAGCTGAAATATCTATTTTCTGCTAGAATATATCGCCATTGAAAAGCCAATGAGCGTTAACTGTCAGAATAATCTCATTTCGCCAAGCACTGAGTATATCTTTTCCTTAGGGCTGAAATATTTATCATTCTGCCAGAATATTTTGTCTTTAAAAAAAAACCAATGAAGCGTTACCTGTCAGAATTATCTCCATTTGTCACAATTAAAAGTTTCACATTTATTAAAATTCCCCGCTAACCTTGTTCACCTTTTAAAATACTAAACAGTTGGCAATGTGCAAGCATGTTGCTTCTCTGATTCTATGTATATTTTCAAAGTCGTGAGATTTATGTTTTGCACTAGTTTTAATAACTGTGTTTCGAACAAAAAATCTAAAAAGTCCAATAGATATAGTATGTGTGAAATTGGTGTACATTTTGCGATCCCTAAACCCCATTGCGTGCCCCTCTGTGGGGTCACAACTCCCGTTTGGGGAGCCTAAATGAAAGAACTCAGACTCAACTATTCCTGAGCTAGACCAGAGGTGGGCAAGGATTTCGACCCACCTGGACTGGCGGCCCATGTAAGTGTGACATAAAAGTTACATTTTATGAACAATATTTACAGTGTTACAAAAGCAAAAGTGGAAAACAATAAACCTTGGGCCAAAACTAAATGTAATCGCAATCTCAACAAATTCCATAAACAATTTTTTAGCTAAAATATCAAAATTTGGTTTTAGTTTGGTTGTGGCAGCAGTTGCCGTGCCAGGTTGAATTACCTAATGGGCCGGATTTGGCCCGCAGGACGTAGTTTGCCCACCTCTGAATTAGACTAATCTTTCTGATCAACTCGACTCAGGTGCGCCATTACCAAAGTTGTTAATTACGCACTCCCAGCTCTCACCATACAGATAAATAAAAAAACTACATACCATATGGGTAAATACTGATTCCCCTCACCCCAAACAAAAAACTACATACCATAGGCCGAGGGGTAGTTACCCACAACCCCCCAATACATAGAAACCTAAAACCCATGCCAAAATCTCCCTCCGCCAATCAAAAAAATACATACCTTAGGATCAGCTTTCTTGAAAGAATCGCTAGTCTCGCTGACTTCAAAGAAGATATCTTCCGTTGTGATAGAGAACGTTCCCTGCACGGCCAAACCTGGAGCTAGTAAGTCACAATCTGTTGTAAAGGTTGCAGGACCTAAAAAAAAATTAGTTGTTGAAATATGATTGAACTCAAGACAGGGTTTCTAAAATCAGGCCCTTGGTCCCCCTACGGATAATGCAGCGCAAAAGCTTTCATATGCAGGGGCGCAGTTAGGAATTTTCAAAAGGGGGTTCGGAAATTTCTAATTTACAAATTAGACCGAAAGTCTGTGGGTTTTCAACAGTTTTGGAAGTCTAAATAGCCTTTCAAGTTATGAAACCTTGCTATGTTTGCCACCGAAAAATGCTTCTTTTACATTTCAAAAAGGTTGGTCCCAACCCTCTCGTCCTCCCTGCCTCTGCCCTCTAGAGAGATATGGCCGGAATATCCAAGCCATACAACAGCAAAGTGCGCTTTTCAGTTTTCATGCGTAGCGAGTGGAGAAAGAAAGGGCAAAATTGACAGCACTGAACTACATGCTACTTACCATTCAAATCCTCAAATTCTTTTTCTTGGATCGAGCCCAGGGAAGACTCATCATCGTCATCACTAGAGGTGCCAGAGGGTTGGATTTCATCTGAAGTACTTATCTTGACTGCCTTCGGTGTACTTGGGAATTTTCCACTAACGGCTGCATCCGATACAACTAGAAACAAGAGAGAGATATTAAAGGACACTTGCTTGTCAGGAACCTTGGTTAAGTAAGATTCACCATCTTTTAATTGTTTCCCCGATCGAATAAGATGGGAATTCTTTGAAGAAAATTTTCATGGATGAAATATCGGATGGAATAAACTGCCAGTTTCGGCAACCTGGTCACGCTGAAGTTACGGATCCGCAAGTTTCTGAGGATGGCAACCGATTGCTTGAGTGCGGGCCACAACTATCGGCGGAGAGATTCTGGGCACATACCGACTTGTTATGTATTTAATTACAATTAAAATTTAAAGACATATCAATTTTCCTTCAGAAAATTATCTTTACTTCTTTACAGTTACTAGGGCTGGGCATTTCAAATCGAATATTGGAATCGAATAGTAAATTATTCGAATTGGTTTCAGAGCAATATTTCGAATCGCCGCCATCTTGTTTTTTTCCTTACCGCCGATGGTCGACGTGAATTCCATAATTTTTTTTCATCGGAGCCATATTTTTTCAATGCAATTATGACATATGATTCTGTAGTGAGTTATTGATAAAACCTTTTTTCCTTTTTGTATGTCGCTCAGATCGCTCAGCAATCTGAGTGATGTATTTTACGTTTTAAGTAATTCATACGTTGAAAGGACCAATTACAATAAAAAAATCGCATACAATTATATATCTTCCAAGTATTCGAGATTCGATTCAAAAAAAATATTCGATTCGATTCTGAAATCATCAGGTATTTAAAAAAGCCCAGCCCTAACAGTTACCTAAGCTTGACTCAGCGGCCAGCGAAATCCATTACACATTGGGCCTCGCAATAGTTAAGGCTGTACATACCAACTGGTGTAGGCTGTTTATGTAGTGTAGCCTCAGCATGTGTGCTTCCGTATGGGTTCCTGACAAAACGTCTCCTTCGTCGAGTGTCATCCTCCCAGGAGTCCAACTTCCAGAATTCACGCGAACGACTGAAATTGAGAGAAAGGATAAATGTGGGATAGGAAGAGAGGGAAGATGATAAAGCGATTGGGACGATGGTAACAAAGTTGCAATCAGACCCCATTGATGTCATTGTGGTTATAGCACTGTACTAAAACGGTGTGGGCGACGTGCATCGAAGATCAACGTTGAGTTATCAAGTATAATCCCTTATGCCCACCCCAACTAAATATTGTATCTCTTTATATATCAGCGGCAGTCTGTCTAGACCAGTGATCGGCCACCTTTTTTCAGTGACGTACCGGTAAAATCTGACCATAATTTTGGCGGACCACCTTTATACAAAAAATTACAGACAAACTGATATAAAGTAATAAATTATATGCGGTAGAAAAATCATATTGACGAAACTTTCAAAAACAAAAGTATAACGTGTTTCTTACGTTCGTCCTACTTCAATGTTTCGTTTTTGTAGTTGTCAATTTTGAAAACCTGACCTCACATACTGATAACAATGCTATAAGGGCATTGTACGTTTTTTTGTGTCACCTTTCTGTGGACCGGTAGTAATCTTTCCGCGGACCGGTCCGGCCCGGTGGTTGCAGAGCACTGGTCTAGACCGCCGGTTCTCTGGGCCACAGAAACACTTTCAGATGGGCCACAAACTTGCTAAAACACAAACTAAAAAATTGCCACATTTATTGATAAATTTAGTTAAATTGATGGTGATAGCAATGAATGGTGATGCTCTCATTTGCTACAGTGTGGCCTTCTAATTATTCATTCTGCCTATTTTTGGGGAAAGAATTTTTCACTTTTCTTGATAGTTTTTTCCCTTGCATTAAAAAGTTAATGGGCCACATAAATTTTGTGCCACGAAAATCGTCCAAAGTTACCCATACCTCAAAAACACTGCACCCCAAGCTCCGTGTTTATTGGTCATAATGTTTGTTATCCTGTTATGGAGACTCTGGGCCGATGAATAGTCGCGATGCTTTGCTGCTGAGATCAATAAATCGCATTGTCGCTCTTCTGTTCTTTGCTGTGTCATCAGAACAGCACACCAGGACTGGAAAAGTTATTTGTTTGAATTTGTTTTGTGCTACATTGATTTAAAGTTAGGGTAATTTTTCGTCCCAAGTTATGCACTTTGACAGCGCCTGACATAGAAACTGGGTCAAGATATATTTAAGCTGTTCATTTGTCTACCCTCCCCCTTGCTTAAATATGAAATTCTAATATTTTCCATGTAAATTTGCAGAGTTTCAAATCATTAGTCAACATATAACTTTTACACTCTTTTATCTGTATTTTAGCCACATTGAGTTGGGCCATGATTCGAAGAAACATGCATGAGGATAAAATGTAAGAACGCTTAATAAGCTTTGCTTGTTTGCTTTTTAAGTTTCGGTAAAAAATTTGGAATTCCGTTATAACCAATGAAAGTCTGCAATTCATCTCCAACTCCATGGAGTTTGAAAATACAATTACGTCCCAGACTCCTTCCTACCTGTGAACCTACTTTCGGGCCATCTCCAGTTGAAGGCTTCAAGGTCATCCTGTAAGCAAACCTACAAAGAATGTTCGGTTCCAGACTTACCCCAAACTCAGCATGTTTCTTCACATCCTCTGCTCTTTGTTTGTTTAATATAAATTCAGCTTCATTCGCTACTCTGACGACGTGTTCTTTCATTGCATGGCAGAGAAGTCTGAAGTTCGAGAAGTTCATGATTAGTTACCTCATTCCGAAAAAAAATAGAGTCTAACTAGGAAGCTTAATATTAGAGTAAAATGCTTCACTTGTACCTTTAAAATATAGGCCAGGGTTATTATGAATTTATGAGCATTAAATTAGGATATCTAATCATATATTGACGAAAAGTTTGTTTTGGTATCTTTTTTGAGTTATTGGTGCAGCAAGCAAGTGAATTTGTGGAAAAAACGTCATTTAAAATTTTTTTGCTGTTTCAAATAATCGTTAGTATCTTAGAGCCTCAAGTAAAGGTAAGATCAGGCCCAAAAATTCCAGCTCGGCCCGTGGGTATTAAACCCGACCCGAGCCCGACTAATTAACTAGATTTGCAGGCCTGAGCCCGAAAGCAAACCCGAAATTTCATATTTTATTTAGAGTTCTTTGAATTGTCATTGCAAGAGTTTAGTACAGTATGTGTCGTGTTGATGTGGCAACTTCTGTTTTTGTTTGCAGACCACGGTCTCTCGTGGCCAAAACACGGACAAAACGCCTCATTTAAAAAAAAGTCAGCCAGCGAAAAAAAGCCCGACCCTGACGTAACGATTGACATTTCAGACCCATCCTGGCCCAGAATTTCGGGTAAGGCTCGGATCTTAGCTTTAGCCCCAAGTCTAGTCTCCCAATGCAGTTGACAAAATGACACACAAGCAATTCACTAACCTTCCATCATTGATCAGTTCAATGAATGCGAGTCCAGCATGTTTCTGTATCGAGTTCTGCCATTCTTGTGAGCAGAGTAGCATGACCAGTTCAACCACTGATGAATAAGACTTCATACACACAAGGCCTGGAATAGAAAATAAGAAAAAAGTGAAACTTTAGCACATATCTAACACAATGATAGGTACTCCTGTAGTGTGCGTGCCAGAATAAGGTTAGGCCATAATTTTATTCCGATTTTTCCTATTTAAGTTCCATTACGAGTTCGGGGACTGTCTGTGTTAGTCAAGTGAATATACCCCCTGCCCATAGGTTACAGTCCCTTTACACAACTTGATGTGAAGTAGGCGAACAAAATTAGTTGCCTTCATATTGGTACACACACTTTTGGAACGCCAAATATTTGGCTTTCACAATCTCTGTTGTTCACACAGTCAAAAGTTAAAAAAAATAAATTCCAAAGAAATGGCCTCTTAGAAATCCGTGGCTTACTTAGAGCCTTGTTCAGAGTGAAGAATTCAACAATGAAAATTTTTCCAAAAATAGAACCAACCTTCTGTTAGTAGTTCCTGTCCATGGCTCCCAACCAGTACTTTCGATAAATAAGATGAGAAATCCAGGAAAATGTCTCGCAGAAGAGGTGCAAGTTGGTCCAATGAACGTTCAAGCTTCTTTGAAACATCAAGGGAATCATCAGCTGAATTAGAAAAAAAAGAGCATGAAATCGAAACTATCTTCACTAGAACTAAACCAGTGGTTCTCAACCTTTTTAGTGTCAGAGTCGCATCTCAAACTTAAAAGTTGTAAGGAGCGGCATAAATAACAACTTAAATTAAAATAGCAAAAACACTCAAGTATGTATTTTAATAAAACATATTAAAAAAAAACTCAGGGTAAAAACCAAATTGATGTTAAACTTAACACTGACTTTGACTTTTAATTCTCATTTCTTTAAAAGTCAGACGAAATCGTGAAGGGTGCAGGAAGGGTTGTGTTTCTTTCCAATCGCATTCAAACGTAAGCCGTAACCAAACAGCGTGTTTCGCTATATGCTGGTGATGAGGAGTCCAGCAAGGAGCCCTATCCTACGGAAGCGAGGGTACAATGACAAGCACGGCCCATACTTAATAAGCCAACTGCGAAACTTACCATCGGGAACTGGATGATTGACATCCTCCAAAGTATTAATCTGTGGCAAATCTTCATGGTCAGCTTCCTTATCATCTGTTTTGACTTCCGCTTCATCTGTGGGTGCCGATTCACTGACTGTAGAAAATGTAAAATGGATGCTTAGAGGGAGAGGTAAGCTCACAAGAGGACATGGACTCTGCTAGATAAGTCAAGAAGTGCTGCGCACAACTCCCGCTGGTCGGCTAAGTGAACCACCTTCCAATAACCGCCCTACAAGGCACCCACAGCAAGATCACAAGTTCTGCTGGTCGACTATGCTAATCACCTTACAATAACCTCTCCACAGGATTTGCATCTGCGAACTCGCACAGGTGGTTGGAGTTGTGATGCGCCAACAAACTATGATCTTGAATAGATTAGATAAATAGATTTTTAACATATATGCAAATTGCACCCTGGATGACTTGACTGGGGTTGGGCAGCTGGTCCGAAATTTCAGTGGCTTCGACTCCAGAGCCACAGTCTATTCAAACTTTGGCTCTCGGCTCCGTAGCTTCATTTCCGGCTTCATACCCATTAAGGTTTTTAAATGTGACCACTATCATGAAATGTCCACCCAAAGGCAGTTTTGAGGAAGTAGGGACCTAAAACTATGACATGGGGTTTCAAATTTCAAGTTTTAAATAGATAAATTTAACTTTATTGCGATTTATAGAATTTAGGAGCTGAAAAGGATAGATTTGTATGACATTAGAAACGTTTTCATTTAGCGCCGGCTCAAGCTACTCCAAAATGTAACAGCTCTGTGGCTCCAGGCTCCAACGTCATCTCCCCAGCCCTGGACTTAACAGTGTTCACATCGCAGGACACACATCTCAGGTTCGCATCCCATGCCCATCGACTTATCCAGACAGATAAGCAATGCCGGACCAAGAAAATGGCTTTTCCAAAAATAGTAACTCTCTACATATTGTCAAATATAACAGAAATCTTGTACAGGGCCTTGTTCAGAGTGAAATTTGTGAATGAACGTCGCATGATGAATTCTGATACATACCTGTTTGTGGTATAGTCTGCTCTTTGGGAGTTTCCTCAGCATTAGCAGTAGCTGGAGTGGAGGCCACGGTCACGCTTCTATCGAAGGACTGGAACTTAGATTGCTCCACACCTTTGGCCTGGGTTTATGAAAAACTGATGTCAGAATGACTTTTGAAGGAGTATCTGAATCGTTTGATATTTTAAGATGCAATCTTGGAATTTCGATTTGTAATATTTATTAGCATAAGTTTATTTTGACTCCATAGTCAGCATAATAGGCGATGAAAAAATTGATAAAAACAGAATGAATAAAACTGATTATAGAATCGGAAGAGCACACAAAACCTCAAGGTTTTTAATGGATTCAACTTCAAAATTTTAATCAAATTTTATTTATAAAAAAAAATCTGATAGACTTGAGGTCAGTACAAAGTGCATAGTTTTACAAAGTTTTAATTCCCAGCCAGGGTAAAAGGTGATGCAATATGACTGTATGATCCAAATATTTCCAAGTAATTAATTTCGATTTCTAATATGCAAATTAAATGTCTGCCTAAATTGATTAGAAAATTAGGCCGCTAGAGGGATATATGGCCCGCAAGTGACACAGACAGTCCCCGAACTCGTAATAGAACTAAAATGAGGAAAATTGGGGCAAAATTATGGCTTAACCCTAAACTGGTACACATACTGCGGGAGTACCCTTTTTTCTGATGCAAAATTAGCTTCTCACTATTAATTATTACCTATTATCAATATTCAATCTCATTAAAAAATAATAGAATAATTTGAAAAAATATAACATGACATAATTAAAACATGCATCTATGTGAAATTATAACACTACATACTGCTGCTACCATGCTGAAGAGCATACAAACTAAAATGAAACGGATTCTAAACATTCGTTAAATCTCCAATAAATTTGCTAAAGCAAATGTATGTTGCTGAAAAAATATTTATTGGCAGTTGATAGTAGAAGAACAGGGGTGTGCAACAGTGAGCCACAACTTGGGCCGTGGCCCTTGTCAACATTCAAGAAGATTTTGCCCATCAAGCATAAAATCCTAATCCGACAGTTTGTTTAAACTGGCGCTCACACGAGTAAAAAATACGTGTTTGCTTTTTGTCGCTGCTTGGTGCCTTTATTACTGTAAGGCTGAGCCAGTGATTCTCAAACTTTTTTTGCTTGCGGCACACTCGACAAAAGAAAAAAAATTGCGGCACACTTGTAAAAATAAAAATTGCTTTAAACAGATTCATTCTGCAAATGTTAATACAATGCGTGTGCCCGTTTTGAGGTAAATTAAGATTTAAAACAAAGTTTCGTAGCTGCCAAACGCAACCACATTCCGTTGTCAATTACAAGAAGTCGCTACTTTTTTGGCTTCAAATTTCACTCTTAGCAGAAAATCCGTGTTCACAAAGCCGTCAAGATTCATATAGCTGGATTATTTTGATGGCCTTTACACTGATAAATGAATAGGATTTGTAAGCAAATAGCCAAAACCAGCATAACTAAGCGCGCAAGTCAACATTGTGGAAGTCCACAAATACATTATAGCATAACAATCCAATACCATTTTAACATGACGATTCCTCTCACTACATCAACAAGGCAAATGCAATACAAATTATCTAAATGGATAGTGCGGGCCCAACAAGTCTCACAAGCTTGCCCGTTGTCTGCATGTGTAATGCAAATGGCTCGATATCTAAAATTCCAAAAAGTTCAGCGGCGCACCTGAGAATCTCTCACGGGCACACTAGTGTGCCGCGGCACACAGTTTGAGAAACACTGGGCTAAGCGATAGCCGGATTCCATTTTTTGTGTGGTCTGAAGTTGGTTATATGGCCCACAGACAAAAATGTTGCACATCCATGTAGTAGGAGTGTTAGACCTAATTGTGTCCACATCAACGGTTACTACACATGATGGGTTCAAGTCTCGTATATGCAACCACACCCAGAGTGTAATCAGTTAGTTTAGCAAAGACAAACTTCCAAAAAATAGCAGATGTTTCGCATCAATGGCTGCATATACATGGCCTTTTTCAGAGTTGGAACTATATAAAAATTGAATAAGAAATTGTGAAGGCAATCTTAATTCTTAAAAATGATAGTGGCTCCTCACATAGAGCTCTGTTCAGAGTTAAAATTCTGGTACTCCCGGAGCATGTGAACCAAGAGGGCGGACACTGGAATGAAGTTTGTGTACCAGGTTAAGGTTAGGCCGTAATTTCAGGTACAAATACTACAGTAGTCACTTAGCTAGTCCCCGAACTCGTAATAGAACTAAAATAAGGAAATTGGAATAAAAAATACACATACTATGTACAGGTGTCCGTCATCTTGGTTCACATACTACGGGAGCGCCAAAATTTTATATTAAAATTGATATACATACCTTATCCAAGATGCGTCCTGCCACAATTCCACTATCTGTGGCATTATTGTCTTCAGACTTTGCCAAGTTTTTAAGAATTTCCTTAGGAATGCATGCAAGAAACACCAAAAATAAAACTAAGCAACTAAACACAAAACTAAATTATTCAAAACAAGAGGACAATGAAGGTAGAATGTCATAGCAATGTGTTCCCAATGTCATATGACTATTTCCCAGATGTCATATAATTGTGTTCCCAAAATTAAAACTAAGCAACTAAACACAAAACTAAATTATTTAAAACAAAAGATCAATGTTCAAATATTTGGACACAAAGGTAAGATGTCATAAAGTGTTCCCAGTTGTCATATTACTGTGTTTCCAGATGTCATATAATTGTGTTCCCATGACAGATACGCGTGTCCCCATGCCATATAATTATGTTCCTGTGGATGTGTTCCGGATGTCATATAACTGTGTTCCCATGACAGATACGTGTGTCCCCATGCCATATAATTATGTTCCTGTGGATGTGTTCCGGATGTCATATAACTGTGTTCCCATGACAGATACGTGTGTCCGCATGCCATATAATTATGTTCCTGTGGATGTGTTCCGGATGTCATATAACTGTGTTCCCATGGCAGATATGTGTGTCCCCATGCCATATAATTATGTTCCTGTGGATGCGTTCCAGATGTCATATAACTGTGTTCCCATGGCATATACCTGAGTCCGCATGCCATATAATCATGTTTCTGTGGAATATATGCGTGTCCCCATGCCATATAATTATGTTCCTGTGGATGTGTTCCCAGATGTCATATAACTGTGTTCCCGTGGAATATAATTATGTTCTTGTGAATGTGTTTCAGATGTTACATAAAACTACCTATGTTCGTAGATGTTTTATAACTGTGTTCGCACATTTCATATAAGGTTGTTGTTACCATATGTCATATCAAGTATGTACTGTAACCCCAGATGTCATAAAATTGTGTTTCCAGATGTCAAATAATTGTGCTCCCATGAATGTGTTTCGTCATATAATCCGCGATCCCATAACCCCCTCCCTCTGCCTGGGTATGCCCCTGCCAACGACTCGCACAAATTAAGAGACTTTTCATAGAAATTAAAAATTGCCGCTGAAATTCTATTTTCTATGAAAAATTAGCCATGACCAGCTACGTGCACAAATTAGGATGCTAATGCTACAAAAATCAAGTGAAATTAACTTGAATTTGCATGAAAATACCTGGACAGTTGATTGCTTGCTTTCTTCTGGTTCTGTTGAGCTGGATTCACTACGATCTGAAATGATGGGATTTACATTTTTATCTTGAGGAAGAGGAAAGCTGATACTGCAGCTTAATCATATGGCAAAATGCAGCCTGTCGCCCATTTTGTTATCGGAAGCATGAACTGGCCGTAACCGACCAGAGGTTACGTGAACTCCCTTATGGTGGCTAGGAATCCAGCAATACTCTCACACATGATTTACCCCGCATTGAATTTGAACTTGCGAACCTAGCAAGCTAATCAAAGGTGTTGTGGCGACCGTCATCTTAACGCTTGGCACAGTGTACCACACCCCGGTGAATTTGCAATCTTACTAGTAATACAGTTGAAAAGAAACGATTGTAGCAGAGGTGGGTAGGATTTTTAGACCAGGGGCCAAAAATTTTGCCCACCTTGACTGCGGGCCATGTATGTGTGACGTGGAAAGTCACATTTTATATCTTCGACCCCTGAACTTGCTTTAAAAAAGCAACACTCATGGATGCGAACATCTATACCAGTGGTTCTTAAACTTTTTAAGCCATGCACCATTTTCAGAATTTGCACTTGAACCTGTGATGTGTGGTTATTGACGGTTTTCCACTGTTTTAGCAAAGTGTTCGGTGGTTTTTCACTGTTTTTGCAAAGTTTTTGATGGTTTTTGCATGATTTTGTTGGTTTTTGACAGTTTTTTACCATTTTTGCAAGGTTTTTGACAATTTTTCAAGTTTTGCACATTTTTGTAAAGTTTTCGGTGATATTTCATAGTTCAAGCATGCACACGGCCTTGTTCAGTGTAAAAACGTGAACAAACATTGAATAAAATATATTTGCAGCAACTTTACCTCTTTCCCCTTCTTTGTGAACATTCAAGGCTTCTGCAATGTCTTTCTCAGTTATTCCTATGTCAGCATGGCCTTCTTCCCCTGTAATAGGATTTACATATTTATCCAGAGCCAGAGAAAGTCGCTTAAAACTGCGTCTCATCCGGTTACCAGTCCATGATGTGTATGGGATTAGTTATTTGTTTTTTAGACAGATTATCTTGATGATGGTGGAGGAAGCGTAACCTGCCAGTGGTTACGTGAACCACCTTACAGCGACAAGAAGTCCAGCAATTTTCTTGCACATAATCATCTCCCATGGAATTCAAACCAGCAAATCCACGTAGGGTAATCAGAGTATTTTTGTTAGTTGTAAATTTTCTTTATCGTGTATATCCTCGTATATAAGCCAACCATACAAATCAGTTGCTCTCGTAAAACTTTGAATGGTTCGAGTTGTAGTTGGAATTAAGATACCCCAATGTCCTTTCGTTTGAGTGCGATCTGAGTTATGCGTGTATAAGCCGAATTTTTAGTACATTCAGAGTTTTGAGTGTATAAGCTGACCCCTAGTTTGACAAATTTTCACAGAATTGTGTTAATAAAATTGTGATAATTGTGTTCCCATGGCAGATACGAGTGTCACAATTGTTTTATTAACACAATTTTCACAAAGAGTTTCAAACTTGGCGAGGATATATGGATTATTTTTCATACAGAGTGTACACAAATTAATCAAATCTTAATTTTTTTTCAAATTGTATTATTTCTCTTACCTGAAACCTTATCTGCCCCTCCAGTTGGTAAATTCTTCTTTGCTACTATAGATTGAAGCAATTTCATTTGGCTTTCTGGATCAAGAATGTCCCGATATTTCGAAACCATCAAGACAGAGACGAAATAAACAACCGCGAGAGATAGGACTTGTGCTTGCTTGCTCTCTTCCTATAGAAATGATGTAAGAAATACTTAAATAGTGTTTTTTGCCAAGAAATATACAATAGCACATTATTTAATCCATATTTTGTGGACGATAACCTTGTAGGTAAGCAACCTCTCCCCTATATCTCAAATTTCATCAGCCATCAGCCACCTTCATTTGAGACAAACACAATTAAAAACTTCAATGCATGAAGGAATTAAAACCACCAACACCTTGAAGAGAAGTCCCCCCATCTAAAAATCCTTTTTAAGCATCACCAAATAATACATCATAATACATCTCTTATTTAAATCTTCTCTCCAATTGAAGGCATTTAAAACAAGAGAGCTATGCTCAAATATATGGACACGTAGCGCCACCCAGTGGCAATAATTTTGATGACGTCATAGCGAGAAAAAAAAGTAATAGCCTTCTGGAGAAAAATTTTATCTTTAACCACTGAAAATATCAAAGCAATTGGTCCAGTATACGAAGAGTAAAGCGATTTTTTAAAAATGGAGACGGAGACAAATAACAATAACAACAAAATTTTGAAACGATCGTTATGGCCACTAAACGTGTCCAAAAATTTGTTGCTTACCGGCTACGAATAAGATGTGCTAGGGGAAATCCCCCTCCCATTTTTGATAATGTCTTTTAAAAAACTTTTCCACTACCCACAAGTAGGGCTGGGCATTTCGAATCGAATATTCGAATCGAATCGAATAGCAAATTATTCGAATCGGTTCAGACGGGAATTTCGAATCGCCGCCATCTTGTTTTTATCTTTCCGCTAATGGTCGAGGTGAATTCCCTAATTTTTTTTTTTATTAGAGTCATATTTTTTCAACGAAATTCTAACATATGACTATTTTCAGTAGTGAGTTATTGATAAAATGTGTTTTATATTTTGTGTGAACGCTCAGTAATCTATCTGGGTGATTTATTCTCTGTCTTTAGTAATTCATTTGTTGAGAGGATCAATTACTATAATAAAGTCGCTTAAAATTATATATTTTCAAGTATGCGAGATTCGATTCGATTCGAAAAAATTATTCGATTCGATTCTGAAATCACAAGGTATTCGAAAATGCCCAGCCCTACCCACAAGCAGTACTGTGTATGCTGACGTCTTTATTTATAAAAGATTCAGTCATTTGAATGGCATGAATTGACTCCTTATCAGCCAATGGAAAGTGAGGTTCAACTCTGACCAACGACAAATAATACAATTTGACGAATCTTAAAAACCTTTTTCACTACCCACAAGCAGTGCTGGATAGGCTCACGTCTTTATTTATTAAATACTAAAAGTGAGTGAGTCATATGATTGGAATTATTTGGGCCTGTTTATCAGCTTATGAAAAGTGAGACTGGACTATGTGATTGAGTCGAGACACGTGGCTAGACTTGATTTGCAACACTTGGTTTAGTGTTTTTGATCCAATACCCACTTCATTCTGGGAAAGTCCCCTCCTCAACATGGAATCTCTAAAAATCTCAGTTCACACATGACTCGACTTGGTTTGCCATCTGGGGTTCAGTGTCTTACTTCCATTACCCACTTTAGTGTAGGGAAAGTCCCCTCCTCAATTTGAAACTTATAATCCTTCACAGTCACGCTACTTACCAGATCTCTATATATTACGGATCTTAGTCTTGTAACGTCAGCATCTTGTAGAAGACGATTAGCATCAGCGATTTTCGTTGCGGAATTAGACATTTGAGATAAAAGTATCTCTGCTGCCTCTACTGCTGAAAGGTGGTCGGGGTCCTGAATGAAATAAAGTTAAAAAGATTAGGGCTAACAACCAGAAAGAACAAGGGGGACACAGAGCGATTCTGTGGGGACATAACCGAAGGTTTTTAAAATGAACTCCTGGCCCTCGCAGGGGGCTCCTGAGCCAGACAAAAAATTCATAAAATTAAAACCAAAAAAACTTAAATTGTTACTTAACTTACTTTACTTACTACGATTAACCCTTTTTTTCCGCTGTTCCAAATCGACTTTTGAACCCATTTTATAATATGTAATAACTAGTTAATCAAGCGTGCAAGAAACGACCCCAATTTCCAGCTGAAAAGAGTTTTCGTCGCTTTTTACTAACAGTATCCAGAGATACAACGCGCTATTTCTCATTTCTCAAAATTTACAAAAAAAATATGATCACCGTGGTTACGAACACTCAGATCAAGCATGGATCATAGTTGGATGTCTGAAATGATTTTAGTTAGTGCGGGAATACTTCACAAAACATAAACGTAAAATAGCCCGATTGTCACTATTATTGTCATATTATGACCGAGGATGAGGGGAGTACCTGGAAAAAAAAAGTTAATGGGGCTCTGTATGGAGTAGTTAGAGAACCTATGCCCTAGCGGTCCATGGACGACCCTCTGCTGGTATCTGCTGCCCTTGTAATCCCCACAATAATAGAATACCTCGTTAGATTCTTCATTTTGAGACACCGGGTGGAGCTCTACAGAGTCCGTAGTTACATCAGGAGTCGGTGGTGCTGATTTTGGAATCTTGTGATGAAGGTAGCGGTTTTCAAGACAGTTTCGAACTGCGCACATACAAGCTGCAGAGACATAAAAAAAGTTGGATAAGTTACAAAACATCTCTATTGAACGCTAAACCAGAGGTTCTCAAACCTTTGGTGTAATGGAGCTCGTGAATAGGTTAACTAATATTTACAAAGCCTCACAATAAAATTATAAAAATAAAAACGAGAATATCAGTCAGAGACCGAAGATTTATCAATCGAAAGTTAGGGGATCCACCAAAACAGCGCTCTTACTCCATAGTGACACCTTGTGTCCCATCACTGATTAATTAATAACTCGCTAATTATACGACATAATTCATCCAAAGTCAATAGGCTTCTGGTCCGACATATGATGAATGCACATGCAAAATCTGGAGCAGATTCAATCTCGCTTTGGTGAGATATCGCGTGCAACAGACAAACAGACAAATACCTATCAACATACTTACTGATTAAAATCGATAAGTAATGATGTATTAGAACTTAGAGATAATGTCATATCTGAATTACTGCCCTGTTGGCACATTTCGACAGTACCATTGCCACATTTGTTCAAATATAATGAAATTTGGAGTCTACCAATCAAAAAGCTATAAATACCACTGGAATGATAAACAGGGGGGTATGGGTGCAAAAAGTTTCCGAACGGGGTCACGAGCCATGAAAAGCTGAGAACCACTGCTATAGAGTACTGTAAAGCAAGGCTACTCAACTGGCGGACCGCGGTCCGCATCCGGACCTTTCGAGTATTGAATTCGGACCGCACCTAATTGGAATCATTAGCCCCACTTTTTAAATTTCCTTTTATAAAATGACTCCTATAGTTCTGAATATATATGAAAAGAAATATAACACCAAAATGAACAAACTTGATTAGCTAATAATCATTAGTCGGACTTGGAAGTGCGTGTTTGAGGATGCCGAAAAATCATTTCTGGAAAGACCGGACCCAAATAATTTTCAAGTTTCGTATGCGGATCTTCGGTAAAAAGAGTTGAGTAGCCCCGCTGTAAAGGACCAATCTACATAGAAGTGGTGACAACTGATCTCGACTTACCGGTTCTCAAGCATTGTCGTAAGATTCCTCCAGGTTGCATGTTCTTTTCTTGTTCAATCTCCGAGAAATTTAGAGTTGTAGAGAACGCGAGGACGTCCATTGCAGCTGCAAGACGATTCAACATTGACCAGGCTAGTGACATCGTGAGTCCTTGAGAGGAGTCGATCGTGTCGAGTTCGTACTAGAATAAGAAAAGATTATTCATTGAAATACAGACCGTCCACAAAATTTCGCCAGACATTATATTTTTTTGTCTTTGTTTATTTATATTCCCTATTGTATTTATTTCTTTGCTCTTAAAGCAGTGTTTCCCAGACTTTTTTTACCCCGGAACACCTATACTTTTTATTTCGTCCCGCAAAATACCAATAAATTAGAAAGTAAAATTTGCAATAAAAAAATTGACTGATGGATCAATTTCCACAACCAGATTACCGCGTTTTCTGTAAACAAGACAATTAAATATTAGGAAGACGGTTAACGATATTAACGGGTTACGAAAACTCCATCATTTTTAGACTGGCACGAGGCCTGTCTGCCTGTTTAGGATAGGATAGGGATAGGATAGGATTTACATATTTATCCCGGGGGAGAGGAAAGCCGATAAGACGGCTTATTCATATGGCGAACCACGGCCTCTCTTCCGGTTACCATTCCAAGTCGGGTATGGGATTAGATTTACTGTATTGTTTGTTTTCGGAAGCATGGACTTGGTGGTGGAGGAAGCCGTAACCGACCAGCGGTTACGTTAACCACCCAACGACAGCGAGGAGTCCAGCAATCCTCTCGCACATAACCATCCCTGCGTGGGATTCGAACCTGCGAACCAACGCAGAGTAGTTAGAGGTGCGGTGGCGAGCGTATTCCTAACGCTTAGCCCGTTGAGCCACACCGCCACGCCAGCAAGGTTTGTCCGTCTTTTTGCCGGGAGACAAATTAACGACTCAGAGGCGACAAAGTACAGCTGAGATCACCATGACAACCAAATTAGTCGCAATTTTTTAAACCTGTCCAGTGGAAAACTCCGAGGAAGCTCGTGGAACAGCAGTGTTTCGTGAAACACAGTTTGAGAACTGCTTGTCTAAATCTTGCTCACAGAAAATTCACAGAAGGACAGGCTTGTTTAGAGACTTTTTCAGAGAAACAATAGCAATTCCAATTTTATTTAGTTTTAACTTTATGAAACTTACATTAGGTGAAGTAGCTGAGGACAGTATAGGTAGGATTCCTCCGCATGCCAGAATAACATTATCAATGGTTTGTGAGACGAGATGGATCGTGTTGTGAACGAATATCACGTTTTCACTGTTGTTAACAACTTCCACTAGAGGCAGCATTGACCTGAAAAAGTGAAAATTGATATGATGCATTGAATTAGAATAGGGCTCATCAAACTGCAGGTATTTCACAAGGTGTTTACACTTTGTCACATAAATTGTTTGAACCTTATTTGAAAAGCGACTACAAGCCATAAAAGGTTGGTAACGACTGCCAGGCATATGGAACCACTCTAAGATCCATATAGATTTAATAGCAGAGGAAGGATAGGGTATTGAACGTATATCAATCTTTACTTTGTTGCCCCCAATGAGCCAATCCGTTGTCTTGAGGGAGCGGATGGCTCAGTTTGGAAAACCCTGTTTTATACATTGCAATACTTACTCTTTCCATGTTTGTATTTCTCTTTCAACTGTTGCGAATAGATCGTTATATAAACGTAGATGAAATGAAGACCATTTGAATTCGGGGATGCGAAACACACTGGTACGAGGCCCTGGACTGAACTGCTGCTGTGTGACTGGCTTTCCCTGCGAAAACAAAAAAATGAATTGCAACGGAAGACGGTTTACTCAAAGCAAATGTCCTGACACCTCAACTGAAAGTCACTGATGCTTGAGAGCAGTAGTGAGTTGTCCTGAGTAAAGATATGAAAGTGTTAAGTGTCTAATGAAATGGGATATTTATCCTGGGGGAGATGAATGACAAAAAGATGACCTAATCATATGGTGAACCACGGCCTCCAATCCAGTTTCATAAACAACCCTACAACGGCAAGGAGTCCAGCAATATTGCCACACACAGTCATCGGGATTCGATCCTACAGGATATTCTGTGTTTCTGTAGCATATGCACCGGGTTAGGGTTAGGCCATAATTTCATCCAATTTTTCTTATTTTAATTCTGTTACTACAAGTTCGGGTACTGTCTGTGTTAGCCAAGTGAATATACCCCCTGCCCATAGGTTTCAGTCCCTTTACACAACTTGATGTAAAGTAGGCGAACAAAATTAGTTACCTCCATGTTGGTACACATACTTTTGGAGCGCCGGATAATCCTAGTAATATATACAAACCTGCTGTTCCGTTTCTTGTGTTGAAGTACTTGGTCCTGTACTCTCTGTAACTGTGCTCGTGGCTTGGTCAATTGCAGATTCTTCATTTGATTTGTCCTGCTTGGTCGTTTTTTTGGGTGATTCCTCTGCAGGCTTCTGTTCACTAGATGAAGCTGTTGCATCAACCGCAGCTTCCCTGGCCAGGTCTGACGTCTTATCTCTTTCAATTTTTACTTCATTTTTATTTTCTATTGACAAGCCTTCTTCAGGTTTGGTGGCATCTTGTCCAGTTTCTGTGGCAGCATCTTCTGATTTAGTGGCATCTTGTGGAGATTCTTCAAGCTTTTCTGATTTTGTAGCACCCTCAGTTTGATTATTGTCATTTTGTTTCCTGGCATCAGTTTCAGAATCAGTGCCATCTTCTGTTTTTGTGACATCGCTGTCAATTTTTGGGGCATCTTCACTATCTTTTTCTGATTCAATATCATCATCAAGTTTCTGTTTTGCTGGCTCATCTTTTTCTACTTCCATGGCATCGGCCTCTGATTCTGTGGCTTCTGCCTCTTGTTCATGGTCACTGCCACCAAGATCATCTTCATTTTCTACTTTGCCATCTTCTGAAATTTGATCTTGCTCTTTTCGCTGTTCACTATCCCCAGTGGCATCATCTTCATTTGTGTCATCTTTTTCAGATGCCATGCCATCCTTTTCGTCAGGAGTGCCATATTTTCCTGTATCGGTGCCATAATTTTCGTCATCAGTGCCATTCTTTTTGTCATCAGTGCCACCTTTTTCTGATACCATGTCATTCTTTTCATCAGTGATGTCACCATTTTCTGATGCCATGTCTTCTTTTTCATCATTGTTGCCATCATTTTCTGGTACCTTGCCACTGTCAGCATCTTCAATGCCACCCTCAGTAGATTCAGATAGATCTGCAACTTCCATTTGTTGAGCATTATTTTGATCTCCTGACTTGATTTTTTCATCCACCTCTCTCTCGGCCTGTTGGTCACCTTCTGCAGGGCCATCTGTTGATTTTGTAGAATCTGTATCTTCAGCAGCTTGAGAACTTGGTTGTTCCGGTACCTTGGTGTCTTCTGGAACTGGAATCACAAAAACAAGAGAGTTGTTGAATATGTGCACAGGGGTCAAAGGTCATAGAAAAAAGTGTTCCCATATGTTATAAAAAATGTTCATTTGGATGAAAAGATAACAGTGAAATGAACATAGGAAATAACCTGTTTGAATTTTTCCCTGAAAATGAGCACATGTTCCTGTTTTTTTATTATTATATATATATGCCTTTCACGTCCAAACAGAGATCTGCATAAACAGACACTGTTCACTACTAAAGAGCCCCCATAGTTAGAAAAAACCAGAACTTATGTTTAATATTTAGAAAGATTTTAGTCAGTACAGGCAAAAAGTGAAATGGGTTTTGCAATAATTTTGACTTTCTGAGATTGTGCCATCGCCTCTCGGAGGTTTTCGGCCCCCTAATATATCTCTTTAACCCCCAAAGTGGCAACCACTTCGCAAATCACTAATCTAGTTATATTCCCCAATACTCACTGATGCTCCAGTTTTTACGTAAGCGATTTTGCCGTAATTACAGAATTTATTTTGGTCTCTTACGTGCAAGCCTACTACTACATACCTTCTGTAATAACAGCAGCTCCAGACTCAGGTCTAGTTCTATCTGCAGATTGTCCAATGGATCCAGTAATAGCCGATACTGTGCCAAGTTTTTTGCTCATTTCTTCAGCGTTCTTGTATTCATTGTACATGTTTTCTAAGTAAGCTTTGTGGGCATCGAATGTTACCTGTGGAGATAATTGGAAAAGTTTAGAAGAGCTTATAAGGTGGGGGCTCTCAACGGTGAATGCAGAACCCCTAATACAGGGTGTCTCGAACTGTGGATCCCTTAGCTGCAAGCAAACCAAAGTTCTTAACCCTCTAAGCCTTGTGCGCATCAAATGTCACCTGCGAAGGTAATGAATGAAAGTTTAAAAAGGAAGTTTCTAAAGTGAATGTAGGGGCATCAAGTACACGTCAGGTAGGTTTGTTTTAAAATTTTGTCAATCAGTGGCACTCTTCAAATGACTATGAAGAAAAATGTCACCTGTGACGAGAACAAGAAAAGCTCGAATGTAAAAAATTACTCATAGAGAAGTAACAAGCCCCACTAACACAACTTGTACTAGTAGCAGTTCTGTGAGGGAGGGGCACGAATGTTGGAGGGGGAGAGGGCCACAAATTGGTTCCCTCGAGGCTACAGGAAAGGGGCTACTTGTGATGTGTACATCAATTTAAAGTAAATGGGCTGTGATTTATATACTTTGTTGACTGTAATGATTCATTCTTCTACCTTTGTTTGTAGGCTTTTTATTATTGACTGTAGCACATGAAATAACTGAAAAAACCTCATCGAAACAAAACTAGGTATTTCTATAGAAGAGCAGGAGGACACAAAAGTCTAGTGCAGCGGTTCCCAACAGGGGGTGACAGGACAGTTGTAGGGCTGGGCATTTTCGAATACCTGATGATTTCAGAATCGAATCGAATAATTTTTTTCGAATCGAATCGAATCTCGAATACTTGGAAGGTATGAAATTGTATGTGAATTTCTTAGTATTTTAGGTCCTCCAGACACATAAATTACTGAAAACATAGAATACATCACTGACAATAAAAAAAAAACACGTTTTCATCAATACCTCAATACAGAAAAGAGTCACAAGTCAGAATTGTGTTGAAAAAATATGGCTTCAATGAAAAAAAAATTGAGAAATCTACCTCGACCATTGGCGGAAAGAGTAAAACAAGATGGCGGCCATTCGAAAATTTACTCTAAACCGATTCGAATAATTCACTATTCGATTCGAAATGCCCAGCTCTAGACAGTTGGTGGTGACAGGACAAAACTGATTCTACTTTTCACTTTACAAGGAAACCAGTTCTTCCTAGTCTCATTATTTGATAAGGTCATTTCACAGGGTGTTTTCATTTAGTTGGCCATGAATTGTTTGAACACAAAGGGATTTGGAATGTAGCAATCAAAATAACACTGGAATGATAAACAGGGGGCCATGACAGCTAAAAGCCTATGAAAGGGGGCCAAGATCCATAAAAAGCTGGGAACCACTGGTTTAGTCTTTGAATGGGAGCCATAGATCATGAAAATTTGAGATGAAAACACACTCAACTATGCCATAGGCCAGTGGTTCCCAACCTTTCTACCCTGGCGGACCGGTAAAATTAATTTAAATGTACTGGCGGACCGGCAAAACATTGAAATGACCGGAACATAAAAGAATAACATGTATTTGCGTAATACAATGCAATGTCGGGCACTCAATATGCATCTAGACAAAAAAAGGCACACTTAAAAGCTCAGCTCACACGAAGAAACACTATCAAATAATGTGACGGCCAAAAATATTTGCGTAATGCTTTGGTGCTGGGCGCCCATTATGCGTAAGGAAGGCACACATAAAACATCTCACATAAAAAACATGTACATGTCAAATCATGTACAAACGCAATTAACTCTAGTGAAAATTTTGCTGCTGTTTAGTTTCCAATATAGGATTGCAAACGATGCCTCAAGGAAGTTTCTGCAACACGTAGCCCTGCAGCGGCGTGCAACCAATTTCCTTGCTTCGCTTCAATTAAAGCTATAGATGGAAATATTTTTATATATAAGTAATAAAAATATAAGTAACTCGTTGAAAATACGGACAACAGTTTGATTGCTCGATTACTTAGCGATGGGTATTCGTTATCAAGAGATATCCAAAATTGTGACAGTGATTCTTTTTTAAATCTGGACTGTAAAGTAGAATCACAATTTGAATCAAGCTTTTTCATTGGGTTCATCATATTAATCCCTCTGCAGTTGATCGATGCTTCAAACGGAGGGAATTTACATTACAATGACAAAGTCGTCGGTAATTTGGCACCAGGCTCAAAATCCTACTTTGTCTGCTCAAGATACTGGGAAAGATCTCAGCGGCCCATGCTTTTTTGCGCTCCTCGTGACCACCTGCCATATTTTACTGTAGTATTATACTTTTCTTGACTGTTTTTTGGTTTGAACAAAGAAATATGCGTAACGTTTTATTTGGGTGGTCATATTAACCAGGAAAAGCATGCAAAACAGAAAAAGCACGCGTGCCAATTTTTAGGTTTCTGAATCTTGCGAGATTCGATGGAGCACATTCACGATGAGCAAAAAGTGTGATTACTTGGCGCCAAGATGTCGCGAAAGACGTCGCAATATGACGGCGGAAGAGAAATTGCGTAATAAATCGACCTCGTCAAAGAGATCGGAGCGCATTCGAGATGAATCGGAGCCGAAAAAGCGAAAAGTATGATTACTCGGCGCCAAGATGTCGCAATATGACGGCGGAAGAGAAATTGCGTAATAAACCAACGCGACCTCGTCCTCGGTAAAGCGATTTAGACGGCATAAAAACAACAAAACACCAAAATTTCCTCGCGGACCGGCAAAAAAGCTTCGCGGACCGGCACCGGTCCGCGGACCGGCGGTTGGGAACCAATGCCATAGGCTATGTAGTATACCCACAAGTCTATAGAACTTAGAACCTTACCTTTGAGTGAACGATAGCAACAGTGTCAACCCAGACTCTCCAACCACCCCATTCCAACTTTATTGCATGGAATAGCAAGATCTGGAAGAGACTGAAAACGAGTTGTTGACAAATCCTTTCATTCTGTGTTTGTGGATGAAGATAACTGGATGAAAGCATCCAATCTTGCCATACTGATTGCTGGAGGAGAGTTCTAAAGTAATAATGGGAACCATTTTATTGCATGTGATGTGTCACATAAGAATTTACACATACACATTTCGCATATATGTGTATTAACGCATGCACACTTTTCGGGTATATGTGTGTGTGTGTGCGCTCAGTCATGAACATGCTTTCATGTGCCCATACATGTATTTTGCACATTCTTCACACATAGCACATATATGGTTCACATACACATATATGGGTACAAACAGATAAATCCCTTAAATAACTGGATGAAAGCATCCAATCTTGCCATACTGATTGTTGAAGAAGTGTTCTGAAGTGAAACGAGAGTTGTTTTATTACATGTGTCACATTAGAATTTACACATACACATTTCGCATATATGTGTATTAATACATGCACACTTTTCGGGTATATGTGTGTGTGTGTGCTCAGTCATACACATGCTTTCATGTGCCTATACGTAAATACATGTATTTGCACATTCTTCACACATAGCCTATGTGTGTGCACTCACATATATTTTTATTCTATATTTGTGATAAAATCTCATCAAAAACTGAACAACATTCTCTCAAGTCAACATTCTCTATTCTCAGCCAAACACAGCCACACTCACATATTTACTGAGTTCTACTCTTAAATGTGAACTAAGACACACATAGATATACAATCTCTCACACTCACATAACATACTCTTATGAAAACACATACAACAGAAACACAGCTATTTATTAACCTTCCAATATGACCTTCCTCGATCATGAATGGTTTATTAAATATTTAGAGTAACCCTAATCCACACAGTCTACCACATACACACGCAGTCACACACACACACAGAAGAAATCACATATTTGCTAACCTCCCATTATCTCTGAGATACCCCCACAGTTCTATACACTTTCAGGTACTCCTTGTAGTATGTGCAACAAGATGGCGGACAACGGAAAGTAGTACGTGTACCAGGTTAGGCCATAATTTTAGGTACAAATACTACGAGTACGGGTGTCACTTGGCTAATCCTAAACGTTACTAAAATAACAAAAATTGGAATAAAATTATGGCTTAACCCTAACCAGGTACTGTGGTACACATACTACGCTCAGATGTCCGTCATCTTGTTGCACCTACTACGGGAGACTACTTTCACACACACACAAAAACTTATTTAAGCACACACACCCAGTAACCTCCAATTTTCTCTTATCATGTGCACACACATGTACAGTCATATACACTTTCACACACAAAGAGACAGACATAAGCACACACAATCACTAATCCCCAATTATCTCTTATCATGCACATTGTACACACACATTGGTTCACTCCATAAATATATTCAGAACGCACACACATCCACTAACATTCTATTATCCCTTATCATGCACACACAAACACACATGTTCATCCCATAAATATATTCAGAACACACATACCCCCAGTTATCCCTTATGAACACATGTGTTCACCCCATAAATATATTCAAAACACATATATAAAACACACACATCCACTTACCTCCTGTTATCTCTATTATTCTTGAAAAGCCTCATCAAATCATTGAGGAACAGAATTCGCACAGTCATTGTTTCTTCGTTTTCTCGAGGAAATTGTCGAAGCAGATTCGCAATCACTTTCATCATGACTAGACAAAAATATTCATATTAACACAGGCTAATATGACTTGATTTGCCTTGTAGCAATCAAGGCAATGCCGCACAATACATATATAGAACTATGGTGATAGGGCTACGCGAGCTATTCGTTTACTTATTGAAATTAATTTTCAAATCCAAAGCAGCAAATACAACCGAGTCATTAAGTATGTGCTTTTGATTTACTCAGGAACATTGATATGTTTTCTTTCATAAAATCATTGTGCGGCTCTGTGAATACAGGTAAATCTCCTCCTGGGCTCCATAACACCAAAAGTTTTAGAACCCTTGCTTTTGTTTGCCATAATATGACGCAAGAGCAGTATTGGGGAAACTCTAGTCATTGGCTCGACCTGAACAAAAGTCAAACAGCCAGTGAGAATTGACTCTACTTCGAACTCAGGCTTGAATGGCTTGTAACTCAACTTGTAACCCACAAGGCTTGGGGACTCACTCCTACACAGTCAAAACGGCGAAAGATTTAATGCAGGTAAACCTGCAATGAACATTATTTATTCCCACCTACATGAGCATCTTTCTGAACATAAACTGTCAGATTACGACTAATGTTTAATGGAGAAAGATCTGAGTGTTAACAAGGGCCCGTCTAAACGGCTTGGCAGGCCGAGTTGTGGCCCGTGAGCCGCCTGCTGCACACCCCTTGGTTAGGGACTTGTTAGAGACACTAATAAACACTCACCTGGATTCCTAATCAGTGTATTAGCTGTTGGCTCTCCGTGCGGTTTTCGTAAAACTTGAGTGCAAGGTTCTTGTACCAGCAGTTCATATAAAGCATTGTATGTTGAAATACTAATCGGATGTTCTGTGTTAGAATCGGAATGAAGCAGCAAGCGTTCTCCGATCAAAACGAATAGACTATGAGTGTTGACTAGCTCTTGCTTGCGTCTAGAATATAGAAAAATGATGTCTGTGATGTGTTTAACAAAAAACTATTTTTTGCATGGAAATTGCTCATGAGCATAAATGAAATAAAGGAGACTGATGTCTGGGTAAACTCACAGGCAGAGACATGTCTAGATTGGGGCATAGCATGTTATAAGGGTGAGTTTGTAGCTTAGTTTGAAGATTTAAATCAGGGTGGTCCAAACTCAGGCCCATGGGCCACATGTGGCCGGCCGCTGCATTATCTGTGGCCCGCGTCGGAATCGGAGGGTGACCAAAAAATCGCATTTCGTTATTTTTCGTCATAAACTTAACCAGGAAAATCTATTAACATATTGTTACATCACTAATGTCACTGAATTGACTAGTGTCATAAACCTTTTTGCGGTACACCTTTAGTATGCGTACGGAGATAGCGGACAACAGAACGTGGTATGAGTACCAGGTTAAGGTTAGGCCACAATTTTATAACAATTTTCCTTAATTTAGTTATATTACTGACCCCAACCTGTTACACATACTATGTTCCAGTGTCCGCCATCTTGATTCACATACAACTGGAGTATCCTTTTCCGTCAAAATCTTACACTAAATGTAGATATAAAAAGACTTTTGCAGGTTTTTTGGTGGTTTTTGCCTGTTTTAGATAGATAAGTGACAAATACTGACCAATGTGTTTGCACAATTAAAGTGTTTATATTGTATTGCACTGTTTACCTATTCTTGGCACTATTTGTGGCCGCGAACAATGCTAAAATAATTTTGTGGCCGCTCGGAGTTGACAACCCTGGACCACCCTGATTTGAAAAATAATGATATTACATATATTTCACCTACATTTGACCTTTAATTTAATTATCATCATGTCTAACAACATTTATAATTTGTTTTTCACACAAATTATTTTTGGAAGTTCTCTGGATATACGTGTTAATCCTGTAAGTCACTTAACCTCGATTTTCGATAAATGATTACTTAATGATCAAAATCCAGATGAGTCAAATGAGTCCACCCAACACTGCTTATGCCTTAAGCTTTTTTGGAGCAAACATACAAAAATGGTGATGAGGATACCAAAAATAACTACTCACTTGTCACTAGAATTTTGAAGAAAATATGCCAACAATTTAATTGAATGAATTCGAATCAATTCCGAGCTTGATCCGAGAAGTTTGAACACGACAGCGATGCCATCATGATTGTCAAACACAGGACAGACTGTGCTGGAATGCTCGGACATCAACGCAACGAGGAGTTGTAGAACATCAAGATTGTTCTCATCCTGTGATTTGGGAGTTCATAATAAGTTTTGAATATTTTAATATACACATTTGTATGTGTTACAATAACACTAAATAAACGGAGAATACTAGTAAAACAACACTCAAATACAAAATGCAAATTTTTCGCAAAAATATTAAAATTTCTGTTTTGGGAGAAATCTCTCCTTTGGTTGGTTTGGAAACACTGATTTTAATAAACTACAGCTACTGTGCGAAAGCAAAATCCAAAGTGTGAGTTGCCAGTGTCACTCGCTGAGGATCCATTCAGCATTGAATACCCGAAGGAGATTTTATGGACTGTGAAGAAGGTGTTAGTGTTTTAAAATATGGAAAGGGAGGGATAGGTCACGACCAAAGATTGGGTCGCCTTAAATCATCTAAGGCCGCTTTTTTTTTCAACAAAATCTTAAAAGTTGTTCATTCAATTTCTATTAGATTTTATTGTTTTTTTTTGTATTGAAGTGTTGTCCAATAGGAGTTGTATATGTGTTAAGTATCACAGCATAAAAACTTGGCAGCATCCATTTTTCTCAAGTGAACCTGATTGCAAACAGGCGCAGCTTTTAAATTCGAGGCCATAAAAGTATATCCTTGGGTCGCAGGATTTTACAAACTGATTTTTTTTATTATTTTCAGTTGCCTGCGTAAGTTGGGAATCACAGGGATCCACACTTGTTCAAAGAAATAATAAAACAAACCAAACCTCATTCATAGTGATAAGGTAGCTCATGATAGCTTGTAATTCATCGTCAAGAAGTCCACTAGAGCGTGTGACGAGTTGCTTCAAGAAAAGAAGAATGAACGCACGAAGAGAGAGGATTTCGTCTTTAGATGGCCGAGGTCCGTCTGAAATTGATTGAAACAAGTTTATATATTTTTGTGATTCTCCGGCTTCTATACCAAGAATGGTATGACCTCTTGCTGGATAAGTATCGAATTTAAAAAATTTGGATTTTTGATAGTTCGAGACAAAAATTTTTTTTTTGTGAGTTCGGGTTAAAATCTTATTTCTAGGGGTTAGAGTTGAAATTTAATATTATTAATATTACATATTCTGATCACAACTATCACAAATTCCTACCATTAATAGGAGCAGAGTTGTAAAAGGAGTCATAAAATTTTTCAAAATGCCTAAAAATTATGTTTAATTGAATTAAATTTCAAAAATTGGTAAAATATTCAAACAAGATTTATTTCACGATAAAAGAAAAAGGCAAAATCTATTAAAACCGACCCGAAGCAGATTTTTGTGGTCTGTATATCTGATCAAGGGAGCCACCATGAATTTAAAGGATACCTCCTTAGGAATAATGGGAGCTCCAGAAATATGTGCACCAAGATGGCGCACAACCTGAATATAGTATTATACCAGGTTAGGGTTCAGGTTGTGCACCATCTTGGTGTACATACTTCGGAAGCACCAAATATTGGCAGAAAACACTGCTGAATAACCCCTAAACCAGTGTTCCCGAGTGAGTTAAGCAATGCTTCAACTCAGTTGACTTTACCCTCTCATCAACACTATGAATTAAACAGCTTCAAAATCTTTCCCAGGCCTTTTGGTGTAACCCCATATCTATCCTGGGGTTGGTCGTCACCCATTACTAAGTTTCAGTGAATGCATGAAATATTTTCAAGATGGGGGAGGGGCGAGGGGGGTACCACTCAGTGAAGATATTTTATTAAATCTATCTTACCCATGCCGTTTGGTGTAACCCCTGATTTGTATCGGGGGTTGGTCACCCAGTAGTAATATTTCAGTGAATGCATGGAAATTTTAAGACTGAGGGGGGGGAGATTTACCCCTCAGCAAAGATATTTTATGAAATCTTACCCAGGCCTTTCGGTGTAACCCCACTTCTGTCCTGGGGATTGGTCACCCAGTAGTAATGTTTCAATGAATGCATTAGGATCAAGACAGTACTGACTCTACGAACTGTCGTCTGCATTGTACTTGAAGCAATAAACTCAGTGGAAAGATAGGTGTAAAGTGAGAGTTGTACCTGTCAATGCAAAAGTTGAGATGTTAGTGCAGCGCCCCACAAGAGGGCCGTTTTCGAAACGGGCGCTTTTGGGGGGCATGAAGCTAATAAAAAATAAAAATATTTGTGAGATTTGATTTTGCCCGCTTATTTTGGATATTCCCATTTCTTCATTTTGGATATTTACGTTCCATACCCATACTTTCAACATGTTTTTTTAATAAAAAATACTTTAACTTAACCATTTATTATTATTCATAGCTTATTGATAGCTAGTTATTTATGAGGTTTGGCACAAGACTTGACAAATTGTGTTAGTGTTCTCACAATTTTGCTCATGAGAACCACTGGTCAATCAGGCACGTGGCACCGTGGTATAGTGGTTAAAAGTGTCAGACTTAGCTATGATTGGAAGGGCCGATTAAAATATCATGCCCACCACCTCAGCCAGAGTGTAATGAATGGGTGAACAGTAGGACCGCGCATTTTCGAATACCTGATGATTTCAGAATCGAATCGAATTTTTTTTTTGAATCGAATCTCTAATACTTGAGGGGAGTCAATGGGAGATATGTAATTGTATGTGCCTTTTTTATTGCAATTGGTCCTGTCAACACATGGATTACTGAAAACATAAAATACATCACTCAGACAGATCGCTGAGCGTTCACACACAATAAAAAAAAGTTTTTATCAATAAATCACTACAGAAAATAGTTATATGTCAGAATTGCGTTGAAAAAATATGGCTTCAATAAGAAAAAAATGGGAATTCACCTTGACTATTGGCGGGAAGAAAAAACAAGATGGCGGCGATTCAAATAATTAAACTATTCGATTTGAAGTGTCGAGTCAGGACCAATCCCAAAAGAGACTAGCCTTTATTAACCATAGTAGGCTCTTATCTAAAAAATGGCTGCTAGAGTAGAGCCTTGTTCCAAGCAAAATAACAGTGTTGTGATTGTAAAGATGGTGTGGAAATGACTAATATTTGTGCAAAAACCAATGAAGAAATTTTGGCGTTCTAACCGGGTAATGGGTGGGCCAACAACAAACTTTCTCAACCTGCTAACCGAGAACATTGTTACATTACATCGAAATACGTCTATGCGCAGTAAATCTATGCGTGTGCGCAGCCTCTGAAAGCTGTGTGTGCGCGCACACGCGAACACTTTAGGGGGAACACTGGTCCTAAACCTTACCATGTGTCCATGTGTCAATCAAAAACCCTAACTCTAAAATTTTCTTAAAAATACAATACTCACCTTAGGATCAGTATGGATCCACATCGCTGGATTGAAAAAAATATGATCACAAAATTGCCTCAATAATGGCACGTTGTTCTGTAATGTATCCAGGTATTTTGAGATTGCCAAAAGGATCTCTAAAACGTCCACTGAAAAAAAATGATAAGTATAATAAAAATAAAATTTTTGTTTTCGACACTCAATCACTTTTTGCGCTATGAACAAGATACTGTACACAGGCAGCCACTGCTATCTAACGATAGGTGGGGTGGGGGGTGGGGAGGCTTTCAAGCATTTGAAGAGGTGCAGCGTTTATTTTCGACATTCGCCCTGAACAAGGGAGCAAACAAGAGGCCACCGATAAAATTAGTATTATGTAGAAAGTGGGTTCAATGCCCTCAAAAAAGTTTCAATTATGTGTTTTCAAATTTGAATTTGAATTTGAACCTGACAGTTTAACATGCCAACATAGCTAGCGATTAGGCCAGCATTCCCATATATATTGTTTAAAAATGTTGTGAGAATGTGGAAAAGCAACAATGCGACCAAATGTATAATTAGAACAAATTGCATCCCCTGATGCATAGATTCTCAGGATGCTCCATACGGAGCCATGGAGCTCCTTAGAGACACCTAGGGGCTCTGCGAGCTATTAAAATACTGACTTGGCTAATTTTGTAACTGTCCAAAGAAGCAATAACGGCATTAATAAAAATTAACAACGGTAGCGTCGAAAGGTTATCCGCCTGGTTTTAATTAAAGTGTTTTTTTTGTTTCTTTTTTTATAAATTTATGGTGGAATCTGTAAATAATAGTCATCCTCTTCACAGGCTCCATAACACTAAAAGTTTGAGAAACCCTGTTGTTCTCATTTTTACATGCTGTCCAGGTTATTGTCATCCTGGGATAACTGCACTCTAATCCTATTTCCCACTCTTTAACTCAGGGGCAAATTACAGCCTGCGGGCCGGATTCGGCCCACTGAAGTGTTTCATCCGGCCCACTTGTTCCTGCGGAAATTATGACTATAGTTTTCACGGATATAAATTTTCGTTGAAAATTTGGATAAAATAACAAAACCGCTAAAGTTAAAGACGAGAATATCGGTCAGAGACCGAGGACTTATCTATCAAAAGTTAGGAGATCCCACAAAACAGCGCTCTTACTCCATAGTGACACCTTGTGTCCCATCACTAATTAATTAATAACTCGCTAATTATACGACCTAATACGCCCAAAATCAATAGACTTCTGTTCCGAGATATGATGAATGCACATGCAAAATCTGGAGAAGATTCAATCTCGTTTTTGTGAGATATCGCGTGCATCTAACAGACAGACAGACAGATACCTATCAACATACTTACCGATTAAAATCGATAAGTAACAAGTTGAATATTTCAAGTTTAAATCCCATGTCTATTACCACACCCAGAGTATAATAAATTGAGTAGACATTGAGGAAACAGAAAGATTCTGGTTGAAAACGTTGAAAAACATGAGCATGGACATACTTGTAATATGTTGTTTACTGGCTTTTTCGAGAAAATATCCGATGACTAGGAATCCTTTTCCTTGCAGGATCTGTTGCTGAGTTTTGAAAGATCCTTTCATGAGTTGGAGAATGAATTTCAATATTGTAAGGCTGAAAAATAAAAAACGATTATGGGGAGTAGCCAGAAATTTTCAAAGGGGGGGGGGGGTTCTGAAAATTTTTTTTTGCGCCAAGTTAGATCGAAACTGCTAGCAGGTCCAATCGAATGCTGAAATGTGGTTTTTTAGTCTTGTGGGTCTAAAAAGCATTTTAAGCATTCTATGATGAAGACAAATGATTTTTATTTTTCGTACATTTCAAAGGGGGGGGGGGGGGGTCGACCCGCAAAACCACCTCCCTGGCTACGCCACTAAATTCAGGGCATGGTGTGATGGTGGAAGGATTGTTCCGTGATTGATTCTATAAATCCCAAGTCGTTAGTCATGTAAGTCAGTTCAGGCTGACTCGACTGGGTCATTTGGGTGATTGGAGCCACATCAAGTTTTTTATAAACAGTGAATTGATTCTAAATCAAGTCCAGTTAATGACAAAGACAATATGGTGAATTCGAGTATGATGAATTCAAGTATTGTCAGGCCGGGATATTAAAGAAAAAAAAAAAAAAGAGATCAATGCTCAAAAATATGGACACAAAAGTAAAATGAAGATCAGCAAAATTTCAACCCTGGTAAATGATCTGTGCCAGATGTCATATATATAAGTACCCATGAATAATAATCAAACAGCAAAATCTGGCATGCTATATCAGGCCTAACATGCTTCATGCCGTCTTACAAGCCTTCCTCTCTCCCTTAATATCTCACACACACAAAAAAAAACTCACCAAACAGTGTCATCAATATCACCGTCAGGTTGTTTATAGTTGAGTTGTGAGAGCAACGGGTAAAGAACATCGATTCCTCCGACAGAATGAAGAGCGCAATGGATTGAGTGAGTGACCACAGCTTTTACTCCCTGAGATTTGAATATCAGAGATTAGTGCATGAAGTCAAAGAATATTCAAAATTAACACCAACCCCCATCGAAAAATATTTTGTTGTTGAAACGTGTGATGTTTCTTGTATAGTAACAATACGGTTACCAAATAATAATGTCAAACTATCTAACTCAAAATTTGCAACCTCCCAGAATGCAATTTTGAATTTCTTGGACATAGGTGAACAACTTATATTAATGATTGATATCATTTAAGTAAAAATTACACAAAATATTGAAGGCTATTGAGAACAGGCTTTGTATGTCATATTATAATGGAATCCATTAGGATTGGGTATCTGTGCAATCTTCAACTCGGTCTCAACACTGAGATTTTATCGAAACCCTGATTTCTGAGACCTCTAGATTTTGTGACCAGTATATTAGGGAAGGCATGTGATTTATACCATGCACATATGTTACCACAAGATCGAAGCAACAGTTTTCATTGTACAATGGAGACAGATTCGAGGTTTGACTTCAATTTCACCATTGAAAGTATGAAATTACGATTCCTGGCAATTCAGAATTTTGGTTTTGAAATATGACTCAGGTTCCATTTCCCATGAAAAATATTAAACTCGGATACAGCCACAGTGATAACCCCACTTCACTGGTTACAGCCAGTTTTGTTTTTTTTGGTTTTGGTCTACATCCATCAAATCATAGTATACCTATATTTCTCCAGTATAAACATAAAATCCTCTCCTATGCATTTCAAGTACAGTATAACAGAAATCAATAACTTACATGCAGCATCAAAGCATGAGGACTATGAACAAACCATCTATGAGCGACACCATCTTTATTCGGAGGTCTCGGAGACGATTCGAGACAAAGTTGTCCGTCAGTTGCTTTCGGGTTATACGCCATCATTAAATGTTCGCTTAGCTTACTGTCTTCGTAAAGTACCTTTCTATGATGGTTCGCAAGTAGGCGATCGCTTTCAGCAGGGAACTTGAATTGATTCTGTAAGAAGAAAAAAACATATAATCAGGGATGACTAATACCCGATAGTTCACTATTTCGAATAAATTCGAAATTATCATTTTCGAAAATGAAATTTCGATTACATTCGAAAATAAAATTAAACAAAAGAAGCTTATCTATAGTGTATGGAGGAATTTGCATGACAATAAGTTTCGATGCACGCTGGCACAGAATATAAACAATCAAAGTGCCGATTCCATTTTATCGTCATTCAGATACATGACAAAGCACAATAATTCATTTGAAGATTCCCGCGAAAACGAAGCATCGTGTATATGGCGAAAAGGGGCTATCATTTAAAATTATACGAAAATCAGCCGAAAAGGTATTCGAACACTTTGATCCGTTTTGGACAACTCCACAGGTTCAAAACCCATGAGAGACAATTATATACAAAAGGATTGCTAGACTTCTAGTCGCCGTAGCGCGGTACTTCAATGGTTTGCAAGTAGGCGATCGCTTTCTGCCGGAAGGTTGAATTGTTTCTGTGTGGGTAACAAAAAAATGCTATTATAAAATGCTGAAACAAATAACTGGCTAACTAGTCCCATGTCCTGCATTGGTTGGTAACCGGACGAAAGGCCATGGTTTGTCATATCATTAATTTATCATAAGAAATGTCCATATAAACTAGTTTTTGCTGATGTGTGTGTGTCCAAGTTTACTTATCAGTGCTTGAACCAGGCATCAGGGTGTAACAAATTGGATAGACAAAGCTAAAGCGGAATCCGGGCTTTTCAAAACATAGCAGCCCCTTATATGCAGTTGCTACTTATATAGATCATTGTTAGAAGCAGAAAACTTATTGTAAAAAAAACTATTTTTTCAAGACTTTCAAGAAACGTACAGTATGTTGCTGGAACATTCTAGTTAAACTTTCCAATTCCATTTATCAGAGACTGAAAAGAGAAAGTAAAAATAGACACCAATTTTTATGTTTAATGAATCGTAAATTACATGCAAGAGTAGATATAGTTTATAAAAGCTCATCGATAGATGTTTCAGCAGGAACTATCACATCAAGCCACTGGAACACAATTTAGCTGAAACTCGAATTCTTTAATTTCAAGAAAGCATTCAAATGGAAAACATATTATTAATTTAATATGTGGTAAGAATAGGAATCATATTTCATACAGAAGTTATTCACTCTTGTATTGTATATAACAGGGGTGGCCAACACGCCGATCGCGTCTAACCGGTCGATCGCCACGTCTCGAGTAGTTGATCGCATTTAATAACACACGGTACCCCTAAAAATCGATTCGAACCAGTCTCATGCAGCGCCTGTTGTGTGTTTTAAAGCAGGAAAAATACAGTCCTATAGCCTACATGCGCAAAATATGAAATAGACATACACTATTTGAGTCTAGGCAATTGAGAATGTGCACACAGAGCCGAGCTTATTGACCACAAAATATTATTTTTCTAAATAAAAGTCTGTCTTGCACGGAACACTGAGGACCTTTTGACATGGGATATACCTGCTTAGTTAAAAATTGAGTGGATTTTATTTTAAATAAACGTGTCTGTCAAGAATTTCATGCCACGCAGGTTCCCTGATTGAAAACAACTGTTCTACACACTAACCTTATAGTCAGGCCCGAGTTGATAAATGGCGTAGACTTGTGATGGATTGAGAGCTTCACTGAAGACATAGACTGCAGCCATTTTCCCACTGAATACTCGCAGATCGTCGCCAGTTGTTTCCGCCGATCCGAGAAAACATTTGTCGAATTGCTGCAAAAAGAATAACGAGTTGTTAATATGATTAAGGGGCTCCCGAAGTATGCGAACCAAGATAGCGGACATCGGAATGTAATATGTGTACTAGGTTAGGGTTAGGCCATAATTTTAGATATAAATACTTGGGGAGGCTCTTGGCTAGTCTTCGAACTGATAATAGGACTAAAATAAGGAAAATTGAAAAAAAATTATCGCCTAACCCTAACCTGTTACCCATGTTACGTTCCGATGTCCGCCATCTTGGTTCGCATACTTCGGGAGCACCATGATTAATTATGTTTACATAAGAATGCTTGAATAAAGGTTTTGGGACCACAACAGTGGCTGAGGAATGAGGATTTTCAAATTTGTCCTGAGGAAGAGGAAAGGCGATAAGATGGATCAATCCTATGACAAACCACGGCCGTTTAGGACTGAGCCCAAGATTGTATTGTCCACCAAATGTCAAAGTACTTGAAGCAGATGAAAATGTGTTTTGATTAAGATTTAAATGTGTTGAAAAAAAGTCAGGCTTGAAAATGTGTTTTGATTAAGATTTAAATTAGAATCTGAATTGAAAATATAAAATACCAATAAAACATTAATAGGCATATTTACAAACCTTGACACACCAGTTTAGCGGTTGACACCAAACAGCAGTTAATAAAAAAAAATAATTATTTGTTCCTATTTTCTTAAAAAAAAACTTTTAAGTTTCACCTTTTTGTGGTAAGTGCATCTTCAAGTACATCAACGAAATTTTTTCTCCCAAAGTATGTGAACCAAGATGGCGGACACCGGAACGTAGTATGTGTAGAACGTAGTTCGGGGACTAGCCAAGTGACTCCCGTAGAATTTGCACTTGTGACTGATTATGGCCTGACCCTAATCTAGTACACATACTATGTTCAGGTGTCCGCCATCTTGGTTCACATTTTTTGGGAGTACCAAAATTTTATTATTTAGCGTATACTAACCTCATTTGCCCCGACACACCAGTTCATCTCAGCCGTTGACACCAATTGTCCGTTCGCATAACATTTGACTTCGCTAGTTCTCCACCGATTGTAAATGTGAACAATGGTCACCATATGCCACTGGAATGGATGTAGAGATTTGGAAGATCTTTGCTCGTGTGACTTATATTTGATAATTCTATATCTGATAAGCATTGGTATATGCCTGACATGGGCAAACTACAGCTCGTTGGGGAATTCAATCTGGCCCGCCTGATGCTGCTACAACCAAACTAAAACCAAATTTTGATGTCTCAGCTAAAAAATGGCCCAAAAAAGTTGTTGAGATTGCGATTGAATTTAATTTTCGCACACTTTGTTTTCTACTCTTGCTTTTGTAACACTGTATATAAGATTCTGTTCATAAATGTAACTTTTTATGTCACACTTACTGGCCCGCCAGTATAGGTGGGGAAAATTTTTGGACCCTAGTCTAAAAAATCCTGCCCATCCATGGTATATGCTATTTATAATAACCTTGTTATGCTCCATTGGATGTCGGATTTACAAGAAGATACTCAAGTTAGTAATCTTTAAACTTCTATATCAGACTTCACAACATATGAATGGGCAACCAGATACTGACCTTGTTAGGCTTGAACTCATACTTCACGCAATGTTGGAATCCTTTATCTTTTGCCTTGAGGAAAGTCACAATCAAACAGTTCCCAACAAAATGTCCAGAATAACCAAGGCCTTTGGAATTTCGAAAGCTGAAAAGTGAGTGAATAAAAATGTTAAAAAAATGTTGAGAACAGGTGATTTTTCATAGCAGTTTTTTATCACAATCCTAGGGTATCATGGCTGTGGTGTCAGAATTTGACATGCTTAACTGGAGTCATATTTGTTGTCGAACTCTGGTGAGAGCTGAAATCGGTCGCAACGATCGGCAACCTGGGCTTTTTGTTCTCGGAGCTCAGACTTCAGCGATTTTTGTTAAAAGCAGTGGGGATTCAATGAAAGTCGATTACTACTCAATAATTACACATCACGGCAGGTATAAGTCAAGAGCGGTAACTTTTTCTTTTCATTATCCAAGTTCTTTTTATTTCGGCGTAAACTGAATAATTGCATCATTCGTAATGTATTTGGATTTTTTTTAGTAAGACATAGAATATTTCATTGTAAGTGGTTTTTCAAGAGTTTTTTATTGTCACTGACATTATTAGAGTAGATGTGGTGGCTCCGAGCAGGTTTGGATTTGACAGAAAGGAAGCCAAATGGCTCTTTCAATGCTAAAGGTTGTCGACTCGTGCCTTACAGCCTATAGTTGGAATTCAGATTGTCTATGGTGCATATTAAAGATTCTATATTAACATTTTTGAAGAAACAAACAAAATTGAAATTTAATAAGAATCTCTAACATTCTATCAATGAAGAAGACATGCATATGACAAAACATTGGTTATTAGAATTTGATTTTCTCCGAAGTTTGGCGCTGTTATTTTTTTCCATCTCCATGTCAGAATTGAATTTTTTTAAATCAAGAGTTGAAAGTTTAAACTTTTTCAACCTGAAGTCAAAAGTCCATAGTAAATTTTTCCCAGAGGCTACAACCCTGCTTGTAGCAACACAACAATCTAGTTAGGCTTGACAGAAAATCCCTCTAAGCCATTAAAATCTTGAAATGTAGTAAAAATCAATCCAAATAAGCAATAAACCCAATTCACAGGGGAGAATCTTCAGTAAATCAATATCAACTTGATTAAGTATTTTATGTCTTGGCTTCGAAGGCAATGTTTACGACAACAGAATATAGAACTGTGACTGTGAGTTTATAAAACAAAATATTATCAACTTCATATCGGTATATGCTGAAGCTGAGCTCCAGCTTAGGCTCTTTAACAGGGGTGACGTAAAAAGTTATATTTTAATAATAATATTTAAAAGCAAAAGCGGAAAACAATAAGCCTCGTGCCAAAACTAAATTTAATCGCAATCTCAACAAATTCCTTGAACACTTTTTTAGCTAAAACATCAAAATTTAGCTTTAGTTTGATTGGAGCATCAGGTGGGCCAGATTGAATTATACAACAAGCCAGATTTGGCCCATGGGACGTAGTTTGCTCATGTCAGCTATATAACCATTATGGATTTTGGTGTGAACACTACCATGAAACATCAGCCTAAAAGCAGTTTCACGGAAGCGGGACTATGATACCAGGGTTTCCAAATTGCACTTCAAAATATGCAAATTTAACTCGGAACTTTCATATTAATGACTAGAACATCGACGTTTTCAATGTTGAAGAGAAATTCCTTCCCAGGGAGGAGATACAGTCTCACTCTAGTCCAAGGGTGGGCAGGTTTTTTTTACCAGGGGCCAAAAATTTCGACCAATCAGACTCGCGATGGGACCATATGTAAATGTGATGTGAAGTTACATTTTATAAACAATATTTACAGTGTTAAAAAAGCGAAAGTAGAAAACAATAAGTTTCATGATAAAACTAAATTTAATAATCGTGATCTTGACAAATTTTTTGAGCTAATTTTCAGCTAAAGCATCAAAATTTGTTCTAATATGGAGTGACAGCATCAGATGGGCCAGATTGAATTACCCAACGGGCCGGATTCGGCCCACGGGCCACATAGTTTGCCCATGTCAGCTCTAGTCACTTTGAGAATTCAATAACTCAACAACTCAACACACAAAAATTAAAAATCGAAAGTTTTGAAACAATTCAAGCACTTACCAATATAAATATGGTTTATTGATGTCCACACGACCGGTTGTAGCAGGTTCAATCTGGAACCAGGTGCTGAAAGTGAATCCGGTTGAATGTGGCCAAGCTTTCAATGGTGGCAAAGCAATAGCGGCATCTTTGATACCAGGAAACATGAAAAAACAGTCAGGACCATGCCGTTCTGGAGTTTGTTGTAATATTCTCAGAAGTTGAACTGCTCTTGCGGGCTAGGGAACGGAAATGAAACATTGTTAGATTGATGTTATATTTTTATTCTGCATTCTGGTACACTGGCCTCAGAGTAGCGTTTCCCAAACTGTGCTGGCGGAACACTGCTGTTCCGCAGAACAGGAAACGAAATTGGGAAAAAATCGGTCGCCATGGCAATTTCAAACGTACTTCGGTGACTCTGTGTCGTAAATTTTAGGCGGTCAGGCCTCGTACCAGTCTTGAAAGTATGGCGTCTTCGTTAACCGTTCATTTTTAGGCGACATAAGAAAGTGTAATTGAACCAGGGCAAAAAAAGGTTTGAGAAACGCTTGGTTAGAGGCTAGAGCAATGGTTTGTAACTAGGGTTCTGATAATTAATATTCCAATTAATTTGATCATTTTCTTCAAACCTTAACCTCAAAAAATTCATCCTATATTTTACTACTAAACAAATTTTGATGCTCATTTTGAGTGTTTTCACATGTTTTCCGTCAACAAAATTGAATACATCTTAATCATCATTTTATTCAACCACCTGCCAATCAAAAGTTCTAATACCTAATTTTATGCTGTCTATCACACACTAGAGGTCTCAGGGTCGAAGCCAGAATTTTCAACAAAATGCTATCGCATACGTTATTAGCGTCTTTTTTACTTTTCCAAAAATTTCGAAAGGAGGGAATAGGTTCCGACCCCCAACCCCTCTGCCTACGACTCTGAGAGGTCTACATTTTCCTGTCATACCAATTTGATATTAAGTTAACACTTAGTGGGCGCCCGAAGCAGAATATCATGAAAAAATCCTCACCCAAGTATTATTTTCTCCTCTCAACATACTCAACAGTAATTTGAGCTCTTTCACCGTGATTGAGTAGCTTGTCATTAGACTCAGCATGTCGATGAGGAGTTCTGTGAGAAGAAGAAAAAATTGAAAATGAGTGGACTGTAGTATTTGAGATAGAGAAGATTTCAAAATATGTGTGATGGTGATGGACAACATTAAAATCAGTTGCTCTCAAACGATAGGGCGCATCCCACAAGGGGGGGCGTAGAATATTTTTTGAGGAGGTGCGAAGCTAATTAAAATTAGAAAATATTTGTTAGATTTGGTCTTGCCCGCCTCATTCTGGATATTTACATTTATTTATTCAGAATATTTACATTCCATCCATGTGTATTTAACATGTTTTTTAAATAAAACACCTGTTACTATACTATACATACTTACTATCTGTTATTTGTAGCTTATTGTGAGCTAGTTATTTTTGAGGTGGGGAGCGAGACTTGACAAATTTCAAAAAGGGGCACGGCTTGATTAATTAAAGAGTTAATTATTGGCAGGGATGACTGCATGCAAATAATTTGCTATTCTAAATACACCCCACAAACGGTTTTTCTGAATATAAAATAATATTGAATTGTCTGCTATTCTTTCTACACATTCCCAAATAATATATTCTAGAGCTCGACCGATATATCGGCCAACCGATATATCGGGCCGATATTGCGTGTTTGCCGATATATCATATCGGCCCAATCGGCCGATATATCTGGCCGATATATATCAGCGTTAGTCGCTTTTCCACGTTCTAAAAAAAGAGTATTTTTCCCCGGGAAATATCTGCGGCCGAGCGTTTTCTTTTTTTACGCTTCTCTCATTTTGCCTTTCAATGAACAGAGAGTTTTCTTCTATATTTCTCTCTTCGTGCGGCGCAAAATCCTCGCCTTCGAATATCTTGCGTCCCCACTAGGCTTGCACGTAATCGACAAAATTCAATTCCGTAATTACGGAAAAATTGATTACGTAATGACCCCGTAATTGCGATATTTTTTCACACGTTTAAACCTATCATAAAAACCATTCGAATCCACTTCTTTTCCGAATGGGACATCGAAGTTTGGTTTTCATATTACCGACAGTACTACACGCCGGCGACAGATGTTGAAGACAAATACCAAGGAGTGAATTCAAATTAAATTTATTCTGATTTTTATCTTGTTTAATTGTGTTGACTTTGATTTTCCTTTATCACGTTCGCAAATTAACCGTCCCAATTTCATGCGATCAATTTTATCATTACCGATAATGGTATACGGATATTTATGAAACGATAGTTGTCTTTTTTAAAATCGACTTTCGTATTGAATAAAAATTTCGGGTTTCTAAGTTGTTAATCAACAACAAGCGTATTTTCTCGTTTGATTACACCTGCGCTTGCCTCACGACGAAGACTTCTTATTGCTCCGTTTTTTTACATTATCCGACTTTGCTGCCTAGTTAGCATTTTATAATAATTATTGATGCTGAATTATTGAAGATATTCCGATTACCAAGCTCCATTTTATATCAAATCATTTCGCGGCCTAAATGTTATAACATTATTTGCGATAAATTTAAATCAAATAATAATTCTTTAGCCGGCGATAAATTCTTACCCGTAACTCGTTGTAAATTAATGGTAATAAATTCTATTTTGTTTTTTAATGCGCTGTGATTTGTATTAATAAAAGTGATTGAGTCGGGAAAAGAAAGTAGCCTAGCCTCCTCTCCTTTTGAGCGCTTATAGCGGCGGTAAAATTCGTTTCATGTCTGTTTCACGGAGAGAGAGAAAAGAACGCCTTCCGGAATTACAATCAACTATCACACATTCTTATTTATCATTATCAGCGCCGAATAAAAAAGATACCAAATCGTGAAGACAAAAAAGTCTGTCGGTGCTAATTGCGTTACGGTGATAACGCTTATAATAATATCGTTTTGACCGTGAAACCAAACGCTCAAACGGGGTGGCAACGCGTCATGCCGACTCAAAACGGCTGCGAATACCGGAACTCTAACTTCTTCTATTTGTTTGATTTGATGATTTGACTTTGAGTTTTTACAATCGACGGAATTGACTGCTTGGAAGGAGCACGTTTCAAACGCGAAAGCGCTCGACCAATAATTACGACTTTACGTAATTTGTAACTTCCCTTCCGTAACTCCAAACAATTCCGTAAATTACGTGCAAGCCTACTCCCACCTACTACTGTATGTTTTTCTCTTGTGCATTAATGTGTGTTCTTATTATTTGCTGCGAAACTTTTATTAATGATGCAAGCACTGTGTAGGACTGTTTTATTTTTCAACATAAACTTTTGATTGACTGAAACTGAATGTTTCTTTCTATTTGTATTTACTGCGGGTTCGAGTTGTAGATATCGGTATGTCAATATCGGTTATCGGTCACTAGTTGGCCGATATATCGGTATCGGTATCGGTGCCAAAAAGTGATATCGGTCGAGCTCTAATATATTCAATATTTTTCAAAACAAGGTCACATGCGATATCAGAAATAAAGGTTGTTGATCTCTGGGATAAATTAAGGGGAGCCACTGAAGTATTATTAATGAAAAATGTAAAGCAAATTTGGCTGTGTTTAACTGAGGAGTTCAGGAATTCAAAACATACGAAATTATAAAATGGACTGTCAACATGGTAAATGTAAGTGTATTTTCGGTGCTCCAGAAGTGTGTGTACCAATGTGGAGGTAACTAATCTTGTTCGCATTCTTTACATCAAATTGTGTAAAGGGACAGAAACCTATAGGCAGGAGGTATATTCACATGACTAACACAGACAGTCCCCAACTCGTAATAAAACTAAAATGAGGAAAATTGGAATAAAATTATGGCCTAATCCTAACCTGGTACACATACTACGGGAGTACCAAATACAGAATATATTTGTTTTTCATTTTAAAAAAATGATTTTGAGACGTTAATAAATCAGTGAGCTATTTATACACGAACAGCCAGCGTTATTAAAAACACCCGGAACACAGGTGAACTATATTTACATAAGGAAATACCCAAATAGATTGGTAATATTATACACCGTGGCATACATACTAGTGACACCGATAATGTTAATCAAACAAGTACAGTGCTTGAAATTAAATATTTACAGTGGTTATTCATTAGTAGTCATATTTGCGGTCATGAATAATACTGCAGAGCTTGAAATTAAATCATTAAATATTGTGACAAACTCAGTAGAATAGCATTTTTCAAGATATTACATGTCATATGAATATATATCAAATATACAGACCCAAAACAAAAACATACATAACCCAGATTATTTGTAACATACTCTTGGGAGAAAATAACTTTTGTGCAACGCCTCGTAGATTACTGAAACTTTTGGGTAAAATCATAGGAAATTTATAAGTTCTGTTTTTCAGGATAATCTTGTACAAGTACTGTATATATGTAATTGCATTTATTTTTTATTTTCATTTTTCAAAGATATTTTCTCAAAGATAGGTCATGTGCACTCACACAGAAATGAAGCAGGTTGATATCTGAGCAAAGTTATAGGCGGCTTATAAAGTGCCAAGAGCAAAGTAGACTATAATAAATTATAAGATTATAATGTGTCCACAAATATGATTTACATTACTATAAAATAAACAGCAATATTAGTAAAACTATCCCAAAAACAATTTCACAATTCCTCCCAGAAAGAAATTTTTTCCCAGTATTGGAAAACTATGCCAGATACAGGGTACATTTTCCTCTCCAAAAACTACAAAATTTTTCTCTGGAGACAAAACCTCCCAATTGAAAAATGCTGTCATAGACAAAATATTCTTCACCTGATATCATATCATCTGCATCTTTTAGTATAATAAGAAGGCTTTGTAATAATCCTGCTTCCTTGCATGCATGTAGATTTCGAGTACTTTTGCGGCAGATTCCTTTGAATTTACTCCAAATTTCAGCCTAGAAAAGACAATATGTGTGCTTGAATCTAATTTTCGTTTTATATGATGGTATGTGAGGAGGCACTTACAAAACAGTTAGAAATAGGGATGCATAATATGGTCCCAATTAGAGGTGGAATCGGGCCCAAAAATTCCAGCCTGACCCGCCCTGCGCCCGTGGGTATTGGACCCGACCCGAGCCCGACTAATTAACTGAATTTGCAGGCCCGAGCCCGAAGCAAACACTAAGTTTCATATTTAATTTAGGAGTTCATTGAATTATCATTGTTGTCATGTTGATGAGGCTGTTTTTTTTTTGCAGACCACGGTCTCGCGTTGCCAAAACGCCTCATTGAAAAGAAAAAGTCAGCGATGGAGAAGCCTGACCCGACCCAATTGTAATAATTGACATTTCAGGCCCAACCCGGCCGTGTTCGGGTCTGTCGGGCTCTGCCTTCAGATCTTAGCTCTAGTCCCAATCATCACACAAATGGCCTCCTCCTCCGAGGATTATTGGTTAGGAATAGGAATGGCTCCAATTCTCATTTGAATGTCTGCCCTGTGGACGGCCCTATATACAACAGGTTAGGAATAGAGATGAATACCATATGATTTCAATCATCATTTGAACGGCTGCCCTGTGTTAGACTTTTGGGATGCCATAACAGACAGCAGGTTAGAAATAGGGATGAATATTAAGGTCCTAATAGCCATGTGAATGGCATCCTATGTGGAAGGCTATTGGGCTGCATATAGACAGTAGGTTTGAAATAAGGATAGCTATACGGCCTAAATCACCATTATAAATCATTGCCCTAGAGCAGGGGTGGACACTTATTTTTCTGAGTAGGCCAGTAACAGATAATATCTTGGTTACTGGGCCGGAGACTCAAAACTCATTATGGAGAACTAATGACAAAATACAGTTTATTTACAACAGCTAAGCTAGCGTTAATGTATGCACAGTATAACAATCGGGGTAATTATGACTATTTTTCCATCGATATTTTCAACATAAGTTTATATCAATAAAAACTATAATCCACGAGCCTTAATTCGCCTACCCCTGCTGTAGAGTGTATAAATCAGGGGTGCACAACACGGGGCACGCATGACAAATCTGGCACGCCGTGCGCTCAAATGTGGCACGCGAAAAAAATTCGTTTATGATGTACATTAAAATGTCACGTTTATATCAAAATCAGCAGTTTTTCATTCAGGACCATAAATTGTTTCTATAAATAGTTATTCATTATTATTGAAATTAGTTTGATGTGTGTTTTACGGGAGTTAATTTACAATATAAACGATTGTGCGTGGCACGCGGCAGGATTATTTTGAAAAATTTGGCACGTGTCGTCATTTGAGTTGTGAACCCCTGGTATAAATCATCAACGAACTTGCTTATTACTAGGTCATGCGCCTAATTATTGAAGACTCCTTCCTGTAAAGAGCAGCATAAAATTTACATCATGTTACCTGGCATTGTAAAGTGCATGATTCCAGTAAATCCACCATGTACATCACACATTCAGAATCTTTAATAATGAAGTTCGTTTCAAGATCAAACTCTCCTCCAACAAGCTGAAACAAAAAATGGATTAATATTATTTTGAGCGGTCGATTGGGTTCTGTGGAACTAACTACTTATGTTCATTTATCTGCTCCGCGGTATAGCGCATTGTGTTAAGCGTTATAAATACGGTCCGTGGGTTATTTAGGTGCGAGAGGATTGCTAGACTCCTCGCAGTCGCAGGGTGGTTAACATAACCGCTTCCTCCACCATCAAGTCCATGCATCTGAAACAAATAACTGGCTAACTAATCTCATTCCCGACAAGGACTGGTAACCAGACGAGAGGCAGTGGATCGCATATGATTAAGCCGTCTTATCGGCCTTCTTCTCCCCGGGATAAATATATAAATCCTATCCTACCCTAAAGAAAAGAGTGAAAGCACTCTAAATGATTAGAGTCTTGACACTCACTGGCAAAAATATATTTCTGCAACGTTTCTCTGACTTGACAGCAGAAATATTTTATGCTATTGAGTGGGTTTCTGTGGGAATAACATCTTGCCATATAAATTCTGATATGAGCTGAGTTTAAAACTCAAATAAAAAAAGTTGCCCACCTAGGATGTCGGGGATCATACGCGCATAACTCTGATCTATCATTTGATGTGATAGGTGCATACGGCTTATAATCAAATTTTCATGAATTCACAGTTTATGGCTGTTTTTAGGGAGTCAATATTATGAAAGATCAGCTTATATGCAAAGAGATTCTTATATGCTATTGAGCTAGTGGGTCCGTATGCATATATTATATTAGAACAAGCAAATAATACAAATCTTCAATAAAATGGAAAAATTTTGGAGTTTGGAATTTTTCACAGTTAAAAAAAATTGAAAATGAAATTTTCGAAAATTAAGAATTTACTTTTTTGAATATCCAATTTGTTTTGAGCATCTTTGGCCATCCCTTGGCTACACATATTCCACACAAAACCGCTCAACAATTTCTCTCCAAACATATAGAATAGTTAATACACACATTAAGTTTGGGACACACATAATCTGAGTAAAATGCCAAGTAATTGAACAATCTGCTCAAGCAATTTAGACAGGAAATGAAGCGTGTGAATTATTTATGCAACTTCCAAGCAGTCGCCTTTGTTTAACACTTGAACCAATTCAACTTCAAGGCTTAAGAATTGATCATTGGACTGCAGTGTAAAGCCTTAATTATTGAGTAAAAATCAAAGAAGGGCAAATAAAACTAATTTAAAAGATACTTATAGACTGAATACCTCTCTTATTAAAATACATTTAAGAATATCCAAAATATAATATTTGTGATTTTGTCTTGACCATCAAGTTTTATTGAATTTGGCGGATTGAAATTTGATAATTAATAGGATGCTGTATATTACCTTAATCATCAAATCAAAAATAAATTACTGTAGCTTATATCCTCTCATTAGCCAAGTTTACAATGAGAAAAACAAAAATTTCCAAACTAAGGGGTTGGCTTATAGTAGCATAACTCTGATCGCACTCAACTGAAATGACATCATGCTAACTCAATTCCAACAGCTACAACCCGTTTTAGACTCGTTTTTAGGCGGTCAGCTTATATGCGAGAATATACAGCAATGATTCAAAGAGAAATTAATAGTCTTATAGAATACCAACATATTCACACATGTATCCCTATCATTGAAGTATTTCTTGTATTTGTCTACATAAGACTTTACATATTAGAAAAATTGATGTGTCATCCAAATGAAGAACAAATGTTGATACAAAATTTTTTATAGTTATATCTTTTATTATGTTCTACTGGCTAACTAATCCCATACACGACATGAACTGGTAACCGGAGGACAAGCCATGGTTCGCCATATAATTAAGTCATCCCTCGGGATGAATATGTAATCCTATCCTTTATTTCAAGTCTGAGTCTGAGTTTAAAGCACTCCTCCTGCAGTCAGAGGCATATTTTCAAACATCAATGTCGAAATTCTGAATTCTTTGGGATTTGAAGTCAGAATTTTATAAACTTTCAATGATGAAACTGATACAATGAGTCAAAACTTTCTACAGAAATTCAGATAGCATTAAATTTAAGCGTTTTCAACAGTACATTAAAGAAAGCTTAAAATGATAAAGTTTTTGTATTTAAAATTTGATCTGCTCATAGTTCGAAACTGGAGTTAAGTCGAACTTTTTATCAATTACAAGCTGGGAATCCAAAGCCCTGTTTTACATGCTGTATAATTGAGAAATATCAAACTTTGTTTTACAAATACATTGATTAAAATAAAAAAGCAACAACTCACTAAATTGAAGACTGTGTCGACTAAATCCCTGTCTGATATTTCAACAGCCTCTGACAATTTCTTCAAGACTGCAAATTTCGTTTCTGAAGTGTGAGCTTTCGTTACTGCCTCTGTTAATTCTGTCGGCACGACAGGCAACACGACGGTAGAGAAATCCTCTCTCATGTCCAAAGTAGCTGGAGTGTCATCGGGAGTTTCAGCTTCGCCGTTTTCTGAGGCTGGGTCTAAAAATGACCAAAACAGTATGTTCAAAAATTATTTAAAATTGACATGAGAGATCCATTAAAGGCTTGAGTAGTTAATAAGCGAAGATGCACAATTGCCAACAGCTCAAGGAGCTCTGTATGCACAAAATGGAAGTGAAATAATAGAAAAAGCTAACTCTGCCAATATGGAAGCACACAGGTTTTTGCTGTTTTTTTCACCGTTTTTATAAGATTTCTGGTGGTTGTTACGATTTTTCAAGATTTTGGAAATTTGTGCATGCATGCTCCGATACTAGACAAAGATTCAACGACTAACTTGAGAGGAAATAGCATCGTCGCTTGTATATTATATTAAATATTGTAATGAGTCACTAGAATTATGTTTCCATATTTACCCCGGGAAGAGAAAAGCTATAAGCAGGCATGATTTTATGTCGAATCACAGTCTCTCATAAGGTATCAATCCATATCAGGTACAGGAATATTACCGTATATACTCGTAGATAGGTCGCAATTTTTTCCTTATATTTTTATATAGGTGCGACCAATCCGCTCAACATAAGTGCAAATCGCCACCAAGTTAAAACAAAATTCAAAGTTTTTGGCTATTGCAAGTACTGTATCGCTTACAGGTGTTGATAAACATATATTGATTATATTAAGCCCTACAAAAAACAAAATAGAAAGATATATATGCAAAAAAGCTTTTTCAACACAAAACTAATAGTGCGACTCAGCCAAGCCAATAAGTATAACTGGTCAGAACAATTCCTTAACTAGCAGTGAAATGCTGAAGCCACCGTGGTACATTTCCCTGATTACTGTGTGAGGTTCAGGGATGTACCAAGGGCGGTTTCGGTGGTCGAAACCAGGGGTTTAGCCAAAAATTTTCAAAGGGAGGGAGTTCTGAAATATTTTTTTTTGTCAAGTTAGATCGAAACAGCTAGCGGGTCCGATTGAAAGCTGGAATACTCGCGTTTTTATTAGTCTTGGGGGTTTAAAAAGCATTTCAAGCTACGGAAAATGGCTATCTATGATACAGAAAAATGATTTTATTTTTTCTACATTTCAAAAGGAGGGGTCGAAAGAAACCCTCTTTTTGAAATGTAAAAAAAAAATTTTCTGTATCATACATACAGGGATGGCCATTTCCGAATACCAAACTGTCCCGAATACATTCTAAAATAATATTTTCGAATCTGGAATCCCGAATATATTCTAAAATCAGACTCAGACATAACACATTTATGTTTAGTTTATTAAAACCCAGTAAAATAGGAACTGAGCTTCAATAGAAACATCAGAATAAAGCCACAAACCAGGCGATTTACCTCCAATGAATTCAAGCATTTAGCAAGATCAGGGCGGGGATTATCTCTTGATGAGCATGAAGTTGATATTATAAGAGAAAATAACAAATTCTCAGTTGGAGAAGTCAACCTAAACTTACTGTGGAAATGGAGATATTCGAAACAACCGGACGCTAATAATGCAGCTGTGATTGAAAGAATACGACAATTAGTTGATGAATATATTCATGAAGAGAATCAGGCAGAGTCGAAAATTGCCATCCCTGTACATATCATTTTTTCAAAGCTTAAAACGCTTTTTAGACCATTACAACTCCTGAAACCCCATGAACCTGATAGCTGTTATCTCCTAACTTGGCAATTAGAAATTTCAGAAGCCCCCTTCGAAAATTACTGGCTTCGCCCTAGCCAGGTTATCACAAGTTAAACAAAATTTTCAAACATACTTACCAGAATCTAACGGCACTTCTTGATTTACTTCTTCCTCTGCAGCTTGTTCTGCATTGTCATCGTTTTGTGACTCATCACTTTCTATAGTTTCATCCTTTTGTTCAATGTCACCGTTTTCAGATTTTACTCCATTTTCAATTTTTTCTGAATCCTCGTTATTTCCATCCCCATTTTGGGGTTCTGGTTCCTCAATAGCATCCGTTTTTTGGGACTCAGGTTCCTCCCCAATCTTTTTATTCTGGGGTACCCCCTCCCCAGTACCCTCTTCCATATTGGTTGGAGTATCGGTACTTTGTTCAGACATGACCGTCTGTATGAGAATTTGTGACTTTTACTAAAGTCACTTATCTTAAATGAATTACCATAGTTATGATTTAATTAAACCTATAAAATGAGAAAATATGATTTTAACATCAATGATTAGTTTTTCTTTTTTGGTGATTCAAGAAATGCTCAAAGCTGAGTCACAAAAACTCATTCTGAAATAAATAACTGATCTCTGAGCAAAGTTATGTGCAGACACTGAAGTGCTAGGAGTTACTGAGGCTATGAAGAATAGGATAGGATTTACATATTTATCCCGGGGGAGAGGAAAACCGATAAGACGGCCTATCCATATGACGAACCACGGCCTCTCGTCCGGTTACCATTCCAAGTCGGGTATGGGATTAGTTATATTGTTTGTTTTGAAAGCATGGACTTGGTGGTGGAGGAAGCCGTAACCGACCAGCGGTTACGTGAACTACCCAACGACGGCGAGGAGTCCAGCAATCCTCTCGCACATAACCATCCCTGCATGGGATTCGAACCTGCGAACCCACGCAGAGTAATTGGAGGTGCGGTGGCGCGAGCGTATTCCTAACGCTTAGCGCGCCGTGCCGGTGATCGCCGCGCGAAAGAAGTAGTTCATGTCTATATAATGAGAAAAACATTAAATTACCTAGCAAGAATAATCTTAGGACAATTAGATATATTAATAGGACATGTACTATCATAGGCGTATTAACCAACAAACACCAGAATGTGGAACTGCTAAATTGCAACAATGGAACGATCAACTGGACAAAATGATATCTTTGCTGACATATTTTAGACAGAAGTGCTTGAAATTAAAAATATTATTTGGGCAAACTCGGAAACACAAGAACTGATGTGGTGCAACTTCAGAACTTTCTGACCTAGACTTGCTGTACCGAAAAAACCATTGTTGTGCAAAGGCATCGGCGAAAGGAGATAATTGATTAAATTGTCAGAAAGATTTTTTTCTGTTGTATAGATTGTTTGGGCAAAAACTGACACAGCAAAAATATCGAAGCAAATCTGAAAATGAACAAGCTGAAGAGATGTTTTGGAAGCGATGATGACTCAAGTAATTTAGTAGTTTTCAAGTTGTAGTTAGATGCGTTAGTGCGTAAAGCTCGCCGTTTTATAGAATACCGTATTTTTGATGAAGTTCTGTCATGAAAAATTCTTTGCTACAAATTCTAATATTTTTTTTTACCCTGGTTTCATATTCATGTAGCCCACACTTACTGTACTTCAGATTTGAGACTTGTGACTAAAAGTCAGCTATTACCCAACGGCTTCGCTTAACCAACCATTACGGTACTGCATTAAGTCCATGTATCTAAAAACAAATAAATTGCTGATTAACAGTAATCCCATAACTGACATCTGGGCATGAAATAGTAACCGGACGAGAGGCTGTGGTTCGACATATTATTAAACCATCTCAACATTTTTCTCTCCCGGGATAAATATGTAAATCGTGTCCTATCCTGGATGCCCCAGTCACGTGACCAAGGAGTTGAAAAATTTCATACTCACCTAATATCGGTATCTATAGACTACCAAAATTATCAAATAAGTCCAAATACAGAAATACCAGCCTACCAAATTAACACAGATTTTCAATTGCAATTAAGCAATGACAGAATGATGGAGACCATTCTCCTGTTCTGTTGTCGTTGCAACGATTCCCTATTCAGCTATTACTGTATTACCGCCATTCGGCCATTGGTCAATACTAGAGATGTACCGATACCACTTTTGTCGCCGATACCAATACCGATATCAGCTAAAAAAGCCGATACCGATATGCCGATACTACAGAAAGGCCGATATTACCGATATTCCGATACTATGTAAATATTACTTAATTAGGTGTGCTGTGTAGGGCAGACGGGTTAAAACAATGGTCTTTGAGCGTTGTTTATAGTACACATTATTTCAGATCGAAATAAAGATAAATCACATAATATGAAATTAATGTTTGGTGTTTGCCTTAAACTAATTAAGAGACACTGTACAATAACGCTAGTAATCTCGGTGTTCAATTAGAAAACTCATAAGCCGGGATGTCCAATTTGAATTTAATGTTAATATCGCGACCTTCGAATATCGTTATTCGTGTTTAAAAGAATATCGAATATCACCCACACATTCTAGAGCCGCCGTCCTACGTTCAAATTAAAAGCATTTTTCAAATATTTTATTTCGTGGCTAATCGTAATCGTCGACGCAATAAGTCAAAGCCAACATGAAAGAATATCAATCAGCACCGACCAAAAGAAGGCCTACATATAACCTTCGAGGATGTTTTTTTACTTTACTATTTTATATTATTATACAATTGCCATCATATATTTTGAGACAGTCTAGGACTCTAGGCCCTCTGGGGCTAGGCGGTCATGTCAATATATCTATAAAGAAATTGTGTAGTTAAACAAAATTAATATCTGCGTAGAGGGATAATTGTGTCGGAATTTAGTTTATCGATGTCGTCGGACTAAATGACACTCGTACTTGACGACAAACAGTCAGAATTTATACCCGTGCCAAAAGTCCATGTGCCGTTAATAAGGACCCCAATTCCCCTGTATGATTTAAAACTGGGCGCCTAAATGCTTTTTGTTATGTGCCGTGTTGATATATTTCTTCATAATTACTATGTAATATTAAAAATGTCAATATAAAAATTTGACAGCGAAAATAGCTAAAAATACGTGAATCCTATTCTCTCGCGGGGGTAGGGACATGTATGGCTCATAGCTCACGATCTCTCCAGACAGAAAATAAATTAAAAAGTAGTAGGCTATTCCAACTTATCTTTTAAAACATTCTGGACCATATCAAAAAGGTAAATATATCGGAAATATCGGCCTTAATCTAACCGATACCGATACATGGCCGATACCGAAAAAATGGCCGATATTGCCGATATCCGATACCGATACATCGGTACATCTCTAGTCAACACACGTATATTAAAGATTTTACAATATTTTGAACAATCTCCGGGTAACTCCTATTTTTCTCAAGTTCTGCTCTAATACGACATTGGTGCCATGTACCGTATTCAAAACTGCTCAAAAATGCAAAAACAGCGAAATCTAGACGTTTCAACGTAAATCTCAAAATTCGGCAAAGCATGAAATCAAACGAACCGCACGTCGTCATTGAATGTTTGTTGGTCGGATATTGGAGTCCAGATTATGAAATTTTAAAAATCGATACTATGTTTAGGGGATTTGGAATAAAAAAAAAAGAGAAGGATAAGGGAGAGAGATTTATTTCCACAAACAATGAAAAAACAATATTAAATAATATCGATACCTTTTATAGAGTTAGACTATAATAAAAACAATGAAAAACAGTATAAAAAAACACCGATAATTTTTATAGAATTAATCAAATTTACACATTGTGTTGTGTTGTGTAGGATAGGATAGGATAGGATTTACATATTTATCCCGGGGGAGAGGAAAGCCGATAAGACGGCTTATCCATATGGCGAACCACGGCCTCTCGTCCGGTTACCATTTCAAGTCGGGTATGGGATTAGTTTTTACTGTATTGTTTGTTTTCGGAAGCATGGACTTGGTGGTGGAGGAAGCCGTAACCGACCAGCGGTTACGTGAACCACCCAACGACGGCGAGGAGTCCAGCAATCCTCTCGCACATAACCATCCCTGCATGGGATTCGAACCTGCGAACCCACGCAGAGTAATTAGAGGTGCGGTGGCGAGCGTATTCCTAACGCTTAGCCCGTTGAGCCACACCGCCGCGCCTAAAATGTATGTATGCAGGACCGTTGAAGGTTATCGAGGTCCCTGACCAATTCAGCACTGTTACCAAAAAGTCGGAATTGTTTGCTACAATATATTTATATATAAGACTGAATAATACCAATGCTACATTGTGATTTAGTAACATTTGTTTTGTTCGCCAGGAAAGATAAACACTAAAATATGGTTGAAGGACAAAGGTTCTCGATACAGACTGTGTAATAACGATATGACCATCGGTCATTGAAGTCAGTTACTACCCAATCGATCATATTTTATTTATTTCAATTTTGATCAGTTGTCCATCCGAAATGTAATTAGAAATTAGGAAGAAAAAATTCACTAATCAGCTGAGCATTTTGGGAATTAAAACATACCAAAGTTCGGTAAACAAAAAAACTATATACATATTATTTAAATATATATTTATTTGTTTTTATCAATCATTTTATTTTTATGCTAATCATGGAGTCAAAATAAACTTATGCTTATTATCAAAGAACTGTAATGTCCTTTTAAAAATCCGTCAGTGGGCGACGTGGAGATAGCATGACTTTGCAAAATAGTCAAACCGTAGTCGTATTTTTAAAGTGCCCAGTGTCGGAGCTCAAATTATGAATTCTCCATTTCGGAATTCAGAATTTTAAATTTTCAGTGGTTATAGTTGATGTCAAAATTGTTTATAGAAACTCAAAAAGCATTAAGTATATTACCTGTTATAATATGAAAATTATCTATCCAGGGTTGTTAGGAAATATATCTCAGGTATCATTGGACATAATTTTAGTCGCCATCCGTTGTCGCTAAAGGAGGAATACCTCCGCGGTTGGAAAACGTTGACCCATACAACCACTAATATTTACGGTAGGGGACATAACGATCGTTTCGATATTATGTTGTCTAGTGAAAAACTACCGAATCGAACGTTCTGCGGACGCATATGCTGGCACTTCTCTTCATGTCTTTTGATCACGGGCCATCGAACGTCGGTGGTTCGTAATGGAATCCTTGCTTTGCTAAGATTTGAGGAATGGTGAATGGTGAATAAGGCCGTACGTGGTGTTATATTATAGTAGTGACTCGGATCGGTGGATTACTACAGTTGTGAGTCGGATCATCTTGCAATTTCAATTCACGCTGTTACAAGATATAAACTTCTAAAGATAGGGCAGTTTCGGTACCGTAACACAGCGCGGTGATACTGAACTAACTCGTAGCTGTCTGGTAAAAGCGGGGCTTGTTTTTTAAATTTTGTTCCAATAATGGAGAAGGGATTGAAGCGGATTACTTAGTATATATTTCAATTCGTGTTGCAAT